GCCTGCTTCTTTCCACGACAAGCCAGGATAGTGCTGTTCGGTAAGTTTGTTCGTACAAACAAGGAAAACAAACACTACCAATGAGACAGGAGAACCGTTCGTCTTTTTGTTCATTTTGGAATTACCGAAATTGACTGACCGCTACCACTGAATCTCTGGAACTGATTTGAGCAGACACCTTGTGTGCTGGCGGTCAAAACTTTACCCCAGTGAAGATTTGGCTGTATACGTGGCATCGGAGCGCTATTTGGACAACTTGGGCGCTCAGGTGTGACAAACAAACTGCTGGATTTACTCTTATGCACAACTTGGATTTCAGGAACGAACGAATCAGCGCTCCATGCGAATGGGCTATAATCACTAAGTCCCTAGCATTTCGGGAGCATACGAACAAACGGGTATACGAAATACTAGGCGTCCGTTACAATTGGTGGCAAGCGACGAGATCTGAATGTTCGAATGGAACTCCCGAACGAGAGAAACCAGTGACTGGCCCAGCTTTACGAAAGGCTGAAACGAACAACGCTAAAGGATCTGCTGGAAGCTCGGGGTCGGTCGGCAAGTAACAAAAAGAGAGCAGTAATCATAGCCGAGCTGATGGAGGGCGACCAAGCCAGCGATACAGCGGAATTAAGCCGGGAAGAAGCAGATTTCCAGAAGAAAGTGAGATGGCGGCTCAGTTTTTTGGGACCAAACCCCTCACCGGAGCTGGTGGTCCAAATTATGGAGCAGGTTACCACGTCACAGATGGCACAGAAGGCCAGCATGTATCCAAGAGAGACAGCCTCGCTACAAGGATCCAGTAATGAAGGGCAGCAAAAGAAGGTGAACTATGCTGCCTTTAAAAGCTTTGTAGATGGGGAAATGGATATAGATGCCTACCTACAGGACTTTGAAATGCAATGCGCTCTGGAAGAACTGGACAGCAAGTTGTCCGGCAGAGCAGCTGAAGCTTACTGGACAGTACCAGGCCCAGATATCCATAACGATGAGCGGGTAAAGGATATTTTACTGGCAAGGTAAGCTGTTACACCCAAAGCCTACAGTAAGACATTTCTGTAGCCTTCTGTAAGCAACAAGACAAAAGTGCAGAATTCCTATGTGCCCGAATCTGCAGTGTGTCCAAAAGAACCCTATATAGGGGGTAACCCTAGAGCTAGATACAAAACAATAAAGAGTATAAGTGATCCCAGGCTAAAGTGCCCAAGGAGCACAGAAAAAGAGTTCTCTGGGTGTTGCAGATATATATAAAATTTAAAAAAAATGTATTATAGGACATGAATTCCCAAGAAAAGAAAATAAAGTCAAAATAATGAGACACCTAAATAAAGCCCATCACATCTAGAAAAAAACATGGGGGAGAACTATAAAGTCTAATAATCTTGTTGGGGATGAGGGTAGACAGGTATTGAATGGTACTGAGAAGTAGACAATTGTACAGTATACTGAGTAGTATGCTTCAGTTCTTGAGTACTTAATACCTCCAGCACTAAAAAAATTGGGCGAGTGGCATACTCTGCCCTAATAGAGTCTGTACACGGTCAATGGGGAACTTACAATACACGTAAATTGTGAAATACAAATTGCTGATGAATAACTGAATTCAAGAACAGTATATGAATCTCTAAGACCTATAAACCAACCACTAGTTATATAGGAAAGGATAGTAAAGTACTTAAAGAATAAACTGAAAAGCTATACACATTAGCTCATAAGGACTGTCTAATATTGAGTACTTGCTCTCAGCTACCTTGCTCAAACGTAACCTGAGAGGAACCCTACAAATCCCGTACTGATAATAACCATAACTAAAAAGCTATGATGAATCTCCTAGTGCATCCTCCATACCCTGTGTACACTACAAACAGTGCCGTGATTTTAAAATAAATAAAGCATAAGTCCTAACGCACGTTTCAGCGCTGCTAAAGCGCCTTTGTCAAAGGTAAGCAACAACCTTGGAAGATGCGCTACAAGTGTTGCTGCTGGAGAAGTTGACCACGCATCAACTGAGATCAGAGACTGGGTGAGAGATCGGAAACCTGGAACCGTGGAGGAGGCAGCACTGTTAGTCGATTAGTATCATGATGGCAGTAAGGTAGAATCCAGTGGAGGGCGACCCCCTTTCAGACTGTCCTAACCAGTGCAAAGCACTCCAACGCCACCCAGACCCAGTCCCTTCACTCCAGCAACCATTCAAGCGCACGTCCAACGCCCTGCACTCTTGTGCCATGTGTGCAACCAGGCTGGGCATTTTAAAAACAATTGCCCAAGCCGAAACAAAGGGAGCTGGTAATGGCCAACTCCGTAGCCAGCCAGGGCCTCAGCTCACTGTTATCAACAGTAGGTTCCCACCACACAAGGACACCATGAGGAGCAGTGGACTGTTCTACATGAGGCAAATCCGGTTTAAGCTGCAGGAGACAACCGTAAGCATCATAGACAGTGGGTCACCATCGACAGCCAGGATGCAAGGGGCCTGAGAGACACTGGCGCAACCCTCACCCTAATGCAGCCGCACAACATCAGTACACAAGTCCGTACCAACAAGATGGTAGCCATGAGGGTGGCAGGATGAGCCATACACAAACTCCCAAGTGCACCTCTACTGGGGCTCGGGTGCCAAGCATTTGGAGGTCAGCATTATGAGAAAACTACTCGCAGGTGTGTTGTTAGGAAACGACCTGGGCTATCTGACATCCCAGTTTGCAACCTACCCAGAGGAGACGTTACTGGTGACCACAAGATTGCAAGTCCGCCGGGGGGGAACTGACGCATTCCGAGGACCCCCTAGGTAGGACCCTATGTCCCATCCCTAGCGGAAAATCCCATCCAGCTCTGGGGTACCCCCCAAGGTTTTGAACAGAAACAGAAGGCAGACCCCACATTAGAAGGGTATAGGAAGGAGGCAGCATCCCCCCAAGGAGATATAGCACAGGAAAGGTTTGAGTGGAAGAAGGGGTTATTATACAGGGTGAAACAGGGATCGGAGCAGCGCAAGTAATGAAAAGACAGCTGATAGTGCTCCGTAAATCTAGGACCGAGCTACTCGAGTTCAGCCATGACATTGCCCTAGCAGGACATCTGGGTATCTGGAAAATTAAAGACCAGTTAATCCAGACCTTCTTCTGGCCAGGGATCACACAGGACCTGCAGAATTACTGCAGGACTTGTGACGTCTGCCAAAAGATAGGGAAGAGGGGTGACCACCCGAGGGCCAAACTACACCCCTTGCCCATAATAGAAGAACCCTTCCACCAAGTAGCGGTGCACTTGACAGGCCCCTTCAGTAAGCCCAGCACCTCGGGTAAGAGCTACATCCTTACGGTGGAAGATTATGCTACTAGATATGCGGAGGCAGTAGCCCTTTCTAATACAGAGGCAGAAACTGTGGCAGAGGCCCTAGTTACAATTACACCTCAGGGCCTCCCGAAGCTGGCATCTACCTTATGTGGGAGGCGGGGGGGTGAGGGAGCACTCTCCCCTGAGCTCCCTCGCGCGCACTGCAGTGATGCCCGAGCTGGAATATGACATCACAGCGCTCTGGCATCACGAAGAGGTGCGCGAGGGAGCTGAGCAGGGACGAGCTCAGAAGACAGTGCTCCTTTGTCGCCTGCCTCCCACATAAGGTAGATGCCAGACTCCGGGCAGGTGGGGCACTGTGCGTCTGCCTGACCGACGAGCTGCAGCCAGCCCCACTAGACCACAGGGAAGAATCCACTCCAGCACTCCTAAAGGTAAGAAGGCTGGGTGGATTGAACTTGAATTTTTTTTTCATTTTAAATTGTTAGTGTGTGTGTGTCTGTTAGTGAGTGTTAGTGTGTGTCTGTTAGTGAGTGTGTATACGTGTTTGTCAGTGACTGTGTCTGTCAGTGTGTGTATCTGTCACTGAGTATGTCTGTCATTGTATGTATGCATGTTTCAGCGTGTGTCAATGTGTGTATGCGTGTCTGTCAGCTAGTGTATTTGTGTCTGTCAATGTGTGTCTGACACTGAGTGCATATATGTCTGTCAGTGAGTGTTGTATACATGTTTGTCAGTGTGTATTTGTCAGTGAGTGTGTCTGACACTGAGAGAGTGTCTATGCATTTCTGTCAGTGAGTGTGTATGTGTCTGTCGGTGAATGCATATCTGTCAATGTATTTGTGTGTCTGTCGGTAAGTGTGTGTGTGTAACTGTAAATGAGTGAGTGTGTATTTCTGTGAATGTGTATGTTTCAGTGAAAGTTTGTGTTGGTTAAATAGTGTGTGTGACAATGACTGTGTATCTGTAAGTGAGTGTATGTCAGTACATGTATCAGTGAGGGCATGTGTCTGTCAGAGGGGGGAGTGCCCGAGTTTTGTCATTCATGCCTAGGTCAGCACAAAACCAGAATACACACCACTGGAGCCAGGAGTGCCATAGCACCCTCCCAGAATAATTAGTCCTATCATTTAAGAATGGTTTGGCAACTTACCTGGGTTCTACTGGGTGCTCATTGCTGCCTCCTCTCTGCCAGTGTTGTGGTGATTAAAAACTTGGGTTTGTTCACTGAATACTGGATTTTAGTGAACTGCAAACTTGAACTAAAATAGCCAAAGTGTGACTTTTAAAGATTTGGTGATTTGTTGTTGTTGGTTATTTACATGTCACCTATTTTGGCCTATAATTTGTGACCTGGTGTTTATGAAATCAAACCCCTGCATTCTAAGTGGAAATTAGCTGCTTGGGGCAGTACCACTACATAGGGCAGATTGATGTGTTGTTGTTTTTTAGAGATACTTAAATTCTGTATACGTTTTATAAGGCAATTGAGAAAATGTGTCACAGGACAAATTTTACAGTTGAAGAATAGGATGTCAAGCTAACACAAAGTGCATTAATTAAGTACTTGTCATAAAGGTTTAAAAACTACTGGCTTATACAAAGTACCAGAGTTGCAGTGTTTTGCCTTCTGGCACTGAAAAGATGAACAATACCATTTTTAGTAGCACTTTTAGAAGAAACAAACACACAGAGCAACATTTCACATCCCACCGCGAAGCCAGTTTATTTTGCAGGTACAGAAGTAAACAGAGGCAGAAAGATTCCAGTGCAGTTGCACAAATTAATATTTACATTTTTTTCAGACATCACAATACAGGGAAATGTCATCTATGGGAAATTATATACATACGGAAAGACTAAAGACCATCATTTTCACGATTGTCAGACATCACACTTCCCAAGTGGAATACAAGACAAGATAATATGCCAGTGGGGCTCATTCAAGCAAAGAGAATTTAATTTTTGCATACTCCAAAGTAAACCAAGTAACTGCTTCATTCGCTCCTTTAACACAGGAAGGATTAAGAATGTCTGAGTGATAAATTAAATGTTATCCATTGCTATTTCATAAAGCGACATTGGATCAGAGATTAATACTAATCCATTGAATTTGGAGATGCTCAATTACAGCTGTGTACAAAACGGAGAAAGAGATATGTATAAACAGCAATTGTAGTGTAACTTGTGTAAGTAAAGCAATTACCATGGAAACCAATAGAATGTTTCTCCTGATTGACTCAGAATTGCTGTTTAGAAATAACCCTTGTTTTACTTCAGTTTGCAGCAGTTCTACATATTACTAAGAGTAGTAGTGGCTTACAACGTGACATGTTCGTGACGGTGAACCACGCAGCAAATTTAGACCATGCTTCTAAATGTGTACAGGATGCAGTTAAGTGGCAAGCAGTGTGAGTAATAGATAATAACCAGCTCAGCTTTCCTAGAAAAAAGTGCGTGCAGAAAAGCTCCTGTTTGGTCCCAAAAGCTACAGGTTGGATAGATAGAAATTTTGTAAACAGAGCACCATTAACTGCGTCCATGAACTGCTTAGACTTATAGCACACGATCACTATATTTATTGTGTGGACTTCAGCTACATTTACTATATATGCACCCGGATGTATATTATTGATTTTTTTTTTCCTTTAAGTTTCTCTGGAATTAAATAATTGAACAAACATAGAATGCAGGAAGTTTAAAAAAAACAAAAAAAAAACCTTCTCATTTTAAAGTTGAGCCAATAATAACTAAACTTAAAATACTAAGATAATAAAATTAAATATCAGTTTTAAATATAATAGGGAAATATAAATAATTTTGTAAAGCAACAAATAAAATATTCTTATTTATATTAAGATATTTGTCATAGATGCTGATTTTCATTTATTATTACCATTAGCTTGTTATCCTGAAAATTTATTGCATTACTTTTAAAGTCTAATCATGAAAAACAGTAACTTGCAGGATCTTATGAGACGCCTCCAGAGGGAATATCCATAGGTTTTCCCATAATGACTTGCATCTTGTTTTTCAATGAGTATATCACATAGTCGTATTGAAGAGAAAGCAAACAGTTATGGCAAACTGTGTCACATTTTATATGAAAGTATATTAAAGGGACACTATATTTATCAGAACTACAATGCAGTGTTTCTGGTGTCTATATTATGTCCCTGCAGCCATAGCACTGTAAACATTGCCTCAGTGAAAAGGCAGTGCTTACATTGCTGGCTAGTTACACCTCTAGTGGCAGTCACTCAGACGGCCACTAGAGGTGCCTCCTGTGTTAGTGCTACACATGCACAATAGCCTCCCCTTCCTATGGTAAAGCATTGGATTGGCTGATATCATCAAAATTGACGTTCACAGCCATGGAGGCGGCACACGCAGGGCCAGCCACGGTGAGACCAGCGTGGTGTAGGAAAAAAGGTGAGTGGAATCAGCTTTAATCTCCGGAGAGAGGGTGGGCAACAGCCTAATGCTGCATTCCAGCACCATAGTGTCAGGAATACGTTTGTATTCTCGACACTATATTGTTCCTTTAAATATTGCTAAATAAATATATGTGGTATGTGTCTCAGCTTATAGACATTTTGAATGTAGAGCTATTAAGTTGCAACATTTGTTTACAGACACAATTATTTTTTTATCTGTTTTATTTTGATGTTTAATGAAGCTTTGATACACACCATAAATGTCTGGATCTTGAGAGTATACTTTTCGATGTGGCCTCATTTGCCCAAAAAATAAAAATGTAGTCATGTTATGTCCATTTAAAGGCAGACTTATTGTCTTGAAAACATGACATGTTCTAACATTATCTGTTGTTATTGTGTATAGGATAACAGTATATTTCTAAAATAAATTAATAAATAAAAAAATGTCTTTATCTACTCGGCCTCCAGCAAAAAGGAAAAAAGGGTTACTGAAAACCTACTTTAAAAAGCTAAAATAAAGGTAAATCCCACCTGTTGTGGTACATTAAATTTTGTAACGATACAGGGATTTTAATGTTACCATAGGGAAACGATAGACAGATCAATATGGGAAATAAACATAAAATAAGAAAGCCAACAAGAGTTATAAATACATTCCAGAACTGAAATTAGACATGATGAATAACACATATATTTGATTACTATAGTGGTTTTATGAAACCAACCCTCAAATAATGAAAGCGAACTGTATTAATTAAATATCGCACGTTTTCAGCATCTAACATCATGTAAGTTCTTCTTTCTTCTCTTGAATGTACTTAAAGTTAAGCATTACCATTTGTCTGTCTGCATACTACTATCTGGCCCATGATGATTATACTAAATGCAATGATGAATCGACAAATGGTCTATTCAATATACAGTAAAATGCAATGCACTGACAATTGACTTACAAAATGTAAAAATAAAAAAAATCCAGTTTTTGCCTTGAACAAACGAGACTCAGCACGTTTTAGTGTCCCTTTAAATTAGTTTGCACCACACAAAGCTATCTTTTGGAAAAAAATTACCTTCTGCTCCTTTTACTATTTCTAGTACATGACTAAAAGAAAAAAAAATAACTTACTCTTAAATACCAAGATATAATAAAGAGAAGAACTTTTTTTTGGAAAATCATAAAACCCAAGTTCTTCTTTACACATGATTAAGGAATCGGATGTTGTAATCAATTCAGTTGTAGCGCTAACCTACCTTCCCAGTAGCAGAGAGATGTGCACTGATGTCTCTCTGATACCAAATTTGTTAAATGGTCCAAAGAGAAAAAGAGATACTTTCATTTATTGTAAAGTAAAGTGGGATTGTCTGAGAAGGAAGGGAACGTGTTTTGATGTATTAGCTCAGTTAGTACAAGTCCCCTAAAACACACACACCACCAACAAATCAGGTACTAAGGAGAAGTGAATGTTTCTAGACATTTGTGAAAACACAAGAACATTGGAGGCAAATATTAAGTTGATCATATGTCACCAATAATCTAGAGTTTTGGGAAATGTGTAGACACGTTTACTCATCCCTACCATGAACAAGCATTCCATGTAATCTTCATGTCCTTAAGTTGAAGGGGTACATTTAACCCCCTTCGCTGCCACACCTGAGGCTCTGGAAGCAAAGAGGCTTGTTGTATACCCTATATGGGAAACAGTTTTCTAAAATCATGATCTCATACTCCAGGAGATCAGGACTCTGCTTTCTCCTTTTCTTTCTTCTTTCCTTTCTTAAGGAAGGAGGGTGTGCGGAATTTCTTTTTCTTTTTGGAGGGTGACTTGGTGGGGGAACCTTCTGGAGAAGCGCTGGGTGGTGGCTCATTTTTTCCTTTTGGGGTTTCTGTGTCTGTGACTTTTGCTGGAGTTTCCTCAGGACGAGACTGATCTTCCTCTTTTCCATTTAATACCACAGATGGCAAGACCTTTTCTTCTGCAGTCTCTAAGTCTGTGGCTGTTTGTATGTCCTCTTTAGTCTCTACTCCTTTACAAAAAAAACATGGACAATACAAAGATCAATAGTTCATATGACATAAATAAATGATTATGACTTTTTAATTGGAGTTAGGAATCTAAAACATTATTATATCACTGATAGCCTTAGAAACCCCTCTCTCTGCTGGTGACTTGAAGATAAAATTACCTATAGAGAATCATCATAGTTTCTTGGGCATCAAGACTAAAATGTCCACTAATAAACTTAGGAGGAAGAAAAGTATTCACTGAACACTGAATACAAGAAAAATACTAGTCACTTCACACAATTTCTCCTTTTCATTTTACCCATCTCATATTGTTATACCAATAAAAGCAATAGGTGCTAATTTTAAGAGAAAACTGGCATAATCATGGGATATTGGGAAGCAATTACTATTCCAGATTTTACACTCATAGTAGGGTCACATATTTTGTAAAGAATGGTACTGTGTTAGATGTGGAAATACAGAGAATACTTTTACAGTATAACTAGTTAGAATTAGCGTTAAAACGTTCAAGATCACTTAGGTCCCATCTAAGAGACTTATGTAGTATTAAAAGCATACTTTCTTCTGGGATAGCTTTTAAAGGTATCACCATTTACATTAATGTTTTTGTGAATTATTTTTCCACTATCATTATAAAAAATGGAAAAGTTGCTAATTAAATCAAAAAGATTCATATTTGGAGCATGTTTACAGCTAAATAAAATTGAAGAACACAAGCAAAGGTGCATTTTTCATGTTAAGAGTGTTAATCGGAGTAACAAGGCTGCATTTGCAGTTAGTTAACAGGGTGTGAATTAGTTATATTGTACTTAAAGCACATGGAGAACATATATTGAAAGTTTAGCATAGCAACATGCAACCCTAAATTTACTATACCAAATAGGAAAATGAGTTTCACTAAGCAGTGACTTGTGATTCAACAGGGGAAAAGCTAAATTTAGGCTGAAATAGTTGAAAGGTTGGAAAAACAAGTCAACTCAGATAAATTGGAGGCTATCTTACTAATAGGGTTTCATGGACTTCGTTTTACAATTCACGTGTAAACTTGTAACAGTTATTATTATGTTATTATTTATATAGCGCCAACAAATTCAGCATTGACTAAACTTCAAATATTTGTTCTCATGTGTACAGATAAAAATAATATATTCCTGCCTAAGAAACATTCCCTAGATTGATATGTTTACATGAAAATTTCTTTAGAACTCTACTGGAGGGGGATTTATCATCTTTCAGTTTGATTGATCTACATTCCAGAATTGAGTTACCAACACAGATGATGTCTGGCAATAGGCCACGTTACACATCATTTCCTGGCGAGATATGAATAGCTAAAAATCTTAAAGACTTTTTTCTGTATACATTTTTGGGACTTTATGAACATTACAAAACCATATTCACTTCATGCAGAAAAACTGCAAGGTAGTTAAGATAGTTCAGTGAATGGACTGGGTAATTTCCAGGTAAAAAACGTAATTTAGGACCTTGGTCTAATTTTTTGTTGCCATCAATCCATTTAAAAACAGTTTAACCAAATCGATATTGTGGAGAAAATGTTTCTTCAAGTAGTTACTGCAGGCCACCAATGTGTCAGTGAGGAAGCCTGACACGATTTCCAATTAAACAGAACTGTATAATACCTACAATTTAGACTATTGGTATAAGAATCACAATGAGAATCAACAACTGCATACAGGGTACTGTAAGTGGTGTTTGGGCATTATATGGTAACCAATCGTCTGGAATGTAGGTATCGAAGAGGGAAGGTGGTTGGTGTTTTTGGAGAAGAAGCATAAGGGCATGGACACAGAAGCAAAGCAGGTCAGCTATACTTACTACAAAGACAGGTATTCAGAGTCTGAGGTGACTCCTGCCATGAGAGAGCACATGGAAAAAGAAGGGGAGACGTTGTGGGGACACACACACAAAGACTCAATGACAACGTGTGATCACAATGAGTACAGAGAGAACTAGATGTATCACGGAGGAAATAGAAAAATAGGACAGAAGGTGAGAACAGGCCTAGATGTTTATTTAGGTACTAATAGGCACAAACCTCTTACCATCCTCTTAACATAGGCTTATGAGGTTGTGAATGGCCATACAACATTTTTTATATCAGCGAGACACACTGCACATTTTCATGGAATACCAAACTTCAGATTGCAGTAACAAAAATAACTAAATTTCTGCAAATTAAAACAATGATTGAAAACAATTACCATTTTAACTAATAACAATCATAGACGTCAATCAGGAATCTTCCAATGAGAATCTACACTGCCTAATGTAGATACTACCCCTAAGTAAACCCAATATATTTTGTTTCCAATTTCAAGATAGGGTACACTATGTTCGTATTTTACTCAGTGAACATTACTTACCTCTCCATATGTAATTGCATCAGACTAATTCAATACTTTCCAGGTATCTCTCTTTAGAGGGGACTATGTAAGACCCAAATCCTTTTGATCCTCATTCATCCCCTATTGTCACTTATTTCCAAAAGCCTGGAACATTAGTTGTTTACTAATGTATTCCAAAGCTCCACAGCACTCTTTGTAAATTAGTTTGTGTAACTAGCATACAAAAGTACAAGGTGAATGAACTAAAAACTTTTGGTAGTGCTCTGCCCATCAGATATTCCCCAGTCAGTTCCTCCCAAAATACAAGCTTCTGTTATTGATCATATGATATGTTAAGTTGCAGGCCGAAATGCCTACTATTAAGTTGGGCAGATTGATTCACAAAAGTAAAAATTGTTGGAAAATCTAAATTAATTTCAAATTGAAGGCACAAGTAGCTAGAGAGGAAATATGGTGATTTTTTCCTGTTTAGCTATTTTGGCCATGAATTTGAAATTCACTTAGAATTTCTGATAATTCTCATTTTAATGATTTAACTTGGGAATCTGTACCAGCAAAGGATATCTATCACTGATTAAAAAGAAACATTCTATCAGGAGGCAGAAATCAACCGATTTCAGTATATAAAGCAGTTATGGCATAATACTGGTTTTTTTAAACAACCAACATTTAGTTTAATCCACTCTGCTTTTCTCAATAACTTACTACCCAATGTGAATATCCAAAATTGGCAAACTTCAGTGCTCCACCTGATGTCCCATAACTCATCTTTTCGTTTGCCGTATCCCAAAAGAATTGATTAGTTCATGCATTGATTAAAAGGTGAACATGTTCAGGTCAGCTGAATAGGGTTTGTGCACAAGGTTAAATAGGAAGTAAGTACCTAACAAAAAAAAATCACACAAGGTGTGACCCATGACATGTCTTTTCAAAAGGATCTTCTTGGTGTTTCTTCCCAAGTGGATATCTACCACATGTCCCTTTATTGGAGGGACTGTTCTTGGTGAACAGAGCCACGATTAAATCATCATGGCTTAATTGCCAGAGTTCCAGACCAGTTATCTGTGAATGGGCCTCTGTTACTCTTTTAATGTGCGTATGTGTATGACTTTCTATTTAATGCAAAGACAATTGCCATTTTTCTTCTTATGTGTGCTGGTAAGTTAAAAGAGATGGGTCACAGAAACCTGGAGGTAGCAGTAATTGCGGACTTTGCTCTCAACTCACTTAAATATTCGGATTCTCCAGTAATTTAGCTCTTTTTCCATGTATAAAAGGATGAGTATGCAGAGGGCCTGACAATTGTATTTTTGCTTTTAAAAACTGAAGGAGAAAGTGATATAATGTGGAAAGAGGATTATGGGTAACACTGCTCTTAAAGAGAATGATATGAAAAGGTACTAAAATCTGAACTAAATGTGGAGTTAAAAGACTGGATAGAATGGGGGAAAAACAGGGAATTATTTGGAAAGCAAGGGAGAAACCAGGTGAAAGATGGTGATGAGAGAATGCAGTTTGGCTAGGATGGATAGCTAGGATACAGAACTGGGTGAGCAGGGAAAAGGTGGTGAGACAGTGGATGAAGGCGACAAACAGGAATTATAGATAGGAAAGAGTTAAAAAGAGTTCACCATAGAGTTAAAAGAGAGGGAGGGGGACAAAAAACTGTCGAGGGAAAATGAGCTATGAAATAAAATGCAGAAAAATAGAAGAAAAATGATGGCAAGGAAAACAATTTTAAGCAGAGATTGGAAACTGACAGAGATAAATATACAGGGGCAGGAGATTTGCATAGGAAGACGGATATAGGTAAATTGAAAAACAAAATAAGCAAATTAATGAATTGGGAATAAGGAATGGTTAAAAAACCAGCAAGAAAAATCCTGGTAAAGAAGATGGAAGAAATGTGAAGATGGAAGGACAGTAAAGAGATAATGAGAGTGGTTGAGTGAAAAAACAGAGTAGGAGAATAGAGTGAGATATTAATGATGGACACAAATTGGACCTTAAAAATACTTGCACTAATACTGTATATGTGAAGGTCTGATCAACTGATTTGTGCCACTATGGTTTGGTAGAGGATATTTTCTTATCTGAAATATGTGGACTGCACATATTATTTGATTTCAGCCATTTAAAATATGGAAGTATTCTGAGTTTCCCATCAATATACACAACTGATAGTTACAGAGAGACATGTCTACCTACCTTCTGAAGACTTTGAAGGAGATACAAATACACCTGTTGTTTTTGTGGGGCTTCTGGCTGGAGATGTAGGTGGGGTCACCAAAGAAGGCTGTGAGTCCTCAATGGTTGCTTCCTTGTCACCTAAATCTGTAAATAAATGACACATTATATATATTTTTAGCAGCAGTGAAGCAGGGCCACAGGTGGCAACGTATTATCCCAACCAATTACGCACACTGCAAGACCACGCCCTTACAACATAATGCAAGAGAATTCTCCACAACTCGTAAAATCAAAGTTATGCTTTTCAGACGATATTAACATAACTGAGTCACTACAATTGATGTTGAAACTAATGTTTCACATATACCAGCTAACATTTTTGAATGGCAAAAACATAATCTATGCGGCAGGTCAACGGTAGATCCTAAGCCAGAGTCAAAGTACTTGTACGACAGAGCAGGGAATTCACCTCTCTAAAGGAGTCACTATTTTCCAGGTGCCCTTGCGGGGGGGCAAAATGGATGGTGCGCCAGCCTCTGTGTGTCACATTGCCTTTTTTCATTTATATCAATTGGTAGTTCTCAACATTTGGGATGTATCTTTTGGGCACCCCTGTTGTAGGTTTTCAGCTGAATTATTTATGCCAAAAGGCTGGCTTGGACTATAAACCAGGCTAACTTTCCATACATCTATGAAACAAAGGCTTATGACAGTCGACTGGGAAATATTGACTGGCAATATACTAACCATCAGGGGCCATCTTCTTCCTTTCCACCTCCTTTTTGTATTCCTCCAGTTCCTGGTCAGTCAGTTGGCTAAATGGGTTTGGTGGCTCTGGTTCTACTGGGGTTTCTTCCTGTGGTTGCTCCTTTGAATCTATTTCTGTTTTGGAAGCTAGATTGCTTTCCGCAGACTAAAAAGAAAATCGGAAACAATTATATTTTCTGTTATGTAAAATCTACATTGTAAAAGCTGAGAGTGGGTCAAAGTATGGCTATAAATGTAATTGCTTTTTTTCCTAATGAAAACACATCAGTCACCATAACCACTACAGCTCAAAACATGACATGTCCACTTTAATCCTTTTCATTCATCTCAGAACTCACAATGCTGTCCTCACGCTGTCCCCAGTCCTCTTGCTGACAAAGTATTCTGGATCTGCCAGGACAGTCTGATTTTATGGGGCACTATAGAAAAGTTCTCACTGGTTGCAGAATGAGAGCATCACTGAATGTGCTACTTTCCATTTTTGATCACTGGAGAATATTTAGCAGTGCTCTGTGCAATGGTAGGCCTGTGTAACAACCTAGCAGTCTGTCATCAAGGTAGGTATATGCACTGGAATGCTATGTCTCTTTTCTGGCTGATGTGTATAACTAGTGACATAGCTGTCATGCACCCTACTAACCAGACCCCCTCATATGTAGATTTCATACCTCTCATCATTAAGGGAAGTATGCAGCCATCAATGAATTTACGTAGCAGGGGCGGGCAATCAACAATTTACATTTGCTTATAAGTTGTCCATAATTTTACCCAGCAGCCAAACAAAATAAAAACATTAAAGTGAGGGGTTGCTACCAACTGGTGATAAAATGACCTCCTCATTTTAGCTCGCAGATGCAGACAGTCTAGCGACATAGTATCATACCAAAGTGTGAACTAACCTAGTTTTATAGTCACAGCTTTTTCGGTGAAAACATTGTTTGACTGAGACATGATCTTTAATATATAATCTGGTCTACTGTAATTTAGCAAAGATTGATATTAAATTTTACTATTTATCAGTTAGAGGTTATTTCCTTTTACCCTTTCACACACTATGGGTGCCTACATGTGTCAAACATGGAGGTAAGGATGACTATCTGCAAAGCTTTAGCTTTTATGGCCTTTCAAACTACAGATGCCTGTTTAAGCCAGATAACAGTATATACTATATGTATGCATTATGCCAATCAGATTTTGTTAACATTTCTGCTTTGTTTCATCATCTGAGCTTCTCAAAAGGAATTTAAAATCATACCGGACTTCTGCTTTTATCTGTTATGACACTAGCTAATAATTGAGACTGAGGTCCAGCAGATTTCACATCTTGTCGATTTTGTTCTCGTATCTGGAAGACAAAAAAACAAAAGCCACAACTGTTTAATTTAGTTTTAGTCTAGATGTTGGACAGGGAAATGTTATGGGATCTCATAAATTCATTTATTGAATATAGCCCATCTGACTGCATAATTGAATGCATGTCATCATATTACATCACATAGGGATGTAAAGTAGCAGACAAACAAAAGACCATACTGGTTAGTTTCAGTTCTCCATCCCAGTCCTTTTTGAATTTAAAATGGTCCCAAGCCATGATGCTGCCTGGCTCTAAGGACAAAATGTTGTCCCCACCATGCATTTTAAATATACCTGGAGATCTCCCTGACTGGCCTAGCACATTCTAATATTTGGGGTCATAAGAAACTTGTGATCTGTATTAAAAATTATCTCCACCAGTTGGAGGTGTAAACTGAATGCTCCACCCACTACCAATCAGGGTCCCTACCATCAGGTTCCTACTCTTTGGTCCAAGGTAAGCAAGAGGGAGGAGGATAAACTTACAAACACAAACCACAGTCTCTATACACATATACATACTACAGATCTGTGCACAATCCCATTCTACAGACATTATAGGCCCTATATACAAACATACTACAGCTCCTATCCATGCATACGCACACACACACTACAGCCCCATATGTATACCATAACTCCCACACACATACACATACCACTTAAATACCCTCTTTACGCACACTACAGCCTCTATCCAAACATGTTATAACACAAACAGCTCCCTTCAAACATACACACATACTACACCACAAATAGCTCCTCCACGCATGCACAACTTCACAAATAGCCTCTCCGACATACAAGAGCAAGCCCACAAGTAAGCATCCTCCACACACATAAGCAGTCTCACAAGCAGCCTCCTCCATAAAAAGTTTCTACACACTAACGTGACACCACAAGTAGCCTCCTCATACCGGTACAACACAGTCTGGTAGCACCATCTGTTTGTACTCTGGTGTCACACGTATTGGGGCAGCAGAGACAGGTTTTCACCAACTATAGCACAAGCATCTCATCAAATTCTCTTGCACCTTATAATGCAAACACAGAGCATTTTGCCCATGCATGAACACTACAGCAGGATTCAGACCTGGAACGGAACATGCATGTCATTGTTGATGGCACAACTCCCCCTCCCCTGCACCACTGACTTGTAATATTAACATATTTGTGATGCACGTATATATGGATTTGGAATATTTAGATCAGGGTAAGTATATCATGGATACTGGCAAGTAAAAGCCAGACTAGTAACGTAGAATTTGAAATTTTAGGCTCTGGTCTAGACAATTTTTTATAGTTTTCAAAAATGTATAGCTTGTATTCATGATGATCACAGAAATGTTAACAAATGTGAGAGTTTACGACAGCTTACGATTACGATGAACAGACTATACACCCAAAGTATGAGACATTGACAACAGCCACAAAGATTACCAGAATTTAAGGACCACTAAAGTCACACAGATCACTTCATCTCACACAGACAACTTCAAGAAGAGTGCTGGGTGCAGTCGTCCTGTCATTTTAATTCTCCAACGAAACACCTATGACCTATGACCCAGTTTCTTGAGGTTGCAACTCACAGGAAAGCATTGAGTCCAATGGTTACCCATAAGTAGCATTTGCATGCACACGCTGCACATGTTCCTCAGTTTTAATTGCTCCTCTATGAGGAGCATTGGATTGGCCATCAGTTCGAGAGCCAGATAACGTCTCGGGTGGAGGAGTGGCTGGAAGAACGGAGGGAGTCTTGGTGCTGGAGTAAAGGCAATTAAAAACCTAAAAAAGGACCTAAAACAATTCTGCAGATAGGACATTATAACATTAGGAATGCAGGTTTATATATACTTTTATGTAACATATAAGACAGTGGGAATTAAATAGAGTAGTTCAAGGGCAAAAGTCTAATGTATGTTCAGAAATCACATTGGAAACAAGATGGCAATTCTAGGTGGTTAACTTACGTTAAGCGATTTACCCCAGAATTGTTCTTTTAGAAATAATCCTTATTTGTGTTGATTTTATATATTTCACACATGAGAAAATCTGTGCATATTACTAAAAGTTTTATTAAGATTCATTGTCATGCACGGGCCTTATCAGGAAAGACATACAGAGACTGCTTTTAACCCACCTTGTTTCTTGTCTCGAGGACTTCACGAGGATCTGTAAACAGTGGAACAAACTGATTGGGATTCTCAATACGGATAGGCATTCCACTGCTAGGCTTCACCACCTCATCTGCTTTCAACCACTATACAAAAACACAGAGTCAGTGTGTACTTGGGCAATGCGAGCCTTGATCACAAGCCACACTTATAAGTCACAAAACAATTTTCACAAAACTGTTAAGGCCACCGTTCATGATATTCCCCCTAAAAAAATATTGTAAGTGCTACTCGGTATCCCTGACTTGTCACTGGGAGCTTACTGTGGTCTTGCTCCTGGGGCTTCCTACATTTTCCTCGCCTACATTGACCCGTAAATAAGTGTTTGGTGTATTAAGCCAGCGAGTCTTCTCCTTCTGCTGCTTCTGAGCATGTTGACGTAGTGTGGAGAGAGGAACACCTTCTTCGTCGAAAACAAAGGCAGTAACAGTGGCCGGGATCTCCACATCACTCTTATGTCTTGTTTTTTCTTGGACAAATGGGTGTCTGTAAGCATATCCAGTGCGGTAACCCTACAAAATGACAAATAACGAAGGGCAACATGAGTTTTATATGAGCAGTAATAGCATACAGACAGCATACCTAGTATTGCATAACAATAAAGAAATCTAAATGAATGGTTAATGTCAATTCTGTGAAAAAGTGGTATCTGACACACACACACACCATGCCAATGGCACCCCTCCCACCTGTGCCTTCCCTCAGTCCAGGACGTCTTAGCAGCACCATAGGCCCCCGGGAAGAATCCTTTGACTGCATAATTATACTAAACATTACTACTGTTGTTTCTTCTTTACTCTTATTATATTTGTGCTATAGGAGGCAACACTTGTGTAACTTACTAAGACTACTATAACATTACAAAGCACTATATCCAATTAGTCTATATGTTTCTAATATTTTACAGGCTGTGACAATTGCTGTATATTTGTACTGTGTGAGATTCACTTAAAAAAAATAGGAGAAAACTCTGGAAAACTACACAAACAGACTGCTAAACAGAAACAGCAAGCAGCCTTCCCTCATTCCTCACATTCTGGGGGCAGTTGAAAGCAGGCCATTTCAGTCAGAGTGATACTTGCTCTGCTCTGAGAACTCAGGTCTTGCTGCCATGTGCTACTTATGGCACAGGGTAGGTGGCAGGGGTGCGTGAAAGCTGCACCCTTGTGCTGTCCTGTATACTGTGTGGGCCGTGGAGGTGGTCTGATACTCCTTCAGCTGTGGCGCCCATTCTTGAACAGCGTACAGTCCACAGCTTAACTGACCTGACAGGAGTGCCGGCTTCTTCCAAATTCGGAGAAAGTGTAGGGGCACACATGAGTAATCCGCCCCATAGTGAGTACTGTGGGCCCTGGACAACTGCCCAGCGTGCCCATGTGTTAAAGGACCACTCTAGGCACCCAGACCACTTCAGCTTAATGAAGTGGTCTGGGTGCCAGGTCCTTCTAGGGTTAACCCATTTTTTCATAATTATAGCAGTTTCAGAGAAACTGCTATAATTATGAATGGGTTAAGCCTTCCCCAATCCTCTAGTGGCTGTCTCATTGACAGCCACTGGGCGCTTGCGTGCTTCTCACTGTGAAAATCACAGTGAGAGCATCGCCAGCGTCCATAGGAAAGCATTGTAAATGCTTTCCTATGAGACAACTGAATGCGCGCAGCTCTTGCCGCGTGCGCATTCAGCCCGGGGAGGAGAGGAGGAGGAGGAGGAGGAGAGCTCCCCGCCCAGCGCTGGAAAAAGGTAAGTTTTTACCCCTTTCCCCTTCCAGAGCCGGGCGGGAGGGGGTCCCTGAGGGTGGGGGCACCCTCAGGGCACTATAGTGCCAGGAAAACGAGTATGTTTTCCTGGCACTATAGTGGTCCTTTAAGATGGCATTGCCTCAGTCCATCCTACCTGACCTCCGTCCAGGACAGACTGAAGGGAGGACAATGGAGAACTTGGACTCGGGATAGAACAGAGATAATTTTTAGTATTTTTTTTAATTTTCTTTAAAGTGGTTTATTTTTTGTTAAGTTAACTTCTTGTTTAAGTTCTAATTTTTCTTTAAATTTGGGGTGGAGCACTGAAAAAAGGGTTAGTCTATAACCAAAAACCAGTGTTTGTTTTGTGGGTGTAACCATTTAAGCTGCGAACCAGTATGTTCTATCATACAAGGCTCTGCTGAGTATCAATTCTGCCTTCTTACATAGTTTAGCTATAAATTACTACTGGTTTTAATAATGTCTGAGGCTTCTTCTTTTGTTCGTTTTTCTTTATTGAAAACATTTTGAGCTTGAGGGTTTGGCTATTACATTTAAAATGAGGTGTTTACTTTTTTGCTTTACTCTACGTTGTATTTAGAAGTATATTTTGGGATAACGAAAGTTTGCCATTTCAGCATTACCTTACAGGCTGAATTTCTGTGCTGGTAACCAATATTTTGGTACTATGGCGTAGTGGTGGGCTTAACACAATATGGCCATATAATGAAAATGAATCCCCATATTTGTTTGCTGAGAGGTGATTTTAAGTAGCCTTATTAAATATAAAACTGCATTTTTATGTGTGTGCTGTTCCTTAATCTGTATTATGTAACCTACATAAAGGCATACTTACGTGGTGCTGTAAACACTAAATTTTTTGTTGTTGTGAATTCTAACTACGGAAAAAAAAAGATCTCTTTTTACTTTTTAATTACTAGGTCCTTTTTTTTTTCCTTTGAGGTACAGAGATCTGGTATATACAGTTCAGAAAAATGCCCGATTTATTGAACAACCCTGATTAGTCTCCCTTTACAGTTATAGTAACAGTTTATTTTGTAATTAGTTCTTGTTTCTGAGGACTTTTACCTGCAGTACCATTTCCTAACCACCAGATGGGACATCAGCTTCTAATTAACCAGCTTCTCAAGTTCAATAATTTACAACATGCGGTTTTTCCACTTGTTTTCTAACTGGGGATTAATTAAATTTGGGGTACACTTGTGGAGAGTTTTGCAAGTAAGACCAAGAACTTGCATTAAATCATGAAAAATAAAAGAATGCATCAGACAAACTGACAGAGGGGAGAGCTGTGATGAGTGATGGTTAAGAAATGCCTGGAAGAAACATGCATCATGAATTGTACGGGGTTAATTTGTGCATATGTGAGACGGATGGACCATGGATTACAGCGATAAAGTCAGATAATGTACGAGTGAGCAAGAGAGCTTTGGTGGTATCTTCTGGTAAAAAGGGGATGCACGCATTATTTTTAAGGCAAAAAGAGCAGGTTTTGGAGATTGAAAGAATGTTAAGATTGAAAGAATGGTCAGAGTGAAAATCTTGGAGTGGCAGCAGGCTTGTGGGACAGGGATGATGGTAACACAATGGACCTAAAGGAAGACTGAAAACCAAGAGTTAATGCTTAAAGGATGAATGAGAAGATTAAATTGTGATCTGTTGCTTTATTTTTTTATAAAATATTTTACCAGGAAAGATACATTGAGATTTCTCTCGTTTTCAAGTATGTCCTGGGTCCACAAAACATTGCGTTGATACATTATGGTACAATAAAATACGAAAACAATATTAATACACAATAAATACAAAATTTAACATCGAACAGGTAATAAAATATATAATTAGCCATGACAGGTGCATTCTGTTTTGCGATATGTAGAGAGGGATCTCTTAAAGGATTTTAGGCTTGGGGAAGATTTGAAAGTGTTTCTAGATCATGTTGATTTTTTTTGATTACCGATTGAAATTATTTAAATATATATATATTTTTTTTTTTTTTTTTTTTTTAAATATTGTAATTCTTTATTTTATTTTTTTTCAATCTTTATTTTTGCAGTGCGTGAGTAACATAAACAAGCTCGTATCGCCACAACAGCATGTACAAGCTAAAACAGTAATACAGTGAATACAGTATTATGGCATGCAAGAATGGCACCATTTTTGTGTTAGCAAATGCAGGTTAGGTACTTATGTCTTAAGTTATAGCCTGTACTAGTTAGGTAAAAACGAGGTGAAAATAAGACATATCGGTTGATAATAAAGGATTACTACCATGAAAAGCGTGCCTTAGAGCTAGCATACTCTTAGATTAAAATTTTCAGGCTAAACATACATAAAGGCTAAAGGCCGCATATTCTGCAGGGTTCGGTAAGACATATATGTAGCAGGCTTAAAATTCATAAACCACTAGGCTTTTGAGGCGTGTCTGCATCAAGCTAGGCATGTTAAGAAATAGACCATTGGACTGAAAAAAGAGAAAAATCATACTTTTCTAGTAAAACAAAAGCAGAATATACATTTATGGCATTGCTGGTAACGTTCAGGAGGCAACATGTTTCTGCCTGTTTAGAGCTGCCTGTGAGTAAGTCCTGGTGTGCACGCTGTGGTACTGTCCAGGAGTGTGTTTATGCGTTCATCCTATGCCCACGATCGGGAAGCTGCCAGCAGGTTGGTCTAGGGGCCGCATCCAATTTAGGCCAATCCGCCGGCCCCAGGCCTTCTCAAGGGCCTTTGTGCACTTTCCACCACTCCGGTCCTGGGCGGTTGTGTGATGGAAAAGTCCCGCCCGGGCATGTGGGGTACGCAGCAGGGTGTTTCCCTTTCGGGCCCTCAGCCCAGGAAGGTAGATGCGAGCCTTAGATTTTATGGACGGCCTTCTCCGCTTCGCTGGTCTCCATTTCCCGGGCGTTGTGTGCGGTCTTTTCTTCCCGCCAGCCACTCCAGGCGGTTTTTCTGGCGATGAGTAATGCGGTCGTGTTGGGTGTATCGGCTCCCTCTGGAGCTGTGCCCCTTTGTTCTGCATTCTCTGCCAGAAGTTTTCGAGGAGATTTTCCAGGAACTGCTCGAGTGTCTGCAGTTGGTTCAGTGTGTCTGCAGCTAGTGCAGTAGCCGCCATTTTGAGGCAGATTACACCCCTCTATGTCTGTGCTTGTTAGGGATAAAGCTTGGCTGTGGTGATGGTGTCGGGATAACCCCCACCGGCAGGGGGGGGAGCAGGGACCCGTATAACGTCAGCTTGTTCCGGTCGGAGAGGCAGTAGGGAGATCGGCCGCTTCTCCCAGGCTCTCACCTCGAGGTAGGCCTCAGTGGCGGTGTGGGCTCAATCTGCTTGTCGGACACCTGGAAACCCTTGTGCTGTAGCAGAGTAGCTTACAGGTAGGTATCAGTACAAATTTAGCCGTTTGTTTGCTTTCAAAATACTGTTTTTAGGCGATAATTGTCAACTTTTGTACAGAGCCCACACTGCATGCAGCCTTTCAGTTTGGCAGCCAGGCCCCGCCCCTTATTTAAATAGATTTTATGCCCACAAGAGCCCTCCTGAGCTTGAGTTTAAACTCTATGCTTCAAATCATGAGAAGATTCCTATTTTAATATGGATGACAGTTCTGCGTGGTCAGGGATGTAATATTGGACAAAACTACTATTATCAGCCCATACATTGCACTATTACAGTGCATAGATCATTGTTAACTGGTTTTAATGGGAATCTGTCTGGTTAGTCACGAGAGAGTTCATTTCAGTGGATCAGATAAGACATGGGTGAGGTTGACTGGTAGACATGGAGATTTAGAGGCTGTCACAATGGCTGTATTACTTTTAATTCTTAAGATGAATAACATGTGCAGCACGCCACCTGTGCGTGGTGTGAACAGAAGGATGGTGTGGGAGTTAAAACTAAACAAAGGTAAGAGTGGTGTATGCAGTTGGAGCCCATAGAAAAAACAAAATACCTTTAGTGTTCCATTGCGAACATTCTGCAGACATCAATGATAATCGTGAGGGTGTGTGAAACAAATGACATGTGTTGTGCAAGCTCTTTGTCACTGACACTAAGAACACTCATTTTATAAGTCAGCAATTCAATTTGTACCATTTTTGTTACTCACTTGAGTCTGTAGAATTTTTTATTTTACTTGTTTAATGGTCAAGGAAGGAAACAACAAAAATACTTTGAGAAGATCCAGCAAGAGAGAATAATTAGATCAATAGTGATGTGGGGTGTAGTGAGAAACATTAAAGTGAGAGAGAAGATAGTATGCAAATGATAACAGGGTGCGAAAAGATAAACAAAATGTAAAAATGCATTCATACACAAGCATACAAAACTGCTAACCTGTATTCACACACTACCTCACACAAACACACCCCTGCAATAACACACACTGCAATACTAGAAAATATACCATGACATTCACACACACTTTCCACATACTAAATATAACGCTGGAACTAACACACACTGGCAGAGTTACTCACTGATGTTTAAACTGTTGGAAATTTATAGTGAATTCAAAGTACGTTATTTTTCAACCTTTTTGGCTTAAAATTAAAAATTGAATTCAATTTTTAAACCTACACTGATGAATAACCTTTATTATATAATTGAAAAGAGGAAGAAAGAACACTACCTAAAAGATATAGTCTAAAATTTAACTTTTAATAGTGAAAAAAATACAAAGTGATCATTTCACACATTTAATCTTAGTAAGTCTAGATATATGCATACCAAGACATAGAGATAATGTGAAAATGTAAGATTTAAAAAAATAGACAGACAGTATCTAGATATCAAAGGTGTAGTTAACAATGTCTAAATAGACTTGGGTATCAGACTCTGGATAGAAACTGTCTGCTATTGTGGTTTTCTACTGTTGCAATTTGTCAAGAGTACTCTGTTACAGTTAATCAAGCTTTGCAAATAGAAAACGTCTGCTGCCGTAGTTTCTGAAAACTACTTTGTTGCAAATTGGTCATAAACGAAATTTAACACTCAAGTAAGTATGACACCACAAAAATATTGGCTAATTTGACTATTAGATATAGGCTGCAGTTAGGTGTTCACAAGTATAATGTGAAGAGAAATAAATATGTAAGATAGCACCTTCTGGGAGTAATCCGTTATATAGAACCCCAAAGTAGATATAGTTAGAAGGTAAAGGTATATCTGTGCCTTCAAGGGCACCTAACAGACAGAAGAACTAACTGCAAGAAAGGAAGAGGAGAAAGAAATAGATATGTCTATAACCTCAATAAATAACTGTGCCTTCAAGGGCACCTCTCTTGTAGATATAGCAAATAAAGCTACCGTATTTTTCGCTCCATAAGACGCACCTCACCATAAGACGCACCTAGTTTTTAGAGGAGGAAACCCAGAAAAAAAAATATTCTGAACAAACTGTTCCATAGTGTTTCTTACCATGGGACAGTTTGTTCAGAATATTTTTTTTTCTCCCCTGTCCCATAATGATCTTTAACCCCCCTTTCCTCTGTCCCATAGTGATTGTTAACCCCTCCTACCCTGTCCCATAGTGATTGTTAACCCCTCCTACCCTGTCCCATAGTGTTCCCCCTCCTCCCCTTGTCCATTAGTGTTCTGATCCCATAGTGTCCCCCCCTCCCATTGTCCCATAGTGCACTTTCCCTCCCATAGTGTCCCCCCCTGCCCTTGTCCCATAGTGTCTCCCCCTCCCCTTGTCCCATAGTGTCCCCCCCCCTTGTCCCATAGTGTCCCCCCTCCCCTTGTCCCATAGTGTCTCCCCTCCCTTTCTCCCATAGTGTCCCCCTCCCATAGTGTCTCCCCTCCCTTGTCCCATAGTGTCTCCTCCCCTCCCCTTGTCCCATAGTGTCTCCTCCCCTCCCCTTGTCCCATAGTGTCCCCCCTCCCCTTTCTCCCATAGTGTCTCCTCCCCTCCCCTTGTCCCATAGTGTCTCCCCCTCCCCTTGTCCCATAATTACTTACCTGTCTTGGAGCGTGGGCCGGCTTCACAGCGCGCTCCGCGGTCCAGGAACTTCTATTTCAGGTTCCGGTTTCCGGCGGGACTGAAAGGAAGTGTGCACACTCAGTGTGCACACTTCCTTTCAGTCCCGCCGGAAACCGGAACCTGAAATAGAAGTTCCTGGACCGCGGAGCGCGCTGTGAAGCCGGCCCACGCTCCAAGACAGGTAAGTAATTCTTCACATTCGCTCCATAAGACGCACAGACATTTCCCCTCACTTTTGAGGGGAAAAAAAGTGCGTCTTATGGAGCGAAAAATACGGTAACTGGCTAGCATCTAGATATCTAAAGCCTTAATCGATATCCTTTAATATGTCTAGTGTCAATACCCTATGAGCGGCTAAATCCTTAATTTCCCTCCCGACATGCCCAAGGTCTACGTAACTCTTAACCGAGATATAGATTATAAAAGAATAATCTCTGCAAATGCAGAAGGTTTGGTGTTAGGAGGGATCGAAAAAAACCCCGACGCGCGTTTCGCCGGTAAGGCGGCTTGACAAATTGCAACAGTAGAAAACCACAATAGCAGACAGTTTCTATTCAGAGTCTGATACCCAAGTCTATTTAGACATTGTTAACTACACCTTTGATATCTAGATACTGTCTGTCTATTTTTTTAAATCTTACATTTTCACATTATCTCTATGTCTTGGTATGCATATATCTAGACTTACTAAGATTAAATGTGTGAAATGATCACTTTGTGGTTTTTTTTTTCACTATTAAAAGTTACATTTTAGACTATATCTTTTAGGTAGTGTTCTTTCTTCCTCTTTTCAATCATACTTGCATTTAGGGTTAACCCCTTCACTACCTTGATACTTTACTTTTATACTAGGCTTTCACTTTGTTAAACCCTTATTATATATGCTCTTACATAAACACACATACAGTATCTCACAAAAGTGAGTACATCCCTCACACTTTTGTAAATATTTTATTAAATCTTTTCATGTGACAACACTGAGGAAATTACACTCTGCTACAATGTAAGTAGTAAGTGTACAGCCTATATAACAGTGTAAATTTGCTGTCCCCTCAAAATAGCTTAACACACAGCCATTAATGTCTAAACCGTTGACAACAAAAGTGAGTACACCCCTAAGTGTAAATGTCCAAATTGGGTCCAATTAGCCATTTTCCCTCCCCGGTATCATGTGATTTGTTAGTTTTACAAGGTCTCAGGTGTAAATGGGGAGCAAGTGTGTTACATTTAGTGTTATCGCTCTCACACTCTCTCATACTGGTCACTGGAAGTTCAACATGACACCTCATTGCAAAGAACTTTCTGAGGATCTGAAAAAAAGAATTGTTGCTCCACATAAAGATGGCCTAGGTTATAGAAAGATTGCCAAAACCCTGAAACTGAGCTGCAGCACGGTGGGCAAGACCATACAGCGGTTTCACAGGACAGGTTCCACTCAGAACAAGCCTTGCCATGGTCGACTAAAGAAGTTGAGTGCACATGCTCAGCGTCGTATCCAGAGGTTGTCTTTGGGAAATAGATGTATGAGTGCTGCCAGCATTGCTACAGAGGTTGAAGGAGTGGGGGGGTCAGCCTGTCAATACTCATACAATACACAGTACACTGCATCAAATTGGTCTGCATGGCTGTCGTCCCAGAAGGAAGCCTCTTCTAAAGATGATACACAAGAAAGCCCGCAAACAGTTTGTTGACAAGCACACTAAGGACATGGATTACTGGAACCATGTCTTGTGGTCCGATGAGACCAAGATAAAGTTATTTGGTTTAGATGGTGTCAACCAGGTGAAGAGTACAAAGACAAGTGTGTTTTGCATACAGTCAAAACTGGTGGTGGGAGTGTCATGGTCTGGGCCTGCATGAGTGCTGCTGGCACTGGGGAGCTACACTTCATTGAGGGAACCATGAATGCCAACATGTACTGTGACATACTGAAGCAGAGCATGATCCCCTCCCTTCGGAGACTGGGCTGCAGGGAAGTATTTCAACATGATAACGATCCCAAATACACATCCAAGACGACCAGTGCCTTGCTAAACAAGCTGAAGGTAATGGTGATGTATTGGCAAAGCATGTCTCCAGACCTAAAACCTATTGAGCATCTGTGGGGCATCCTCAAACAGAAGGTGGGGGAGCGCAAGGTCTCTAACATCCACCAGCTCCGTGATGTCGTCATAGAGGAGTGTAAGAGGACTCCAGTGGCAACCTGTGAAGCTCTGGCGAACTACATGCTCATGAGGGTTAAGGCAGTGCTGGAAAATAATGGTGGTCACAAAAAAAAATTGACACTTTGGATCAAATTTGGACATTTCCACTTAGGGGTGTACTCACTCTTGTTGCCAACGGTTTAGACATTAATGGCTGTGTGTTGAGTTATTTTGAGGGGAAAGAAAATTTACTGTTATACAGGCTGTACACTTACTAGTTTACATTATAGCAGAGTGTAATTTCTTTAGTGTTGTCACATAAAAAAAGACATAATAAAACATTTACAAAATTGTGAGGGGTGTACTCACTTTTGTGAGATATTGTATATGCAAAGACACAGATGCATTCACATGAATGAAATCACCCGTCAGCCCTGAATTACATACTCAAACTCCTGAACTCATAAACTTCAATTGACAACGGGTTTGTGGAAGATGCTCACGGTTGTTAGTAAAAGTAATGAGATTTGGTAAAATAATAATAAAATAATAGTCAGGATTGGCAATAATTTGACATTTTAACTAGTGAGTTAAAAAAATGTTTGAGTTCTCTTGAAAGACTGGGTTTGTATTATTCAAGGAGGTAACCCAGATGTTCTATACCTGGACCTGAGCCCAAGGTATTCTATAGAATACACTGATGTTGTTGTATTTTATTGTTAGCTATAACTGGCTAGGTGTTGAAGCATTGTTTTTTTCCACTTTGTGCATTTTATTTATATAGAAAACATAACTTTTCTTATCCAGTGTTTAAAAACTTACCAAATTATCCATCATTCTCATCAATGCCTCAAATTCATGCTCTCCCAACCTGCTCTTCTGCATGGGTCCAAACATGCTCCCCGCCCAGCCCACTGTCCCCACCTCGTGAGGACGATACTTCTCCCTGTCCAGCAGGATTAGGTTGTCTGGCCCTCCGGCACTAGGAACAGCCGAGACCTGAAAGACATCCCAAACACATATGAGCATTTAATGGTGACAAATACCACTCCCATAATCTCAAGGTAAAAAACTGTAAAAAGTGATTTGCTATTTAAGCTGCACAAACCTTACCACTGGAGAGCAATGTGACTTCAGAGCCATTTACTAAGAGCAGCAGTGCAGATGAATAATTCTGAGAGCTGATTGGGCGAGGAGAGCACCCCAATGATACAGTAAGGTGCTGAGTGCTCACCCCACACTCAAAATATTAAAAACTCAATTAGATATGGAAACCAACTGATCAATTTACAATCATCTTGCAAAAGCCTGTAACAGAATATCAACATTAGCATTTGTTGCTCACATATTTGACCACAAAGTTAATTTCTGATTCCTAGAACATATCATAAAATCACATTGCTACCTTCACAAAACTTTCTACATTTGTCGCTGTAGGTTTGATTTTTAGTCCACATGCCAATGACCAAACAGACAGGTGCACTGCTTGTATCACTGAGGTCTAATCAGATGTATACTTCAACAGTATTATTCTCATTTATGCTTATTAAAATGTAAGGATATATATATATATATATATATATATATATATATATATATATATATATATATGGCTGCATCACGGTTTAAAAGTCCAAAGTTTAATGAAAAAACGGTTTAAAACATCATTTAAACCGTTTTTTCATTAAACTTTGGACTTTTAAACTGTGAGTGCAGCCATACCTTTGGATTTTTTTTGGATATTGAAGCTGTCTTTGGTTGGCACCCGGCCATTAAGGGACATTGGAGCGTGAGTGCAGGAGCTACTTGTATTTATATTATATATATATATATATATATATATTTAAAGCTATGTGGGTTGCCTGGGTCCTAGTACATGATTTCTAAATGTGATAACATTGCGTTAATCAGTGCTAATGAAAGTGGTGGCATTGTGAACAAGTCTGTGTGACGAAACACGTAGGACATGGCCAGATAGTTTATCTATGATATGCTGATAATCTCTTTATATAAGTTAAGTGCAATTTACTTAATCTGAAAAGAAGTGAAGTCTCGCTATGCCCTCTATTTAATGGCATAGTGACTGGAGACTATTTTTATTGGGGTAACTTGGTATCAATATAGTGGAAGGTTAATGAATGATTAACAGAGTGGTTGAGGAAGCACTGCTCCATTCATCATTCATGTGGCAGTTCATCCTTAATTATGAAGGAGACTGGAGGATCCACACTCAATTATTTTTCTAGATTCATGTAATGGAATCAGGGATGAGGAGATAGACTAATTGTGGCTACAACCAGTTTAGTGATGGCCCTGCAAACTTCCACTTATTTTTAATTGATTTATTTTGTGCATCACCGCAGGCCATGGGCGAAGGTGAATTTGTAGGTCAATATGTCATTTCTAAGAAACTGTGCCGCTTGCTTCAATTTGGCTGTTTGGTTTTTTTTTTTGTTTTCCTAACGTGATGCAATAGGTGTTTAATTATCTGCTAGTAAATATGTTCTGCTTCAGCTAAGTTGAAACTTATAACTGGAAACCTTCACAACCCAATCGCCAACACAACAGTTAAATGATAAATTCCATTAGTTTACATGAAATAAATAGTTAATCTTTTCCTGATTAGATTCCGGCAATACCACATAATGACCAGCAGGGTGAGCTTTTGCTTAAAAAGGTAGCTAATATCTCTGCATCGTTCGTATAACCATAGTAGATTAAAATGGATGGTGTGTGCTATTTATTACAGTTTAGTCGTAGCAATATTTTGCCATTCTAACATAATTTAAACTGAGATGGCATTCTCTAATCCCCCAGTGAATTTGGCTGTTTAACACATCACAGGCCTTGCACTGTTGGTTGCCATGGTGATTGTAGTGGTAGGGGGATTTATTCCTTTGGTCTATGTAAGCTCAGTTTCTTGTTTTTTTAAATATACCATGAGATGCAATATACATACATTATGAGCTTCCAGAATTGCATGTTCCAAGGGAGAGTATTACATTTTTTAGATTTAACACATTTCTCACATTCCATTATCTTTCTAGTCAATGAATATACTTTTTGTTGTGGTGTATATTTCATTTAGCCCCTTATGAATCATTTACTTCTTATGTTGTCATAGCAATCTATGAACCTGCTCAGTGATGGTATGTTCTATTTATTTAGTGACAGGCATTCCATGTTGGCATATGGTCCTCAAGGAACAGATTGTTATGACAGCATGGAATACCAGCGGCCTTTAAGAAGTTAGCATTATCTGTGTATATTTAAAGAGTAGTGATAGGAAGTAATACACATACAATACGATCATCTTACTTGAACATGAACTATAAATAATAAGCACATTAATTAGGATAAAAAAAACAACTGAACTGTACAGGAGAGTCCACATAAGCTCAGCTCTTACCTATTTGTTATGTACACTCAACTGTGTACGTGGAGGCCTGTATATATTCATGTCCTTTTCCTCTTCCCAATCACCCTTTTCCTCCCCTCCTTGTGTTTCTCCATTTCCTCTACTTTCTTTCTCTCTCTTCCTTCAATTTCCCTTTCTCCTGTTTTTGATGACTACCCAAGGCTACATTGGGAGTTCACACGCTGGTTAGGTGATCTGGTGATGTTTGATGAGACTCTATACTCTATAATCCAGTCTCTAACAGTTTGCCTTGACAAGGTGTTCTTAATTAAATATACAATGTGTTTTTGTGTCACCTTTTATTTTGTAGCTCACTGGGCAATATATTCATTGTTGATGTAGGGTGGAGCTCTTTCTGTACTCATATGTGACATGTATTTCTAAGTGCTGAAAATGCTTAACACAGTACGCAGCTTATTGTTTTTGCTACATTCTGTGCACCAATTTCTTTCGATAAACTACTATTAAACGCCAAAAACTGAACTGGAAAAAATGTACGGTTCAGCATTGCTGGAGATTTCTTCCATCTATTTAATACTGGTCTCAGTTTTTCAAGTTTCAGATCTTCTATATTACCTGTACAGGTAATGTATCTTTACTTAGCCCTCTAGGTATCACCTGACTCCGCTGAGAATTCCATTCCAGGAAGAAAGGAACAAGCAATGCCTTTTACAAGTATCAGTAATGGCCTGTATGCTGCACCCATGACAACCTGTGATTTGCCAAGCATTATCACCATCTTCTTCCCCTAGGACTAAAACCATTGCGTGTATACTGGAAGAGGTATTGCAAGCACATTACCTTCCCCACCTTTTAGCTTTCATCTATTATTAATAAATGCAAAAATGAACAATACATAATAGATACCTTATTGCACTGGAGAACACATAGTGATTTTAATATTTACAAATAATATCTGTAATATTGCCTAATGCAAAGCGGTAGTTTTAAATGATTCAGTGTAAAAAAATCAATAACTAACGATGAAACAATGCTATAATGACACCTCATTCAAAAAGAGTGTAACTCCATCATAGGGCCAGTTATAGTGCACTGTAATTTCTACTTGGAAATGCTTTGAAACAATCCCTTTCTTGTAGAAACATAAGAAAAACTTTACCTTAAAGGGACACTATAGACACTATAACGGTTTCATCTGATTGAAATGGTTATAGTGTCTTTAGTCCTCTGTCATTGTCCCTCCATACAGTGTTTAACATTTTAGCAGTTGAACACTAAATAAGGCTTCATGACCATCCACAGCCCCATCCCCCACTGGAGGTATGTCTAAGGCAGAGTATACAGTGAGGGAAAAAAGCATTTAATCCCCTGCTGATTGTGTCCACTGACAAAGAAATGATCAGTCTATAATTTTAATGGTATGTGAATTTTAACAGCGAGAAACAGAATAACAAAACAAACAAAAAAATCCAGAAAAACGCATGTCAGAAAAGTTATAAATTGATTTGCATGTCAATGAGTGAAATAAGTATTTGATCCATTATCAATCAGCAAGATTTCTGGCTCCCAGGTGTCTTTTATACAGGTAACGAGCTGATATTATGAGCACTCTCTTAAAGGGAGTGCTCCTAATTTCACCTCGTAACCTGTATAAAAGACACCTGTCCACAGAAGCAATCAGATTCCAAACTCTCCACCATGGTCAAGACCAAAGAGCTGTTCAAGGATGTCAGGGACAAGATTGTAGACCTACACAAGGCTGGAATGGGCTACAAAACCATCACCAAGCAGCTTGGTGAGATGGTGACAACGGTTGGTGCAATTATGGACTTATGGAAAATCAAGCTCTTTGGCATCAACTCAACTCACCGTGTTTGGAAGAGGAGGAATGCTGCCTATGACCCCAGGAACACCATCTCCAACGTCGAACATGGAGGTGGAAACATTATGCTTTAGGGGTGTTTTCTGCTAAGGGGACAGAACAACTGCACCACATCAAAGGGGCGATGGATGGGGCCATGTACTGTCAAATCTTGGGTGAGAACCTCCTTCCATCAGCCAGTGCATTGAAAATGGGTTGTGGATGGGTATTCGAGCATGACAATGACCTAAAACACGCAGCCAAGGTAACAAAGGAGAGGCTCAAGAAGAATCACATTAAGATCATGGAGTGGCCTAGTCAGTCTCCAGTCCTTAATCCCATAGAAAATCTGTGGAGGGAGCTGAAGGTTCGAGCTGCCAAACATCACCCTTGAAACCTTAATGACTGAGAGGATTTGCAAAGAGGAGTGGGACAAAATCCCTCCTGAGATGTGTGCAAACCTGGTGGCCAACTACAAGAACGTCTGACCTCTGTGATTTCCAACAAGGGTTTTGCCACCAAGTACTAAGTCGAAGGGGTCAAATACTTATTTCACTCAATGACAAGCAAATCAATTTATAACTTTTTTGGCATGTGTTTGTCTGGATTTTTTTTAAATTCTATCTCTCACTGTTAAAATACACCTACCATTAAAATATAACTGATCATTTCTTTGTCAGTGGGCAAACGTTCAAAGTCAGCAGGGAATCAAATACTTTTCCCCCTCACTGTATACTGACACTCTCAACCAATCACAGCTGCCCATTTCTACTCAGGCTAATGTTCCTCATTAGCCTGATAAGCACAAAGGTTGCAGAGGCAACACATACAGAAAATGATTATGAATAGCTCTGCAATGACCATTATCATTTCTGTTCAAGATGTTTTCGACACCATATGCAATGCATTGTTTGGAATATTAGTTTTTATCAATGCAATTTCACTTGTATACATTATTAAAGGACCACTCTAGGCACCCAGACCACTTCAGCTTAATGAAGTGGTCTGGGTGCCATGTCCAGCTAGGGTTAACCCATTTTTTTTTTATAAACATAGCACTTTCAGAGAAACTGCTATGTTTATAAATGGGTTAATCCAGCCTCTAAAGCCTCTAGTGGTTGTCTCATTGACAGCCGCTAGAGGCGTTTGCGTGCTTCTCACTGTGAAAATCACAGTAAGAAGACGCCAGCGTCCATAGGAAAGCATTATGAATGCTTTCCTATGAGACCGGCTGAATGCGCGCACAGCTCCTGCCGCGCATGCGCATTCAGCCGAAGAGGAGGATCGGAGTCGGAGAGGAGATGCTCCCCGCCCGGCGCTGGAAAAAAAGTAAGTTTAACCCCTTTCCTCTCCCCAGAGCCCGGTGGGAGGGGGACCCTGAGGGTGGGGGCACCCTCAGGGCACTATAGTGCCAGGAAAACAAATATGTTTTCCTGGCACTATAGTGGTCCTTTAACTATTAATAGTTTGAAACAAATGTAAAAACAAGGTAATCAGATGATCAGGAAGAGCTTGTATGAAGATAGTAAACATTGTGAGCTAAAGTTTGTGAACCTTGGATTTTCTTTTCAGTGAATATATCTTTGAACAAAAAATGCTCATGGTTTCACTCAAAGATATACTCTGTAAAATGTACTTACTAAGTGTTCCTCTAGGCAGAAGGATGTGATCATCTCATATCATACACAGGCCGCAATTTAATAAGCTTTCCAAATAATTCAAAATGTTCCAAATGGTTTATCTACAGAAGTCATCACTAAAGTCTGAGGGACTGTTCGTAGATAAATCATTTGGCAAGTTTTTCTAACAGTATGGAATCATTTGGAAAGCTAACTCCATGGAGGCGACAGTTTGCTAGTTTGTGCAGTGTTACCTGAATTTCACAAGCTTCCTGCAGGTGAAATATTTTATAGAAAGCTTCTTCCACCGATTCTCCTAATGCAACCACTCCATGGTTTCGTAGAACGAGAATCTGCAAGATGGAAGGTGAACAGTGAGAAGACATCATGGAAATGAAGAAAATTCACATTTTGCACGGTGACAACAAGGTAAATGTTAAATGTGGTTAACTGATATTACCATATGTAGGCAACTCTAACACCCTACATACACAGGGTGGGGGAGGAGGGACGGGACGGATTGCCTTCTTTATAAAAGCATTGATACCTACACTTACTGAAGAATGTTCTTTGTTTACTGCAAAACAAGCTTCCATCTATCACACCCCATTTAAAAAAAAATTTTCTTCTAGATCTTCCTTATGTTATTTAATGTAACTATCAAACAGGTAATATTTGAGAGAGATGTGAGAAAGATATTTTTGACTGTGAGAAAGATATTTTGAGCATTGGGCTAATAATTAGCCACTCTTTTTTTGACCAATCTCTGTACAAGACGTATGTTAGTCAGAAAATGCCCATTATAATGCAAGTAAACACTACAGATCTCTCTGAAAGGCCTTCTTCACTTTGACAGATGTCTAAATACTGCTAAACAGCATGAATGGTTTAGTTGGTTGATGCGCTAGTTGTAGAACATGTTCAAACCGCAGGAATTGCAAATTCTATTATACTCTTTCATGCTTTAAATGTAGAAAAAAAGAGCACATTTGCAATGGATAATGATTTACCAACTAAGAGTCAGGCTAAGTTAAAGTGGTTGTGCCAAGCTTTTGGGGCATTATATAGGATTGGTATGTTTCCCATACCAATCCTCAAGACCCACCAATAGTCCAGGAGTTATGTATTTCTCTGTTTTATTCCAATGGAGATACTGACAAAACTTGGACTGTTTGTGGATCTTACAGAGTGGTTTGGGAATCACTGATATAAGTAATTAACTTGTCACTGTTGAAATAATGTGCACAATGTTCAGGGATGCTGCTTCACCTTGCATGTAGGTCCGAGACGCTTTTGAAGTTCAATTCTGTCCTTCTCCTCTTCCATACTTCCATTGTATTCAAAGTACACCACCTCACCAGCCAGCAGAGCATCATGGGAGATGGGCAAAAGGCCGCATTTCATGGCGGACACCTGCAAGCAGAGACCATGACATTATTTAAACAGATATAAGAGAATAAGAAGTGATGCTTGCAACTTCCTAGATACTCGGAATCAGAATTTAGGTGTGCAAGCATGGTGGTTATTGTTGTAAGTCCTCAGAGTTTTTGGCATGTAATGCATTTTGCTGCCCCCAAACAAAGAATTTTAAAATCAAATCTTAAAATTGTATTTGTACTCCTAGTACACATAATTAAATGTACACTCAACTGAATGCTTTGAGTAAATATTCTTACAACAATGTCAAAATCATCATGTTACAAGCAAAGATAAATCTGGCTTACTTTCAGAATCCTCTGGCCTGCCCGTTAATCTCTTTATACACTAGATGCCATTTTATTGTCTGCTGAATGCATTCATGCACTTCTAATTCTTATTATAACTCAGGTTTTCTAGCGGTTCCAGACTATTTCTGTATTTCATTCATCCACAGATATTCCAGGCACAGTCCTACATACACCGTACTGTAGGGCTTTATTTCCAGTTGCCAACATTCCTAACAAAAACATTGTTTCATTACATCTTTGACATAAAAGGGTACATCATTTATTCTGCCATTCTGAATGATACACATATTACCCTATGATGAAATTGGGCAGGACTGGTCTGTAAGAAGGTATTATTTCACTGTATCTTACCGCGGTCGTTGCTGCTGTGTGTAGTTGGATAATGCATCTCACGTCTGGTCGTGCTGAGTAGATGGCAGAGTGCAAGCTGAAGTCATAGGTGTCAACCTCAAAGTTAGTGCTACCTGTCTCCACCATCTCCCCCAAAATATTGACCTTTACCTGTAGATGACATTTGGACAAATATATCATAACACAGGATCCTGTATCCAGGAAGCTGGGAAGAATTACTACAACGGTGTGAGTGGCTAGTCTGACACAATCCCACTAGGGTATTTCTGGATTCTCTCATCGAAATACGCTCATTGTGCATTATTGCAACTTTTGTTTTCTGAAACCTCAAAAGTGTGGAAAGAATGGAATTAATGCAAAAAAAATTGTTTTTCTTTATAACCACTTTAACTAAATCATAAACATATTAAATAGTTAATACTATTAAATCATAAAAATTAAAAAGTACTTAACAGGACCCTTTAGTGGGAGCAGGGCAGGTTAAAATCTAAATCCACACAGAGCTATGCTATCAAACAAAAGGCAATGGCTTTACGCCAAGTTCCTGCTATACAAAATGACAGCCCAACAGTAATAACAGAAAACTGTGATCAATGCTCCTGTCAACAGAAAATGAATTTGAGCAATATCTATTCAATATTCTATATCGATCCCATCTCTCTCGGCCGAGGAAAAAAATAAATACATAATATATCTGTATATTTTTTATATACATATAGTTAATACAATGTTAAACAAAAATCTGCACACCAGTCAAGCCATAAGACTTGCTTTTCCCACATAAATCACTATTTGTTCCCCACCATAATCCTTTTGGTTTTTGAGATTATACATATATATATATATATATATATATATACATACATACATATACACATTTAGAGGTCATTTAAGATAGGAAAGTGTCCATGGCATGATACCCTGAAAACAAGAGGAGAGTAGGTATGTGGGGAAAAGCAATTCAATAAATGATTTATTTGTAACCTGATAAAACCGTATGTCTTGATTTGTACTCACGAGGCTTGACGCCGTCACCTCAGAACAACCGATTCCTCTGGGGCTGATTAAGAAATGGTCCTGTTCTTTATTCACTCTTATCTAAAAGGCAGAAGAGAATATATAAGCATTCTATAAACATCAACTCTTCCATTTCTTTCTAAAGCTGTGTTTGGTTTTAAAATGTGCACCCTTTCAAACCAGTGCTGTGTAAATGCTGGATTTGTTTAGCAATACCTCAGAATTGACTTATCATGGTCTACAACTTGAGGTCAAGGTCTCACAAAACCATTCAATCAACATTTGCTGAGTTGTGTGAAAATGTAGGATGTGCTTCTTGTATAGATTATGCCTCCATATTTGTTTGTGTAGATTGTATTCATAACTCCACATGCTCTATATCTCCATGTGTGTCTTGTCTTTATATGTAGCTGGCATGTTTGCACATATCCACATGGCATGACTACATAACCCCATATTAAGCATGCCTTCACAGCTATTCTAACTACTAGAGACGGTTATATTGAGGAGTCAGAGAACTATATTGTTAAGTCGTCAGATTTACTGCTAAGCCTTATAATATAGAAATATCCTTCACTACTGATTCCTTTGGGATTGATCTCTTTTTAGTCCTTAACTATCACTGAAATGTAACTTTCAAGATACTTTTTTGGACTTATGATAATCTGAGCTATGCATGAAAGCACTTCAACTTCACACTGAGAATAATACATCACACTGTGCCAATTAATATGCACCTCGTACCCATGGCCAATCTAGACTTTAGATACTCTCAGCACAAAGTGAAGACCTGTCTCACCGAAGCAAAGGTCCCACTAAGTTGGGCCCATCCATAAAGATCCAGCAGTCTGTAAACACTGGCTAGTTTGCATCTCATGAGTCTCTCGCCCTTTGCCAGGGGAATGGGTTCGCTGCAGTGCATGTCGTTGATGGGTATCACCATGGAGCTATCTGGAAAATTAAGCAGTATCTTAGTTAACATCTAGTTTTGTTTCTTACTAAACATTTAATTGTATTTATACTCGGTTTAATCAAAACAAAATCCATATATGTAACTATCCCAGACGGTTACTTACTGACAGGACAAGCAGGGAAGACAGAGGGAGCCGTGCAGGCCATGAAGTCAGCAATTTGTCTGAGAGCCCAGATGTTAGAGGAGTTGTTTCCTTTCTTCATCTGCTCCTGGATAAGACTCTCCAGCTCTTCTCTGAAAGACTGAAATACAGAGACAATCACAAGCAAGTACACATCTGCTCTGAACTGCAAAAAGTAAAAAAGTTTTTTTAACAGGCAAGTTAGCATAAAGGAACACTCTGGCACCAGTACAACTTAAATAAAATTATAACATTAAGAATACAAATCTATACAGTGCATAAAGTGCCTCATTTTTGGATTTATTTTAGCTGCCTCCACCCTCTCCCCCTGTTTCCAGTAAAAACCTGAAACAAAGGCGTTCACTTACCTTTATTCCATCGCAGAGACTCATTCAGTACTGGCAGCTGTGCTACCTCTTGTGATGTCGTCCAGCTCTTGACCCAAGCCCGTTCCTCATTGAGGAGCATTGGGGACCTGATGCGCTGGCACAGAAAATGTTAAGTCTGTATTCAAATGCTTCTCAAAAGAAAGTATTGAATTCATGAGAGCTGCAATCTTACGTGACCAAGTTTTGCTTTGTCAGTGCAACGGAACTGCCTTTAGTGGCGATTTCTGCAATGTTTTACAATGCAGATTTAAAATGACAGGACTACTGGACCCAGACTTTAAGCCAAACCTTCCTATTTACAAAGCAGCTTCCTGATTGGAAGGTATGCAGTGTAGCTCAGCCCAGAGGCATAACCTAAGTTACATGGCACCTGGGGCAGAAATATATTTTGGCACCACATCCCGACGGAACTGTAAAATAAAAAAAGTGCTCTGTACTCTGCATAACCTTTTGTTATGAAAATTACACACACATACTGAAATTCATATAAATATACACAGTCATGTTTGCACATTCTTACATTCAGGTACATATATGCATTCATATATATACACAAACACAGACACACACATAGATATACAAACACATAGACTCATACACACACACACACACACACAAAGACTCACACATACAAACACAGAAAAGAAAAATGATGTGGAAACCCATTCAGAAACTTAAACTCACTGGGCTCTGTAGGATCATGGTGACTCGTTTCTTTTGCTCCATCACATTGAAATCTTGTCTGAGATCAGCTGCCATGTTTCGAATGCGTAAATACTCCGGATCATCGTCCGAATATCGATCAAAGTATCTCTGGCCATGTGAGGGAGGAGAGGACACAGGCTCAGGTGTAGTTTCGTTGCTCATTTTTGTAGCTTTCCGTCTTCCACTGGACACATTGATTCCTGTGAATAAGGCAAACCTTTATTAGTAAAAGGGAAACTAGAAGCACACACACTGCAACAGTAACTAATCAAGATTCACTTCTGGCAAATTCAAAGAAACCATTTGTAAGGATTTGTCTGCAAGTCAACAAATACCTGTAAGATGAGATTCCATAGAGATCTACATGGGAAGAGACTTTTGCAAATTAGATTCCAGTACATTTTAATGGGCACAATAGGGTTTGTCTTTTTAAGCAGGGAATTGTGGTAAACACAAAACAGATTTACCAAATCTACACTAAACCAAATCAGAAAGACCAAATATACACTAAAACTGGCACGTTGGAAAACAGCTGATTTGGACAATACAGTTATTTTGACCTAGAATAAACAATTTGATTTTCAATTAATTAAAACTCACTGTTTAGTAGGGAATAAACCCGAATATGTTTTCAATAACAATCGACTGCAAAGAAAATCTACAATAAAAACAATATAATATTATAACTTGGGATGTTCTTTGATACACTGGCTTCCAGTGATGCAATGTATGAAAAATAAATTATTAAGAAAACAGGAAAAGCTTGTTTCATAATGGATCCTATTTGTGTCAGCAGTATAAATGAGATAAAGAGATGTTTATAAAATGAGTGATGTGTGTTAAATTGACTTTGGCAGGCACAACATGACAGTGTTCAATCTGCAAACACTTTTATCTACATATTGTTCAAGCTGCCTGACTAGATTATCTGGGCAGATAAAGTATATTGAGTTCTTAACCTGACATAGATTTCCAGGGCTGAGAGAACAGGTAGACTCATGGAAATTAAAGGCCTACTTGTTCGTCACCAAATATCCTCTCCGATCTATCTCACAAACAACATATTCCAGGACAAATCATAGAGGATGTCAGGTAAAGCACATGTCGGACTTTTCTCATGTGATCAGACTGGAGCAGAATGCCTGGAATATTAAATGTTATCATATATTTTTTTGAATTGATATTCAAATTAAAATAACCATAGGTGTGCCATGCCTCATATACATACCTCCCAAGTTTCACTGTTTAGAATGGACCGTACCCAAGTCTCTTTTTTCTATCCTAATGTCCTTCTTTTGTAGGAGCTCCATGTTGCCGTTGTGTCTGAGCGTGTAACTCATCTCCACAGCAAATTAATCCTCACATTTGTTATGGCTATAAAATAATATCTTATTGGTATAAATTGTTATTAGAAGTCACCTAAAACTTTAGAACAGCCCCGGCCCTAGCCAGACCACACATGTTGGTAGGTCCGAAATTACACCATATACCATGTTGAAGTTATTTAATTATGTCCGTCATTTGCCTCCCTTTTACTATTTTAATAGAAATATACACATGTTGTCTGGCAAGTTTAAAGTGACACTCTAGTGTTAGGGATACATATCTGCATTTCTAACGTCTCAAGTTAGTATCTATCCTTCATGGAAAAAAAAAAGGTTTCCTTATCAAGCAGACCTTTTGGCAGAGCCTGTTTACTTTTGATGTTTTTGTTTTTTTACAATTGAACTTTAATCACACACACAGGAGGCTGCTGCAAACCATAGCAGGCAATTAATACTGCTGAAGATAAGAACTGCTAAATTACACACACTGTGCAATATGAGAAGTTTAACCCTTTCACCACCAAACACTTTCTGGTCAACAAAAATAGTGCTATAACATGCATTAGAATGAAGGGATGCATATAAATATAAAAAAAAACGAAAAAATAAAAAATAATTTAATGTATAGATTCCTTTTCAGACAAACATAAAATATCGATGATGAAATTATGTAAATTGACACAATTTTTCCCCCCACTACAAATATACAGCTATTTGGGGAATTATAATCTTAAAATAGCATACATTGTCCTTAATCTTGCAATATTTCGCACAGTTTCTGAAATGCTATATAATGGCAAAAATGGCACGTTTCTCACATAAAGTAGATGTGACAAAAAAAAAGACAAATAAAAGTGGTTAGACACCTTGCCTACAGGTATTTGCAAGGACACTGAAGGCATTACTAATAGTACAGTTTACTGAAAATTTCAACAGAATGAAAAAGAAACGTCTGAATTTGAGCATAAAGCTCACATACAGTAAATTTCATGAAATCATATATTTATTTAAAAAAAAAGTTATTTAAAACTGCTATATCGATTATTAGTAACCTCTGGAATGTGAATGTAATGCTTACAGTTAAATAATAGCATCCATTTACTCTTCTCCCTTCCCTGACAGTAGAATGTACCCATTGTAACTTCCTTTACCATTGGAATGCATGTTGTGTGCTGACATTTTCAGTGACTAGTGACTTTTGGCAAATAATTGCTCTTCTCTCAAGGCTGGCAATCATTCATAAAGTATTATTGAGTGTGAGTATAAGGTTTAGGCTTTACTGACTAAATTTCCTTTTGCACGAAAGTAAAAATGTTTCTACTCAATTCTGTGAGTGAAATGGTTACAAATTAGATCTGTTTAGCTGGAAATGTGGTGGTAGACTGGGTCACATTCAGGAGAAGTCTGGTTAGGACTGAATAAACACACATGCAAGGGCATGATGTCAACACCAAAACCACTTATTTAAGTTAAAGTTAGAGTGTTACTGAAAGTGAAATTATAGTAGAGATGGTTTTATATATTAGTTTTAATAAATCAAGTATTTTAATTTTCTTAAATCAAACTTTCAGTTTCATAATGCATCTTGAAGGTCACAATGTCACCTAAAATGGTCAAAAGTAGCCCTATCCTCTATACCACCAGCCACACCCAAAAACAGACTTTGGCCATTTGAAACCTGACTGGTATAAAGCGGAGTAGAATCATCCAAGGCTATTCAAGGAAAATTGAGTAGAAAAAACTACAAAAGAAAATAAATATAAAAGCCGCTTTAAAAGTATTCAACAATAACTCAGCTTTAAGAAAAAAAGATTACCGTTCAACAACACCATGTAACATACAACCTAGCTTTACAGTTAGCGTTGGTGTGAATAAAAAAGCCAAATCCGTCTGCTTGGGTGCTTATCCTGCTCTAAGCTTGTTAGTGAGACTGACATAAAAGAAAGTGATCCTGACTTTTCACAGGGTAATAGATAAGACGTGTTACTTCATGTTATTGAAGGGAGCGGAACAGAAGTCCAGATAAGTATGATTTGAGACATATGATGGAAATTTGCAAAGTTACTTTCAACCCCCTACAAAAAATACCAGTCTATAAAGGGTATTTTAGCTCAACCTCTAGCATTTTTACAACTTAGCGGTAGTGAAAAGTGAAAATTGGTGAGAATTCAAAGCAAATTTTAAACCTAAGGCCAAAATAGGCAAACTGGACAAATTCTTCAAATCAGATATGCTTCCAGTTCAGCTACAGGCCTTAAACTTGAAATTCCCTTGGAAATCACATAACATTTTCAATTCTCAGTTTAGTGAATAGCCCTGTATGTATTCAGGGCTGGATTTCCCATAAGGCCGCCAAACCCATGGCCTCAGGGCGGCAGACAATAGAGGGGCAACACTGTCCTGTATCGTTGCTGGTGCAATATGAGTGCTCTGGCGAGAAGGAGAATAGCTATTTCCCCTTCTCGCTAGGCACCCAAGGTGGCAGACACTCTCTCCCCCGCAAGCAGCCAAAGGAACTGCAGGAGACTGTGTGAAGATTATGTCATAACCCTGTGTGACCTTCTGTACCTCCAGCCTGCAATTATTGGAGAATAAGTGAGCGATGGGGAGAGAGCACAGGAGAGAACAAGTGAGTGAAGGGGTAATAAGCCGTGGATGGGGGAGCAAATAGGAGACCAATTGTGTGAAGCAAGGATACAAAAGAGCAATAAAGGAAGGGGAGAAATAAATGGGAACAATTAAGGGAAGGGGGAAGTAAGAGAGGAACAATAAGGGAAGGGGGAAATAAGAGGGAAACAAGTAAGGAAAGGGGGAACAAGTGGGGGTGTGTGGGAATTAAGAAGAGTGGTACATGTAAGGGATTGGAATACAGAAGAGGGGTACAAGTAAGGTGTGAGCATAAAGAACAACAGTACAAGTAATGGGTGGGAATAAAGAAGAAAATTACAAGTTAGGGATGGAGAAAGGAAGAGAGATACAAGTTAGAGAAGGGGGAACAATAAGAGTGGAACAAGTGAGGGAAGAATGGGAACGAGAAGAAACAATTAGAGAAAGAGAAAGTTATTGGGAGAAGGACATAATTGGGGATATTGTGCACCACAAATAATCTACCAGTGCCCCTCCTGGGATTAGTTTCTGGATCCGCCCAGTGTATGTGTTTCTTGTCTATAAGGTCTTACTTTAGTCTTCTAGAGTCTTCGTGCTGGTTTACATAATATATTTCTATTATCAGAACACTATGCACCATTAACAGTGATGATCACATTGTCCTAATTTTTAATTAAGCAACTTGGTGAGTCTGATCATCTTAGTTGGTGCCCAAGAGACAAAGACTACCAGCATATCTATACATTTCTATAGAGCAGTGGTTCCCGAACCAGTCCTCATGGCCTACCAACAGTACAGGATTTATGAATTTCCCCGTTTTATTCCAGTGGAAATATTGACAAAAGCTGGACTGTTGGTGGGTCTTGAGGACTGGTTTGAGAAACACTGATATAGAGTGTTTTCAGGATACAATGAGAATTTTAGTGTTACCGTTGATACTTGAAGAGATGAGAGCAAGTTGAGGGATAAGTAGTATGAAAAGGAGTAATATTTTCATTGCAACAGTATTCTTGGTAGATTGCAGTTGGGGGAGTCAAGTGAGTGGTATGCCAACCAACAAATGGTTGTAGAGTTAAAGGGAAATTGCACTGCTCAAATACAAAACATTAAAACAAGTGACTGTTTATTAGCTATATCCCAATGAAAATAAGCATGCATTATTTTTCATTGGATGTATATCTAAAAACAGCTTGCAAAAGCTGCATATCTCTGCTACCTTGTCTGCAGCCTTTGCAAGTGTTCCACTTCTATATCGGCCTGGATTTTCTGTGTCTAATTTCCTAATGCAGTTCAATTCTTTGCAAGGCAGGTGCTCTGAGTAATTGTCTGCCTCTTGAGTTCAGTCCAACTAAGTTAACCAAACTAGGAAGTAACAGGACCGGTTGTCTGCTTGAAGTAACAAGACCGGTAGGCATGTAGTGTAGACAGGTTAATTTACAAGTGCCAATTTCTATTGAAGTCTAGAAAATTAAAAAAGAGAACACACTCCTAAAAACACATAAACCCATTTCAACAAGATAAAGTATTTTAGGGGTCTCGAGTATCCCTCTAAGGGGTTTCAATTGGGGTGAGAAAAGGGCAAAGTGTAGTAAGGTGCAGGTGATGGAATCTATTTTGGCATTGGATATAATAGGTAAATAGGAGGGCACAGTTAAGATAACTGTAAGACACAGGCATGTATGAAGGTAAATAGAAGTGTTATTTACGTTAAATGCAAATCTGAGTAGGGATGGAGTAGATGAAAGAAAAGCAAATCTTTAAATAAAATTCAAGTATTGCTAAGGAGACTAGGGCTGCAAGTTATGATTCATAACAGGATGTTGAAGAGCAGAAACAGGGAATATTACACTCTTACAGTTAACACATTGCCTAAAAAGACTGAGAGTGAGTAGAGACCTCTTATGTAGCAACACTAGCCCAGGTGCTCTCCAGTCAAATTTACAGACAAAACTGAGATGAAACTGGAGGGATGGAGGGAGCTCGTGCCTGAGGTACTAGAGACACGGACCATGTATGAGACAACCACTAACTGTGTAAATGCAAAATATAGCCTCTGTACCCTGAATATGTCACACACTGCCATGGAGCTGATTTGACACAGCTATTAGATGTAAAGCCTTATAGACCCACAAACACCTCGTATCATTGTGAAGTGGAATGAAAAAAGCATCATGGCTGTTATGTTGAGATATAACGAAGGCACCAGGCTATTAGTCAGGGTCCTAATGTGGGACATTAATGTAGTAGTTCTGGTGTCTATAGCATGTCCCTGCAGACTTTTTAATATAAACACTGCCTTTTCAAAGAAAATGTCCACTAACAGCTCTAGTGGCAGTCACTTAGACGGCCACTAGAGGTGCTTCCTAGGTGAGTGATGCTCTGCATGGAGGCGCTGAACGTTACTTATAGAGATGCATTGATTCAATGCATCTCAATGAGGAAATGCTGATTGGCGCAGCATGCAGTTTTGCCACGCATGTGCAATAGCCTCTCAATGTTTTCATATGGTAAAGCATTGGATGGGCTCAGATCATCAAGTCTGATGATCTCAGCCAAGGCCAGCTGCGATGGACCCATGCAGCACTGGAAGAAAGGTGAGTAAACTCACCTTTCACTTAGCTGCTAGAGGGGCAGGGGCCCGGGGGCCTAAAATGTGTTGTCATAACTATAGTGACAGGAAAACTTGTTTGTATTCCTGCCACTTTAGTGTTTCTTTCTTTAGCTATCTATTTATCCATATATCATATTACTCTTTAAGCACACATTATTTTTCCTTGCAACACATTTCATCTTTTCGTACAGCACAGTGTTGATCAGACAGTTAATTCCCCCTGCCTGCTACATCAGAACGGTCAGCAGCAAGGATTAGCCTGTCAGGACCGTCTGCTGTCCCCAATCACTGCAGCCACATGCCATTGAAATGCACGCCTCAGCACATCAAAATCGTACTATAAATCTAACACTGAGTACTTGGCACCATGTTATGAGCTGTGCTGAATGTGCTGTCTGCACAGTAGCTCTGTGTTAGAGAGACGAAGAGATGGAAAGTAAAGGACAGTTATAGTAAATAAATCACACTTGTTTCAAAAGTTAGCAGGTACGAGACATTTATTTCTACATTTAAAGTTTTACAGTTATTAGAAAATACTTCTGGGGTTTGTTCACTGCACAGATAATGGTGGGGAACTGATGGCAACATTTTAGTCTAAAATAGCCACAATGTAAAAAAAATAAATGTTGTTTGGTTCACTCATTCTGTAAATCAAACCCTTTGATTCTTTTCAATGTTCTCAAAGTGGCTATTGAGTTCTGAAAGACCATTTATATGTAGAAATAATGTTATTTTAACAAGGAAAAGAACATTTAGCTCATATTCATTTTCCAAGTACATCCTGTGATCTAGATGCTATTATTTTCCATGATGAGAAAGCATTAGCGTAAGCAGCAATTTGAGGCTGTGATTGGCTGAGAGTGTTAGTGGACTGATTCAGCTTATCACAGTGCCCATTACTGCTATTAATTGGTTACAAGGAAGTGTATAATATCTGCCTTAGCCGTACCTTTAGTAATGGCTGGACTGGGAATACAAAACTGTAATCCTAACACTATACTTTCCCTCTCCCTCTGTGCCCCCTCCCATGTAGTCAAGAAAGGGTTAAAAACCTTATTACAATGCCGCTGTACCTAGGTGCTGGTTTGGGCCCCTCCTTACGCAACGTCATGGTGATCTGGGACCTCATGTGAATGCACACACATTAGGGGCTTCCCATAGTAAACCATTGAATCAATGCTTTCCTATGGGTTTTCTAAAGCCACTGGACATCCAGGGTCATTTTACTGAGACAGCCACTAGAGGCAGTCTTTACACTGCAATGTTTTACATTGCAGAGTTGAGAGCAGGGACCAGTTGAAGTGGTGTGGGTGCCAATAGTGTTACTTAAAGGGACACCGTAGGCACGGTATCTGCTTCATCTCATTAAACTGGTTATAGTGTCTGGACTCCCCTGGTACCATCATTTCTTTCAGCATTAAACAGTTTTTAATGTTGTAATGTTTTAATGCTAAACAAGAGTCTACGGCAGTCTATCCCCTCTGTGCTGCTTTGGCTAATAAGGAAGTATTACCCTGAGCAGCAATGGGCAGCTGTGATTGGCTGAGAGTGTCAGCTGACTGCTTTTAGCCTGTCAGAGCTCCAACTGACGGTATGAATGGGTATGACAACAAGGAAGTGTGTAATCTCTGCCTTAGCTACACATACAGAAGGGGCTGGACTGTGGGTGGCCAGGGACTCTTATTTTGTGGCATACTGCACAAACATGGTGCAACACTGAATGCAGGGACAGTGCCAGGCCACTCCAGGCACTATAACCAATTCAAAGAGACAAAGTGGTTATAGTGACTACAGTGTCCCTTTAACACTGAACTATGCCAATGGACAAAAAGCAACCTGTGCAAACCCTCCCCCCCCCCCCACAAATTAAGTTTCCTAGATGTAGTTCTGTATGTACCACTGTGTATCTGGAATGCAGGCAGCGTCCACCACTTCTTCTATGTTCCAGTCTATCATTGATACCCCAAATAAGGCCAATCTATATTAAGTATTAACAATAAGGCCATAACATGTAATAAACTACATACCCAAACACTGCCACTTAGAAGACAAAATCCAAGCAGAGTTTGGAAAAAGTAACCATCGACTATTTAGAACAATAAGATCATATATGCTGACACAGCTGGCAATTGAAATACAACTCCCAGAAACCCTTGCTGTATGCAGAAACAATTGCCTATTGCAGTAGTTCCTAAACTAGTCCTCATGGCCCATCAACAATCCAGGATTTATGTATTTCTCTTTTTAATTCCAGTGGAGATACTGACAAAACTTGGACTGTTGATAGGTCTTGAGAACTGGTTTGGGAAACACTGGCCTATTGGATAAGCTCAGCAGTGCTATAGAAAGTTAAATGGTATGCATGGAAATGCTGAAGGCTCCCCATCGACATGCACTGACTCAATGCATCTCCATGAGGAGATGCAGATTGGTGTAGAGTAGCGATTGTTGCATGCACAATAGACTCCAAGTGCATCCTCACGTGGATGCGTTGGGTTGGTTGAGACCAGGGAGACTGGTGCTGTGGAGGTAAAGATAAATAAAACGTTTTTATTAGTTCTGGTGGAAGGGGGAGGGGGAATAACCCAAATAGGTGGGATAACACTCTAGCATTGGCATAACATATTATTCCTAACAGCACAATGTTTATTTAAGTGAGCATCATGCTTCAAATGCTGTTTTCAGTCACCATATGAACTGTAAAACTACCTTTTTAACATTATTAATTTAGTATACTTGCATATTTTGATGCAGTATCAGTTAAACACATTAAAATATCTTCAGTCTTGAGTGCCTGTTTCAGTGTTTAGACCCGGCTCTCTCTTATAATGTATAGTGGAGCATAAGAATTGATTATTTGTCATTCATGCAAGTCCATGACTGGTGCATATCCAATTCTGGCATAAAACCAACCTCTCATAAACATATTAATTTAAAGACTGAAACTGAGCCATCTACCTTTACAGATTAATTTTCCACATTTATAGATTCTCAACCTTTTCTATAGTTAACACGTTTATGAAGGTTGGATGTTTGATTTGCCATTAATTAAGGTTAAATAAATGATACATTGGCAGAAAATCAATTATCTACCCCATGTGTCTGCCAATGTAAAGCTGTGGTTGTAAGTAGGACTGGACTAACATAGAGGCTATTGGAGCAGCAGAGAAATGTTTTCTGTTTTATGCCTCTCTGCTCACTTGCTTTTGCTTATGTGAGTTATGCAGAGGGAACTAAGAAGCTTAGGGAACTTGGAAAGGATGCAGGAGAAGACAAAGTTTTTGCCCTGGCTGGCTATAAACCAATTAAATAATTGACCACCCCACACCCCAAAAGTTAGTGAAATCTGCACTTTTATAAAAATAACTATGGAACACCATTGGCAGTCTTTGATTGGACAGCCACAGAAAGTCTGGGCGGGGTTATAAGAGGAGGGTGTGTAAAAGCATCAGATAAGAGATCTGCTGGCTTTAAAAAACTGTTTTAGATATACCCACAATTTTAAAAAAAAAGCACAATTAAATGTATGCATGTTTTCATTTGGGTTATACTTATTAAACAGTGATCTTTTATTTTTTATATATGGACAGTGGAGTGTTTCTTTAAGATAAAAAAGCAGTAGGAGTGGATAAAGGAGGAGTGAGTTGAATTATGGGTATGCAAGGCAATGCTATAGACACCTCTAGGATGTCTACACTAAACCAGAGCTGTCCAACCTTAGGTAATACAAGAGCTGAACTAAAAAACAAGATTTAACTGAGAGATGCATGAAAATTTTAAAATTTATTACATACTACCTCATTATAGCATACCTTATGTCATTAGTTAGTAGTTATTATTGTTATATGAGATAAAATCTATTTAGTAAAGAGGAATTGTCATTTCGGAGATAATGGACTGTAATATTATCCCATGTAAAAATGGGCATGTAGTATGTATGAGGGGTGCAGTGTGTATGAAGGGAGTAGTGTGCGAGAGGGGTGCAGTGGGTGTCTGAGGTTCTATGCGTGTGAGAGGGGTGCAATACGTGAGAAGGGTGTAGGATATGTGTGAGGTGTGGGGGATAAAGGATGTGTGAGGGGTGCAGGGTGCATGTGAGGTTCCATGTGTGTGTGTGTGTGAGGGGTGCAGGGTGCGTGAGAGATGTTTCATGTGTGTGTTGGATGTTATAGGGCCTACATATATTGTGTGGGGAAGTTGGGAGACAATATGCATTTAGCAACAAAGGTTTATGTCCCACCTCCCTTCTTCTTAATTTTTACTTATGGGGGATATGGGAGACCACAATGGTCCGGTGGTATTCACCAACTCTATACCCCATGGCCTCAATGCAGACTTTGACCTATATAATTTTTTGTAATACAAAAGTATTTTACATGTCTGTTTTACACCTATGCCTTTTACTTTGCTCAACTGTATTTTTTATTTATTATTTTCTGTATTTAAAATATTGTTTTATTATTTCTTAATTTATTTTATTTATATTTTATATATATGTGCCCCTTTAGTATATGGCCCCATTAATTATATGTCCCTTTTATTTTGCCTCTCTTTTTTGATATATAGCTCCCTTTTTGGGAACTTTTGTCTTCATGTCCCTTTAATTTGAACGAGCTTATCTTCAGCCGACTACATTTCCCATTAAGCATAGCGGCATTTTGTCCGAATACCGGAAGTGCCGCAAGTCACGTGCTTAATTTCGTTTGCTTAATTTATGCTTCCAATACTTTTATTTTTACTAGCAGAGTGTCTAATGCATTTCAGATTTTGCCCTCTATGTGGGCTTTCGTTTCTATGTTCCCCAATATGTGGCAGCGCCTATATTATACTCCTAGCCACCATTCGCGGCTTATTGACTACATTTCCCATAAAGCATAGCGGCATATAGTCCGAAAACCGGAAGTGCCGCGCGTCACGTGCGCATTTTTAATCACTTAATTTATGCTTTTAAAACTTCGTTTTGGTTATTAAAGTCAATTATGAGTGTTCTTAGACCCTATATTTTGGTTTTATTGCTGTATTTTAAAGTTTTTATACTGCCAAATGTAACTTAAGTTTGATTGGATGGACCATTTTTGGCGCCAAATTTAAACTCCTATATAATACAACTAGCCAGGTAATGTTTGCTATTCCATTTGATAAAGTCTGTTGACGAAACGCGTTATGGATATTTTATATTGTGTATTGTAATATTAAAGCAATTTCTGGTAATTTGTGCCAACTATTCTTTTTTATAGTTTTATATACACATTACTCTTTTTATACCTGGCTTTTTAGTATATTTTAGTATATTTTTAGCATTTTACTATTATATACCAACACTGACTTCGGAAGTCTCCTGCACTCCAAGAAATCCTAAAGGTGGGGATTAATCCACCTATGCTGATACACAAGAGCAGTTGGTCTGCTCCTCATTTGTAAGTACGTTTTCATCTACTTATAATAAGACTACTAAAATAGTGAGCACTATTGGTTGTCTCTCTCTTTCCTTGTTTGAGAATTGGACACCACTGACGGAGAGTAACCCACAGCATATCCCAAAAGCGGGGATTATACTTCTATCCTAGAGCTGGACATAAGCTCTATTAAATGTGAGTTCTTTAATATTATTTTTCCATACGTCACTTTTGGAATTATACAATATTGCACTATTGGTCGTCCTTCTCTCTCCCCTTTTGTCTTTTATATGAGTGGAACCTATACAGCTTATGAAGACTTCACTGCTGCAATACTTACTATAAAGACTATCCGCAAGGACACTTAAGTTGAACTTTTATTTCTATTTTTATTTTTATTTATTACGTTGGACATTTTTTCTTAGTCACTCTATTTTACTCTCTTATTGGCGCAGCCTTTTATTATTGTTTTTACTGTTTTGTTTTAAAAGGGCTTGGAGGGTTTCCCTTTTTAAGGTTGCTGCCTGTTTATTAATTAGCGCTGTCTCTCCTTCCCATATACTCCTTACTATTCACCAACTCTAGCCTGCAGCTTCTCCGGCTGCAGGCAGAGGTCAGTACACTCGCAAGCTCCTTGGAGCTGCCCAGTTCGCAGGAGGAACATTCACCCTCCCCACTCCTCCTCTCCCTTAACTCTCCACTCTGCAGCACCAAAGTCTCTTTAGGCCGGTGTGGCCCCACCCGTAAAGGCAACACAGCAGGGCCGACGCTTGGATCAAAACAACAGCAGTGCCGACGCTTGGATCAAAACAACAGCAGGGCCGAGTCGACGCTTGGATCAAAAGAAATCAGGCTATGCTAGCCAAGCTATGACTATATATTATTCATTTTAGCTGTTTTAGCCTAAATATTACGATTTGGTTCTAAATTTGCCAGAATTCACTGTGGAGTGAATAAACCCTATCTGTAAACAAACCTTTTTAAGAAAGTTTTGCTTTCTTATTTCAACTCATTGCATTCATGAGTCAGGAAAAGGTAGGAAGAGTAAAACATAATTTGTGCTTTCCATTATTTAAAAAGCAAAGAAAAAGACAATGTAGGGTTAGTCACTACAGTGGGAATCGTGGGAGTCGAAAATGAATGCAAAGATAACTTCACATTTTAGGCTAAATAAGTCAAATGCAGAATATAACAGAATTTTTCCAGTTTGGCTATTTTGGACTAAAAATCTAAATTCCCTTAAGGGAATAAACCTGAATCATGTTTAATTTCGAATTTGATTTTCCATTCACTACAATTTACTGTTTGGTCATTAACCCCTTAAGGACACATGACATGTGTGACATGTCATGATTCCCTTTTATTCCAGAAGTTTGGTCCTTAAGGGGTTAAATCCCAATATCTTATTTTATTCTATTTATGTTGGTTCTGCCTGTAACAATTGTATTTCTTCACAATTGTATTTCTTTTTTTTTTTTTCTTCACTTATTTCCACAACTCCTCCAAGGAACCTCTGTTATCATTAGGTGGTATTTGCAGCTGCATAGGGCCCGGGCTCAGACAAGGACCTGGTGGGCCTCTGTCTGTACCTCAAGCTACACACAGTCTGAAAACTTCTCCCTGCTTGTCCCTGAACCGTCTCACTACCTCTTAAAGGGACACTATAGTCACCAGAACAACTACGGTTCAATTTAGTTGTACTGGTGAATATAGTATGTTTATGCAGGCTTTTTCATGTTTATGTGGCAGCCACAAAGAGGCTCTGCATGGAGATTCTGAACTTTCCACAGAGATGTATCGATTCAATGCATCTCTAAGAGGAGATGCTGATTGGCCAGTGTGGGGAGAGGTGTGGGGGGAGGGGGGAGGAGGTGGGGGAACACTTAAGGCTCAGGGATATATGCTTGTGACCCTTATGTGTTCCTATAAATGAACTGCCCATAAGAGAGTTGCAAACTACAATGCAACCCCACTGGACTACAAGAGATCCCCATACTTTTGCCAAAAGGTAAGCAGCAGGGGGCACATAGAAATTAAAAGATATGTGGGGAGGCCTCCCTCCACACACTCAATCTCCTCTCCAACACGCCTTCCCTATAAATAACACTCAGCCTCCTCCACCCACAGAACTTTGCCGCCACACACACACACAACACTCAATGTTCCAGTCACCCATTCACAGAACAGATCCCAGGGCCCCAATCTGGCATCTTACCTAGGTTATCTGGTAAGTTGAATCTGTCTCTGCGTGCAGGGCCATCTCAGTGGCTGAGAGCATTCCTTGAGCACTCTCAACCATTGAGCCTGGCCCTGCATGGCCAGGCTTAGCTCAGTGGCAGGCACATCTGGCAGCAGTGGAGATGGCAAGCACCCAGCAAGACCCAGGTACATGTTTTGGCTACTTATTCAGGGAGGGCATCAGGAGACTGCTGGCACAATACCTCTACAGTGAGCTGTGGGGCTTATGATGCTTGGAGTGTTCCTTTAAGAAGGATGCAACAGCAGCCACCAGTTAAAATGGGGGTCATTCAGGCTATTACTAGAGGGGGTTAGAGAGCTTTGGACGCTGGCGTCTTCTCACTGTGATTTTCACAGTGAGAAGCACGCAAGCGCCTCTAGCGGCTCTCAATGAGACAGTATAAACTGCTATGTTTATAGAAAAAAAGGGTTAACCCTAGCTGGACCTGGCACCCAGACCACTTCATTAAGCTGAAGTGGTCTGGGTGCCTATAGTGGTCCTTTAAGTTGCTTTACGGTTGATTTGTCTTTGGGCATGGGAGGCACAAGACTATATGAGGTACAGAGACTGTAAAGTGTTGAATTTCTCCGCTAAGGTAAACACAAATCAAGCGATACATACAGAGAGATCTTACGGATATACAGAGCGCACACAGACACATACTCACATGAAATGTTTAATTTAAAGGAATTCCTATTAATAGGTGATAATACGTGCAGAATCCTTTTAGTTTTAAACACTTTCATTATCGTGATTCGATGAGAAATGACAAGCATTAGAGTCACAAGTACTGCAGTAAAAGCCAACAAGATATGAGATAGTGACTTGTATATCTTACACAATATGTTGGTGTTAAAAAAAAAAGATATAACAACACAAAATAAGTAGAAACAAAACAGAACATGCTCTGTCACGCATCATGCTTAAAATAGGCATGATAGAGAGAAAATTCGATTTTAATGGAGCTGAATGCTTTTAATGGTGAAGATAATGGATTTTAATTCTGTTACTGCTGGTCCATAAATTATTAGGCGCCAACATGTTCTGCAGTGCTATCATAATGAAAGGGGAGGGTAGGATATATCTTTAATATTTTACAACCCTTACAGAGGTGATCAAGACTCCTGCTTTTAGAAGCTTGCAATATGGTGTAAATGGTCTTGACTGGTTGGTTTTTGACACCCGTGGATTTCTTCCCACTTCCTCCCAAAAAACTGTGTGTTTTTTGTATGGCGATAAGCTAGTTAAGTCACATAAAATTCCCACTCCTTTTCCCTCCCGCCTCCTCCTCCTATGCAGCATCTCCAAGGTTGCTAGGAGACTGAGACAGGAGCAAGGATACCCACACAACAAGCTTACTGCACAGCTCACACGCATCACAAGCATAATTGCAGCTACTGCCAGCAAAACACACCTCCACCTATTACTGCCATTCCAAGGAACAGCCAATCTGTGAGATGAACTCCAGCTGCAAATACGTAGCATGTGTTGGGACGCAGCCACCATAATGTGTTTACAAATATCGAATGAAGCGGCACAGAGCATGCCCTGCTAATAAGAAAAAGGGAAGCAGAATAGAAATTGAGATTAACTCGATGGGATTTTCTCAGTAGCCCTTTTACTCAACCACTATGATATTTTGATAAAACACAACTATTTTGTCAACTATGCCAAATGGCTATTGCAGGATTAAACTCCCCTTCATCACCAACTTGACAGTGGCTGGCTAAGGTTAATCCTAGCTGTAGTTTGACACGAGACATGGCAATTGGAGATTTTTCTCCCAATTCTGTAAGATTTACAAAATCTCTCATCAGTACAATTCTCTCTTTAGTAAATAAACCCATTACCTTAGAATCCAGTCAGCACCCTAACTGTCAGATGATCTGCTAAATGTATTAACTATAAACCTTGATTATTAAAATTCAGTATAATATATTGGACTCTCAAAAGATAATATAATATTTGATCAAGGCTATATTAACTTTACATTAATAGAATACACATAAAACCTTTCTACGCATAGTAAAATCACAAAGTTGTTTTTTTTTGCCTCAGATGTTTACCTAACAGGGCAATCCATCCTTAGCTTAAAATTACTAATCTAGATAAGGGGAGCAATGACGATGTCTAATAGTGACACTCTTAAATCTTTGGGAATGAGCCAAAAAAGCATGGTAAATGACATACTTTGACCTCACTTCAGAAAATGGTAGTGTGGTCTTAACAGCGCTTATATGCAATTATTTACTTAACCTTATATAGCCTTCCTCCTCACCATGGCGATGGCTGTGTGGTCTAAACTGTGTTTATTAACGATAAAGTGTATTGTGACTTTATGTATCATTCAATGTAAGCTCATTGAGCAGAGCCCTCCACGTCCTCTGTTCCTGTACGTCCAGTTGTCTGGTTACAATTACATGTCTGTTAGTCCACCCGTTGTACAGTGCTATGAAAACTGATGGCGCTATATAAATAATAAAATAATAATAATAATGTCTCTCACAAGTTTTAAAAGGGCTAATGAAAACATGCTGCAATTTCTTTATTTTTTTGTTCTTATTTCTATTTTATTTTTATTTATAATAATACAATATTAGTTTTCAAGAACTAAATGGTATCATGAGATTTCTTGCATCACTGAAATACAATTTATTGCTGTATTGCTGTGTTTTTTTTTCATCAGGGAGCGAAGAGTAATTGCCAAACAAATAAAATTCTATTACATTCTGTGTTTAAGGGTTCTCAAACATGTTTAGTCGGGAGACCTCTTTAGAAGGCTTTGGAATCTCTGGACTATGTACCACTCTTTGCCATTTACAATACTCAACAAATATGAAAAAAACAAACTGTGACATTTTAAGCGATAGGAATCCAGCCATGCATTCCTAACACTATAGCATTATACTCCCTATTTAGATTAGTGCCCCACCCCTAAATTTAATAAAAAGAAAGGAAATAAAGAGTTCTACTCACACTTTTTTCCAGCGCTGCATCACAATCCTTGCAGCCTCCTCCTGTGCCGTCATCTTGTCCGCAGACTCTTGAAACATTTCTAATCCAATCGAATGACTCTCGCAGAGAATCATTATGGACGAATGCTTTCCTATGATAAGCACTGGAGGACGTTCTACGTCATTATGCAATACATAATGATTTTGAAAGACTTGTAACCAAATTAAAGATGTTTTCAATTGTGACAAAATTAGATTCAATATTTTCAATGGCAAAACCAAAAGAACAGGGCCATTGCACCAATACTACGTTGTTGAAATAAATTGGCCTGAATGTCTTCGGTTGTCATTTAAATTGCACCCAATTCAGCCAAACAAACGCTCTTCTCACTTTTTAATTCTGTGTAAATACATATTTTAGAGCATAGGCGTGCGCACGGGGTGTGCCGGGGCACACCCTAATCCCCGCAGTACGCCTATGGAGTGTGACCGGCAGGAGAGATCTCAGGATCTCCACTGTCGGCTCATGCAGAGCTGGCGCTATCAGAGTGCCGGCTCTGCTCTCAGCCTCCCTCCCCACATGCAGGGAGGGAGGCAGGAGAGGACCCGGGGAGCTATTGCCGGCAGCTCCGCCGGGTTCCTCTCACGAGATCTGAGCGTTGCCACGGCAATGCTCAGATCTCGCGAGAGTGAACTCTAGCCCCGCAGGCTAGAGTTCACTCACCACTGGACCACCTGGGACGGCAGAAAGGATCCCCCCTCCCTACATAAGGTGAGAAGTGAGGGGGGATATTAGGTAATCTGCCCCCACCTCCACTGGACCACCAGGGAAGGCAGCAAGGAACAAGAATCCCCCCTCCCTACATAAAGTAAGAAGGGAGGGGGGATATTAAGTAATGTACCCCCACCTCCACCCCCCACAATCACCCACACACATACACAGCACCTACACGCATACAGCACCCACAGACATACACAGCACCTACACACATACAGCACCCATAGACATACAGCACCCACAGACATACACAGCACCTACACACAAACAGCACCCACAGACATACACAGCACCCACACACATACACAGCACCCACACACGCACAGCACCCACACACACAGCACCCTCACAAACACAAACAGCACCCTCACACACACACAGCACACTAACAGTACCCTCACAAGCACAAACAGGACCCTAACAAACACACACACAGCACACTACCAGTACCCTCACACACAAAGAGCACCCTCACAAGCACACACACACACAAACAGCACCCTCACACACAGTACATTAACAGCACCCTCACAAGCGAGCACACACAAACACCCTCACCCACATAGCACACTACCAGCACCCTCACACACACCACACTAACAGCACCCTCACACAGCAGTATGTGTGTGTGTATATATGTGTATATATGTATATATATATATACACACACATATACATACATACATATATATATATATATATATATACGCGGCGTGTGCTTGTGCTTTAGGGTGCACACCCTAATGCAATAGGCTGCGCACGCCTATGTTTTAAAGTAAATCTGAGTGGGGACCCACCGAAGCACAAGCTTGAGCTGTTGTCCATACTCAGCACCCTGTTTTATTTTTTCTCTCCACATATTTTAAAGCGGTACTCATTTTGACACTTACTGTTTTGAAGCCCACCTTCGAAAATCATGATGACCATTGTCCTTGGGAGCACAGTTTTAGTATTCGTTTGTTAAAACTGACAATCAGTGCAAATAAGCACTTAGATTGTAACATGGCGACTATTGCATTACTACTGATAATGTGGAATAATGGATGCATGTATGGACAATTGTTTAGTATAAAAGTATTGAATAAAAGGCAGTCACACCTACTATGTGAAAAGAATATCAGAGGAGGTTATAAAACTCTAGATAATAGCACATCCACAATAGTGAAAGGCTTGAATGTGAATCAAAATTAAGTACATTTTAAAACTCTTATGGGGTTTATCACTGAAATGCTAAGTGTAAAATATTTAGAAGGTAATCAAACATTTTTAATTCTCCAGTTCATCCATTTTTCCAGCTTGACAATGATCATTTAAAGGGGAACTATCACTTCTCTAGAAGTATACAATTGTATAAAACAATGAAAATCGCCTATAATGTGTGTTAAGCTTTGTTCTTTCATAAAATGCTCAGTTTTCTTTTAAATCTATATTAAAGATTTAGCAAATTGTATCATAATCAACTTCAGACAAATGAAGAGGGGGAATAGAAACATTGTTTATTTTTTTCCTTTGCACTGTATGCTTTTTCTATGCTGACTGCCAAGTGCATTGACTGATAAGGAACAAAGATGGAGGCCCCCCGTTGCAGGAAAAAGAGGGACAGGTTTCTACATTTAATTTTATTTTTCACACCTGCAAATACATTTTTGATAACTATCAGGGATTAGTAAAAGAAATGTTACAAATCCCAAGAGGCGACAGGTCCCCTTTTAACTTTGTAACTGCCTTGTCAACTCTCCACCTTTCTAATTAACTGTTTAATCGTGTCAGTGATGGTTTGGCTGAGCATCAAGTAGTTACTTACACAGTTTATTTCAGTAGACTGGTCAAAGAATTGTTTCAGCATCCTGCCCACTGCTCCTGGATTTTGCTAGGTCAAGTCGAGAGCTGTCTGGGTGCCCAGGAGATCATATTCTCCCAAAACACTCGGGTCTCAAACTTTTAAAGCTCCTCTGAGAATTACTGTCCTTATCTATTGAGAGAGGGTGGACAGATGGCTGGTTTTATGAGATAAACTCCCCCCCCCATGCTCCACCTACATTTTTTTTCTTCCTTTGCAAAAAAAAAAAGGAAAAATAAAATATCTGTGCTACTAATTTATTCATGAGTCACATCATGCCATCGCCTAGTGTAATCTGACTGAGAATGAAGCAGGCATGCATTAGTGTACATACTTTTGGGATGCTATTATTGAAAGACACACAATCTTCAATACACACTGTAAAATGACTCATTTGCCATCAGATCAGAATTACGTATTCGTGTTCTGCATTTAAGTATGTAATCTATGATTTGATGCACCTACCTTTATGCATGTCAAGACTAAAACCTATGGCTATGGCATTTGTTCTTATAGGTGGACTCGTAATGTGGATATGAGTGGAAATATGAATCAGCCATCCACATAAGTGCGTAAATTACCCATTGCACTAAATAAGCGTATTTATCAAAATTGAATATTGTGTTCACCCAAAAATTCCTAGATTATGTTATTACTTTTTATACAAAACGCAGACTAAGTAATTGTTTTTCTCCCAAGTTAAAATTAGTGTAGGACCCACCGATATTGGGGTACTGTGACGTAGAAGTGGGCTTGGCACGGTATTATTATTTATATAGCGCTATCAGATTCCGTAGCGCTTGAGATGAGAGAAGGGGGGAGTGAAGCAGAGAAGGATTAATGTTAATGTAATTGTGTTGGTAAGTGGGTGTAAGGGGATATTTTGATGCTGAGGGAGATGAGAAAAAATGAGGAGAGGAGAAGATAGAGCATTGCTCCTATGAGTAGGCACTTTGAGGAAAGCAGAATGAGCAGGCCGTATGGTGAAGCTGAGTTAGCATGTTTGTTTGTTGACCTTGTGAAATAGCTGTATTTTTGTGCACCCTGTTCCTTAGTCTGTTTTTGGAAATAGTTTGATCCTTATAGCGGAACCACTGCGAAGAAATGTTCTGGGTGTCCCCCCCCAATTTCTCTTTTTTTCCATGGTATTACTTTTATCTAAATAGTCCTTTTAATGATTAGTTGTATTAAATCCACCTTTTAGAAATGATTTAATTAGCAAAATGCTAAATAAATGAATATATGAAATTGCTATTAAGCATTTTGTTAGCAAACTAAAAAGGGAAAAATATGCAAAATAATTTACATTTACATTTGATAAAAATAAAGTGGAACAAGTATACAAAACCACCAGTTTAATTAATGAGGTTTGGGAATCAAGGGAATATTCAGAAAAGATTCAAACTAACATGTTGGAAATTAGAACAGGTTTAAGAGATTTCACTTGCTACTTTCAAACTGACTGAATGCAAAAAAAAAAAGGCATGATAATTCTCAATTACATAAGTAATTATACAGTCTCCTCAATCTTCTCATTTCAGCCTTGCCTTCCACTAGGATACTGGGGATCATTCACTAACAGGGTTATTTACCAACTAAGCCAAACAATCAGCACGCTGAGATAGCCTGGGCGTAATTCTCCATCTTTCTTGGATACAAAAAAGAATCCCGCACCAGCAGGCGAAGAGTTACGTATGGGCCTTTAAGTAAAGAATCTTTAATATATTCCTCCATGATCCTACTCTCCTGTGGGGATAGGGCATACACTGCCCCTTTAGGGGGCATAGTGCCAGGTAGCAGATCTATGGAGCAATCATAAGATCTGTGAGGAGGCAGCATATCGGGGTGGCTTTTACTGAACGCTTTTCTAACCTCCCAGTACTGCACAGGAAGTCTTGACAGAAGACGTATTGGCCTCCACCTCACTATTAAAGGGACACTATAGTCATCCAGACCACTTCATCTCATTGAAGTGGTCTGACTGCACTGTTCCTGTCCCACTTAGTCCTGCAATGTAAATCTTTGCAGTTTAAGAGAAACTGCAATGATTACCTTGCAGGACTAAGACTGCCACTAGTAGCTGCCATACAGCCAGCAGAGGCACTTCCTGGAGGCTAACGGACTCTAGGTCCACTAAATGACGCTGGCCGTTACATCCAGCGTCAGTCAGTAAAATCCTTACAGTAAAGCATTTAGGCAATGCTCTGCTATGGGCAGGGCCTAATGTGCTCGCGCATTTGGATCCCCCGTCGGATGATGTTGGAGGAAGTGGAGCACCAATTTCTCGCCATGGGCGCTTGAGTCGGGTAAGTGGCTAAATAATTTTTAATTTTTTTTAAAATGTATTTAATATTTCTGCAGTTCTGTGAAATACAATCAGATTCGTTTGTCATGCCCCAACATCAGGCATTCAACAAGGCAAAATACAAAGCCTGTATCATGGGTAACATGTCAATAAAACTTGCGAATGTGAATGATTAGTATATAGGAAACATGCTAGATGGACACGTCTAGATATAGCTAGGAAAACAGATTAGTTAGGTACATAGCATTCTAGACATGTGAACAACTGATAGGTAAGTCAGAGTAACGTGAAATAGTAAAGCTACTGGTGTCTAAAGTTAGGTACCACCTCAAATGGCTCTGTGATACAAATATGGGAGTCCAGAGCATTGTAGTTAGCTAGGTCAGTAGTTGCCAGAAACCAGCTCTTATAGCTAAAATAAGGGTATAGAGAATACCAAACATTTTAAACTGTGCTGTAGCCCGGCCTCACAGTTGTGGAAATGAGTTGAGGCCTCCAGAGTGTCCTTCAGCCTATGCCCTCCAAGGGCGGATCACAGTCCCACATAGTGGTGCTGGTCAGCAAACCACGCGTAGTAGGTGTGAGCACGATAGTGCCTTGATGGAGTGTCAGGCTGTATTCTGCTTGTCGCTGCGCCTCAGCTATTCTGGGAGACTGCCTCCCCGGCTCACAGTTGCCCAGCTTCCTGCCTGTGCTTCCTTGCTTTCAGGCATTGCCGGTGCGATCTGCGCCTCCAAAGGCAGGCCGCCATAGGGCCCTTAGCCATGTGTCGATCTTGAGGACTTTGGGGAAGAAGCGTTGGTGAGCAAGTTAGTGGGGCTGGCGTGGTAAGTAGGGTGTACCTTTGCAGCAGGTTCTGCATGAACATTGTGAATAGGCTGTCCAATCTAAGCAGAACTCCGGTTTCCTCCATAAGATGCGTCTGGGGCCTGCGGTCGTCACCATATTAGGTGTGCAAGGCGTGATGCGAGTGTGCTTTGCGGCAACACTGCAAACCTGCTGTGAAGGAAGGGAGCCCTCCGGGTGGGGACCGGGATCTCCCCCGCCGGTCCATGGGGGGGAATGGAGGGGGGAGGGGGTAGCGGGGCCTCAGCTCCATGAGGTCGGGAGTTCGGCCACAATGCCTGCTAGACCACAATCAGGCTTGGCAGAAATCGCAGCTGTAGACCATTGGGTGTAGCCCCAAGCCGGGTCCGACCAGGCGGGATGTCAGATAAGCCAAAATAGGATAAGATAGAGAGCCACAGACACAGGAGACTAGACCACAACACCGATTTCGTGAGGAGTGTAAAGAGAACACGTCCAGTCACCATGAGTCAGGCCCCACCCCCTGCAAAATAATTTTTTAACCCTTTACATGCCAGGGGAGCCAAGGGGTGCAAGGGAGGGTGGGCAACTTTGTATTTTTAACACTATAGATATGCTTTAATACCTTTAGGGGGTTAGGTAGGGACATTGGGGACCGCTAAAGAGATAGAACATGCCATTTTTGGGGGAATGGAAAATATACATTAATGCATGTACACGCATCCTTATTTAATTAATTATTTTATTGCATATCCCCACCTGCTGGTCAGTGATCTGTCCACCCACATTACTTATTGAAAAGTTCCCCACACAATGTCCATGGGTAGGACATGGGGGAGACTATGTCCACCCCCCTTATTTCACAATAACTACCCAGTCGCCAGTTTCAATATGTTAGAAGATGTGCCCCCACCTGCCTTCCATACAGTAATACGGTGGTTCTTACTGACCGAGATAAGATTTTTAGCTTATTTATTTAATGTGGCGGCTGGCTTGCAAGCTCTGGTCAGCTGCCACATAATTAACTGTCGCACCACTGATGGGTTTTTAACAAATACTTCTAATTTTTTTTTCAAATTTTTTTTTAATGTGGGCCCAGATTGAATTAATTTGGTCTAGATTTCAGCCTTAACACTCGTGTTCAGTCTGACTGAAATCCAGACCTAAACAGCAAAATGTGGACATTGTTAAAATGCATGAACAATGTTTGTATTTTGCAGTCTGAATAGCCCCATAAGCCGCCGGATGGTACAGTATAGGGCTACTAAGACTTCAGTGACATACGATTCTAATATGATTGTTATATCACCTTAAGGTGCAACACTCGGGAACAGTTGATTTGGCACACCCATATCATTACTGTACGGAAGGTATCTAATAATTTTAAGGAGCACATTATTGCGTAGATAGACCCTTTATGTCCTCTGTTGTTCCAAGGTGGTCTCCAAATGCATATTTCGGAGGTGCTCCTGCCAAGCTCACATGGGATCCTTAGAATCCACTAATCACTGCACCTGGGTGGGACAGAGTAGACTTTCCAACAGTCCTGGGGACCATCAAAACTAATTTCAGTAGTATTAGCATTTTAGGTGGCTTAATGGAGGGTACTGAGATATGGTGCGTTTGCCAAGGAATAAGAAAGATAATTCTGTTTTAGAAATTAGGCATTTTTTTCAGGGGGATTCTTTTGTTTGTTTGTAAGCGGTTTATGTAATTAATAAAGAATTTGTTGGGGAAAGGGAAAGAAAACCAGTCAATAATTGAACATATTGTCACAATTAAACATAATTTAACAGTTTGAGGCTCTCTGCGAGTCAGTTATCATTGCATTGAGTGTGTTATAGAATTTATGAGTTGGATATAGATATTCTGATCCGGTTCTGTCCCTGCTCCAAGTTCATCATCTAGACATCACTCAGCACTTACTGTGCAGACAGATTATAGACTTCACACATTTCAGTCCAAACCCTACCTGGCATTATTCCAGCTGTAGCCTGACACAGTTTCCAACAGTCCAGCACAGTTAACATGCAACGCTGTTCTGTTACTGTTGGCACAGCAATATTAACCCCTTAAGGACACAACTTTTGGAATAAAAGGGAATCATGACGGAATATTTCTGTCATGTGTCCTTAAGGGGTTAATGTGCACCTGCAACACTGCAGGATGCTCACCTACAGACATATTGGGTGTTAGGCCTTCAGTGCTCTACATTAACCAGTGAAGAAAATAGATTATTGCAGAGTGTAGTCAACAGCAAACTAGAAGAATGTGAAATGACTTGCATTTGGATAAGGAATGGTTGTGGATATGGCACAACAGACAACGGCAGGCATCTCGGGGTGCATCTTTATGTGGTACCCATTAATGTTAATGGATATGACTACTACTGCAGCAACAAGTTTTAAAAAATTAAATAAATGCAACATTAAATTACCTAGTCCAGAAAATCATATATTGATTCAGCTCATTGAAGTGGTCTGCGTGCAATGTCCCTGTTCCCCTTAGTCTTGCAATGTAAAACACTGCAGTTTTAGAGAAACTGGAATGTTTATGTTGCAGTACTAAGACAGCGTCTACCAGACAGCCACTAGAGGCACTTCTTCTAGCGAACTCTATGTCCCTTAAATTATGTGTTTCTATGGGGAGGGCCTAATGTGCTTGCAGCACTTGCTTCACATGAGCATTATGTCTCCCTGTTGGGTACCGTTGGAGGAGGCAGAGTGCCATAAATAAAGGGGGAGTAAATAAAAGGGTTTTTTTTTAACCCTTTCTGTGCTAGACATGAGGGAGGGTGGGGGACCAGAGAGCACTGTAGTGTTAGGAATACAGATTTGTATTCCAAGCACTATAGTATCCCTTTAACTCTGGTTACATCTAATTTTGGATTAGGTTATGTCCATGTTAGATATTCTTATATTGTTACATCCAAGTTCTGGAAGCTGCACTTTTTTCTGCAAGTTCCCGACCTTACCCTGTGTGTTGGGCTTGCTGTCACGCAGTAATAAACCCTACATTTATATTAAAGATTAAGATCTCCTATTGTCTGAAAATAAAGAATAGAAAGATTTAACTCCTAGACAAAGGTGTGTCAGCACCTGGAAAACCTGTTTCTACCACCAATACCATCCCAATTCTGGATAACCTTTTAAACTGACAACATTATGCTACAGAGCTGTGCTTGAAACAGCATAGAATAGAATACAGAATAGTACAGGCAGAGAGTGTGAAAAGGCAGAATATTAGAGCTCGCCAGTAAACAGGCATTCTGAGATGATCTATGCAGACAGGGATTTTCATTAAGAGGTTTATTAAACATCTTATTGTAGCTGTTAGATAACTAAATGGCACAGATTGGGCCAAAATAAGCCCAATAAGGTTCTTTGCTGCTAAGGTTTATTTATTACCACTTTTCACACTTTATATATACCCAATAATATGGAGACAATAACAAAAATACAAATCAGTGGGTTTTAACTCCAACTGGCTACACAATGAGTTCAGGAAGGTGTGGGCCTATGATCGTTGGATGGGTCCATTTCCTCAAAGGAACCCTCAATGACGCTGCCAACATTTCTCCAACTGTAGGAGGTAATTTAATAAAAGGCTAAAAGGGACATGTATAGTTGTGAAAGTAGACCACATTTGTATTGTAGATATGTAGATGTTACAAGTGTTTTCTTTTTTTCTTCCCTAGCAACTTGTAGGAGCAAAATTAGTTATCTTATTAATTGTAACTCTATTGTCTACCTCCTTACTTTTACCAAATATAATATGAAATAAGTTGGAAAACGTTATGGGTTGTGTTTTGTTTTTTTAACCTGTAACAATTTTAATTTGTATTTATGTTTCAGGGCATAAAAAAATAAATAAAAAAAATCAGCTTACCTATATATGAGATTGATGGAGTTAGTGTTTTTTTTTTTTTTTGAAGAAGTGAAGTGGATTTTCCATTGAAAAAATGGAAACCCTTTTTTTAACATTGAATTCGATGTGCCTAATGTTGTAGATTAAAGCTGATACATTTTAGTTTCTTTTATTTTCATTTTAGTGATCTTATTTTGCGTAACTTTTATGTTACAGATTTTGTAAACTGTTTGAGATGTTCATCCTTGAAGTATATGAGCATTAATTAATTATTGTGGTTTTTACCACATTGTACTTTATTCTCCCCCCCTCCCCCCATTATATTAACCCATAAGATAATTCCTGATAATGCTCACCCTATACTAATGGTTAATTCTTTCACAGGTATGTCTATAGCCTCTGTCTGAGGACTTCATTTATTTGTGTTTATGTTTTATTCATACTGGTGATAGTTGATGATTAGTTTATTATTATTATGTGCCACTTCTTTTTTATTTCATTTTTTAGAATCCAGTGCAGAATACAAAAAGAGTATTACAGGTCATAATAGACAGTATCAACTTTTAATAACAATAATAAAAAATAAAAAAAAATAGATGGGAACAAAACATAAAATACATAATACTAATAATACATGCTTTGACCCTATAGAGTTTCTTTCAGAGCGGTTTTGTATATTCTATAATGAAGATTCACCATTATTGTCTCAATTTTAACCTATCCCCTGACAAGGACAACACCATGTCCTGGCCAAAGGGGGTTATCAAAGCACTACTTAAAATTGTGAAACAGCTGCTGGCTGTGGGAACCCTTCAGAGGTACTCCACACTTGTGTAGGCCACAGTAAAGCAGTGAATGACTGGGCAATTCAACTACAGCAAACAAAAACTGTATCCCACATCTCTCAGCTACAAGGTTCCTTTAAGGCAGGGCTCAACAAATCCCAGGCGCCAGGTTGCCATGGTGACTAGAAATTTCACCCTGGTGCCTGGGATTTGCCAGCTCTCTAGTTAGTGTGGCCGCCAAGGGTGCTTTGACGGTGGCAGTCATGAGGAATATTGGAGGCAGCCGGCCGCTCTGAGGAGCATGTAGGCGGCTGCCCGCCCGTGGAGGGGACGGCCTGCGCAAGCATTGTGGATGGTGGGCGAGGGAGCAGTACTTTGCCTGCAGCTGCTCTCTGCTCCCTCGTGCTGTCTAATGATGCTGGGAGCCGGAATATGACGTCATTCCGGCCCCTGCATCATTACAGAGCGTGAGGGAGCAGAGAGGAGCTACAGGCAGAGTACTGCTCCTTCCCACACAGAAAGAGAGCAGCCCCACTGAACCCCAGGAAAGACCAACTCTCCCAAAGGTAGGGAGGCTGACTGGGTTTCAATTAAAACAAAAATATAAGTGTGTGTGAGCCCGTCAGAGTGAGTGTGTGAGAGAGCCTGTCAGAGTGTGTGTGTGTGTGTGTGAGTGAGCCTGTCAGAGTGTATGTATGTGTTTGTGTGTGAGTGAGCCTGTCAAGAGAGAGTGTGTGTGCGAGTCTGTCAGAGTGTGTGCGTGCAAGCCTGTTGTCAGCATAAGAGTGTGTGTGAGCCTGTCAAGAGTGTGTGTCTGAGAGCCTGTCAGAGTGTGTGTGTGTTTAGATACCTGCCCCTTGCAATCGCATGAGGAAGGTGTTTTTACTCACCTTTTTCCCATTTTCCAACGCCGTGCCAGTTTCGCCATGGCTGAGATTATCAATCTCTAGGATTTCAGGTAAGCCAATGCTTTTTCCTTAGGAAAGCATTGGGAGGATTTTGTGCATGCGCAGCAAATGTTCCAATCCGCATCTCCTCATAGAGATGCATTAAATGAATGCCTCTCTATGAGGCACATTCAGCACCTCCATGCAGAGCTTAGGGACACTGAACCTGGGTGCTGCACGTGGTACAGCAGTAACCCAGGACTCTCTAGTGGCCATCTAGAGTGACTGTCACTAGAGGTGTTACTAAGCAGAAATGTAAACTCTGCCTTTTCGCAAGCTGTAGTGGTTCTGGTGACTATAGTTTCCTTTTAAGAATGACATTTTCTTGTTGAAAATGACTGGCTCCTAACTTTTTTAGCTGGCTCCTAGATTCCAAACAAATTTGTCAAGCCCTGCCTTGAGGTAATATAGGTAATGGTGTTAGCTTTAGAAGATAGTAACCATATAAAAACCATTGGCATTTATGAAACCATTAAAGCCGTAGACCTAAAGACCTAAATCGACTTCTTAACGCTGGTCTCATAAACTGAAACAGTACTATTCGAAGGTGTCTTAAGAGTGTATAAGCCTACTAGGGCTCAAGAGATGAGACACTGTTGAGCAAGCATATGGAATGTTAGCCATATTAAAAGCTGTGAGAGGCACCTGTTAGCACATATTTGAGAACCTTCCCTCATCCCTTTATCAGGACACTTCTACACTGCATTAGAGAAGATAATTATATGTCATCAGCTTGCAATGTGATAAGGCAATCAGCTACATATGGTGGACTCCCCATTTTCTGATATTAAGCCAACGTGACTTCATTATTAAAATGGTCAATGCTTTCGATGTTTCTGACTTTTTGAAAGCAATTTAAATCACTTTATCTACCACAACTAATTCATGCAAGTGGAACAAACAAAAACAATGCTGGACTCGAATGTGGATATGTGAAAATGAAAAATAACTAATTAAATGAAAAAATCCAAGACCAAAGTAATATAATTTGCATTTATCATTACAATTAACTGACACAGATATTTATATAATGTGGACCCGTCTTGGGGAATATTAAAAAATGTACCCATTTACGCAGTTCTTATGCTGCTTGTATGGGCATTGGGGGTGGAAAAAATATTGTAGAAAATATCCTGATCTATGTTTTACTAAACATAATAAAATAATTCAACTTTAATTAATACACTACAAATACAATATTTAAATCAACTATAATTAAGTAATTTAAGTCAAATCAAGTTAAGTCATTTATATTTAAAGTTTGTAAACTAGTCATTAATAACTCTTAAGCAAGAAATACTGTAACCCCTTAAGGACACATGATGGAAATGTTATGTCATGCTGGCCTTTTATGTCTTAAGCAGTGTCCTTAAGTGGGAAAAGAAGTTATTTCACTAAAAATAAATAGCATTTATCCTATGTTTGGTAATGTAGAGGACTATCATTTTGTTACTTTTGTCTGTTTCACAGCTCAATTTAAACCCATTGCTGTTTCTCCATAAAGCAACTGTGGATGTTGCTAAAGCTTGCCTGAGGGTCAGTAGACTTTATTTTGGGATCTTAATTAATGCCAAGATGTAATCTGAAAAGCAGCAGGGAGGTTAATAGACACACACAGCTTGCCCCTCGTAGATTAGCAGCTCTAACACACTGCCTGTTGCAAACCATTGACTTCCACAGTTGTTAGGTAGAACCAGCTCATATTCATTGATAGTAGGAAAAATACTGGACCTCTAGATATGAGCGGACTACAACTCTCGTGAATGTTTGACATTTAAAAACACAGCGAGTAGCTGACAAAGGTTCACAAGTAATTGCAGTTTCTTAAGCAGGTGTTTCGTATATCAATACCTCCATCTGGATATTTTAGCCAAGAGGTGCCTTTCCGATTAAGAGAAAACAGCAAACATTAAGGGAAACAGGAGAATGTACATGCTTAGCTTCTTATTCCATTATAGTCCCATTCATGGTGACAGCATTAGAATACAACAGTAGCAGAAGACTGATATAGATCTCTACAAATCAGTCCTTGAATCCATTTCTCTATTTACTTTCCATGCTACCTGCAAAGGCAGTCAGATGTTTAGAAATCTCTTTGCAGTTTAAGAAAAACCTCTCGGCCCAGATTATTAATATTATTTGTTTATAGTTTACAGCATGGCAGCAAATCTGACAGAGTTCTACAATGGATATACAATCACAACAAGCAATGATGATAATAATTAGGATACTACAGTGGATATACAATCGCAATGAGGATAATAATTAGGATATAAAATAAAACAACCAAAAAACAGGTTTTGTAGTTATGATTAAAGAGGCTGTGCAATTATGTCAAACCATTTTAAAGTGGCTTGACCAAAAATTGGTTTTGTTGGTACCCAGAGTCCACTCCCTAGGCTTGAAAGCATGAATAAGTTTACCTCCTCATAACCCACCAAATATTTGTAAGGAGTAAGCGAATGTGACTGTACAGAGGTGCCATTTATACATTACAACTGCCAAATTGGCACAGACTTTCAGGGAGTTGGGGATCCTTACTTCTTTGAAAATAATTTGACAAAAGCTTCAAAGGGACACTATAGTCACAAGAACAACTACAGCTTATTGTATTTGTTCCAGTGAGTATAATCAAACCCTTCAGGCTCCTTGCAGTAAACACTGCCTTTTCAGAGAGAATGACAGCCTAGGGATACCTCCAGTGGCCACTCCTCATAGGTCTACTAGGTCTACTGTGCAACACTGACATTCATAGATACACTGAAATTTCCTCATAGAGATGTATTGATTCAATGCAACGCTATAAGGAGGTGCTGATTTGCCGGGGCTGTGTTTGGATTGTACTGGCTCTGCCCCTGATCTACCTCCTTGACAATCTCAGTCAATCGTGCTTTATAATGGGAAAGAATTGTGAATGGCTGAGATCACCACTCTGGCCAAGAAGGCAGAACAGGGGCAGAGCTAGCACCAGCAGATTGGAATAAAGTTAGGATTTTACTATATTTAAGAGAGGAAGGAGGAACTAGGTGGTGTTTTTAACACTATATGGCCAGGGATCCAGGTCTCTGTTCCTGACCCTAAAGTTTCCTTTGATGGACTTTAACCACAGCCAAAAAGTAATAATTTATAATAATCTTCTGTGGTTATGGTGCTTGAATAGAAACAAAAATTGACAAGTGGTATGTTCTAAAAAAGTCTACAATAGAAGTAGTACACAAGAGATAAAGAACAACATACCCAGAAGGGAAGAGAGACTGCCAAGTGTATCATCTGTATTGAACTATCCATATATAAAAACATATTGACATGCAATCTTGCAGATAGGCCTTAATTGTCAGATAAGCCATTAAAACTATTTGAAAAGCTTATCCAACAATACTAAACTGACACCTATAGTTAGAAAAACAAACAAAAAAAACCCTGAACATTATTTAGCAAACTCCAAAAATTCATTTTTTTTAAAGCTATTCACCTCTGCTCCATAGTCCATAATCGTTTTAAAAGATGAAAAGGGTGAGGAAGTTGTGGAGTGGAGAGCAACACAATGCTATTTCAAGAATATATTAATTTATTATGAAGTACATGTTCTGGAATGAAAGCTACATAATATATCCAAAAGGCAGATATGCAACGTTCACTAGGGAACCCTAACATGCAGACAGGACAGAATAGAGAGAATAGAGGTCATCACTGTGTGCTGGGTCACATGACTGGGTACAGCACACATATAAGGAAGCTTCTCTGGAGCGTGCAGCGTCAGACACACGGCCAGTCTGGAGACAGGGCCCAGATGACGCCGCTCGCTCTGATAAAGTAAGCAAGGCTGCCGCGAGTGGCGCAGAGGCAGGGGACCTGACAAGATAAGCACAAAAATATGTAGGATAAATATAATGCACCTAGTGATCAGCCTAGTCTAGTGGTTCTGAAACATTTTTTGTCAGGGACCTAAATTATTCTCATGACATTTTACTTGGTCACCCATATCTCAATTGTAAAATTAGTTCAGTGACTAGTTTACCGATTGTAATATAATAAATAGCAAAATACGTACTATATTAGACTCTTTTCACTGCAATAGGGAAGGCAGTGCTTCTACAATGAACATAAGGCCTTAAGAATATCATGTGAATATTCCAAACATTGCAGACACACTCAACCCCAGGTTTGAGAATTGCTAACCTTGTCCAATCTCAATTTAAACCACGTGGCACATTTCAGTTGCATTCAATCTTTAAATAAAGTGCTTCCCTTTTATTGTAAAATGTCAGGCTTTGTCCAATAGAAATGCAAGTAGGATTTGTACCTATAAATATTCACTCAATTTCATTTACATTTCACATTTCAATTGTGGAACATATATTGTTTGGAATCATTAAAAAATGTGGGTATTCTTGTGGGAATGCCATAGCAACTGCCAAATATCCTCTTCCAGTTAACAGTCATATAGTATTTTGTATAATATACATATACAGGTAATACTTGGGATTTTGAATTTGCTACATTTAGACAAAAGTTCTCCAATTTTGCAGAAGCCAGTGATTGGGTAATTTAGTCACAATTGTTATGAATAAACCTTCCTTGTTATTAGATGTGTGCGTGGTAAACAAATCTGGTTTGTCTGAATAAAAAATATACATATTTTGGGTGATTTGGGTTTCATTCATGTGGCGTTTTGAACAAATTTAATCTATGCATCTGTTTTGTCAAAAACAAATGGAGACAAAATCAGTATACTTTAAAATGTACACAAATTTTTTTGCATATATATTTAAATTCTACATGCGTATTTATGTAATATTTTTACATTATTAAGTAATTTTATTGAATACAATTTGAGGGACCTGCGTGACAACCCAGGAAGAAAGTCCAGAGAATTTAATTTGCTAGCACTGTATTTAACCCTGTAACTTTCTATGACACCCTAAAACCTGTACATGGGGATACTGTTTTACTTGGGAGACTTCGCTGAACACAAATATTAGTGTTCCAAAGCAGTAAAACATATCACAGCGATGATATAGTCAGTGAAAGTTACTTTTTTTGCATTTTTCACACACAAATGGCACTTTCACTGATGATATAATTGTTGTGATACATTTTACTGTTTTGAAACGCTAATATTTGTGTTCAGCAAAGTCTCCCGAGAATAACAGTACCTCCCATGTACAGGTTTTACAGTGTTTTTGAAAGTTACAGGGTCAAATATTTTTACATTGAAAATTGCCAGGTTGGTTATGTTGCCTTTGAGAGCGTATGGTAGACCAGGAATGAGAATTACCCCCATGATGGCATACCATTTGCAAAGGAAGACAACCCAAGGTATTGCAAATGGGGTATGTTCAGTTGTTTTTAGTATCCACTTAGTCACAAACACTGGCCAAAGTTAGTGTTAATATTTGTTTTTTGAATTTTTAACACACAAACTAATGTAAATGCTAACTGGCCAGTGTTTGTGACTAAGTGGCTACTAAAACAGACTGAACATACCTCATATTGAATACCCTGGGTTGTCTACTTTAAAAAAAAATATATGTACATGTGAGGTGTGATTCAGAGATTTATGACAGGTAACAGTGTTACAATGTCACTATTGATACATTCTAAAAATATATATTTTGAAAGCACAATTTCCTATTTGTATTTATAGCCCTATAACTTGCAAAAAAAAAAAAAAAAGCAAAAAAGCACGTAAACACTGGGTGTTTTTAAACTCAGGACAAAATTTTTAATCTATTTAGCAGTTTTTTTCCTTTTTTCATTAGCTTTCGTAGGTAACAAAGATTTTCAAGCAAAAGTTAAAAAAATGTTTTTTTTATATTTTTCACCATATTTTCTTTTTCTTTTTAAAGTAAATTATATGACATGATACAAATAATGGTATGTAAAGAAAGCTCTTTTTGTCCCGAAACCCCCCCCCCCCAATATATAACTTGCATGGGAACAGTAAATGAGAGAGAGAGGAAAATTACAGCTAAACACAAACACCACTAAAATGTTAAAACAGCCCTGGTCCTCAAATGCAATCATCTACTTGTTACTTTCTGACTTACTATGTAAACCAGTCTACGCATGTTTTTTCCTATATAGTAGGAAGTAGTGATTGTCCCTTTGTAAATAAACGCATGACGCGAGGGATATTAGTAATGTTTACAATAATAAAGTCAGACAATCTTATAAATAGGTGAGTCACACTGAAGCCATGCCAAACCCCCATTTGTTTGGGCTCCAACTTTCATAATGCTTTGCAAGCCTCATGCAAAGAATTATGGTAGTTGCCATCCTACAGTATCAGGATTAAAATGTATTTGAAAAGGTCTTGACTGAGTACATCAAAATGTAAATGACCCCAACATAAAAGCCAAGATATAATACTGCCAGGGCACTTTCTTTACCTGGTTTATTTAAAGTAAAATCAAATCCACCCCTACATTCAGCTGCAATGTTATGCTACAGCACAACAGAATCATGAAAATAAGGCTAACGTCAGCAGCCATTTATTTATAACAATACTCAAACAAGCATTATAATCTCAAGGGAGAAGTGAATCACAAAAGGTTTCTCTTAAGAGGAGTTTATTGTGTAAACAGCACAGTTCCAACCCATGTCAAATAAATCCAGGCAGGTACTGCCAACATGATAGACATGATGTGGTCTGTAAATCTAAAAATCAAAAAAAAAAAAAAAAGGAAAAAAAGAAATTTGTGTGTGTTTTGAAAGTTGGGAAAGACACGCTGATCTTCAGCTTGTCTTATCTTTTTGTTATCTATTAGCTTCTCCCGCTTACTTGTGAGTCCTCATTGCAGAAAAACTGTCAGGGCCACATCAGATGAAGGGAAGAGTTTGGCAGAGACAGTATAGCATAAAATTTTGTTTTTTTTAAACTTCTGTTATATTTTTTTAAATTTATTTAAGAGAAAGTCATTTAAACATTACATATTAAAGGAAAACAAAAAATGTCCAAAGAGTCACAGGATCACAGGCTATTGCAGGCTGTGAATGGGTGAAATAATCTTGAAGCAGGTATAAAATAGGTCTTATTTGAGGCATGTCCTTCTATAGTAGGTGTTCCCATGGTAACGGCCTTCAGTGTTGTTTTGTACAATTAGGAAAATACCATAGCAGCAGTAATAGTCCACAAATAGAACTCAGCCACATATTAGTCAACTGACACTTTACTCTAAAAATAGAAACACGCTATTTTTGTTAAGCATGAAATTGGCATACCAAACAAATCAAATTTATCTAGAAACAGTGACGATTGAGAATGAGGTTTGAACAGCTGACAGCTTCATGTTTGCAGTGTTTAAGCAAGGGAGAGTTTGATAGCAAAGGCCAAGAGCCAGTAAACATTCCTACTAATGCTTTTGAACCCATTTCCTATAAAAAGATGCAATAACGATTATAGAGACAGGGAAGGATTAACTTTGACAACTCCCCATTCAAACGAGTACCCAAAAATAACATGTTCTGTGTTTGGTATATTACCAGCAACACAAATATATCTCTGCCCCAAACACATATAATGTGTAGTATATCTGGAAATTTAACAATACACAAACTGTTTTGGTAGTAAAATTTCCACCCTGACAAATACAAATAATCTATGATGATAATATAATAACACATTTCTTGAATTCTCCACAAGTCTTAAAGAACTAAAGGAACAGCATAGGGAAAGCATTGTATTGACTGCAATGGGCAAGGAGGCGGGATGGGGGTGGGGCCAAACAAGTTTGGTCAATCAGCCCCTCCTCATAGAAATGCATTGAATCAATGCAGGGCCAGCGTGTCCATAAGGTGGCTCAGGCGCCGCCTTAGGGAACCAGAGCAGGGGGAGTGCAAAACTCCGAATCCCTAGCATCTGGCTGAGGACTCTAATTTTTCCAATTACCTCCCTCTCCCTGCAGTCAGTGGAGTCGGCCGGCCTCTCCTGATGATGTCAGGAGGAGAGGGAGTGACTTCCTCTTCTCTTCTCCCAGGACCGCTGGGGAGTCTGAGAGAAGAGCAGAGGAAGTCACGCCCCCCCCTTCTGACATCATCAGGAGTGGCCGGCCGACTCCACTGACTGCTTTATGCAGACTCCAGATCCTGTACCACCTCTTCCTGGCCCAAGGTAAGTCTCAGGGAGGAATACACTTTAGGTTTTTTTTTCATTCCCCTCCAAAGCCCCTGTCCCTCTTACCTGGCCCCTGTCCCCCTCCACAGCCCCTGTCCCTCTTCCCCTTACCCAGTTCCCTGTCCCCCTCCACAACCCCTATCTTCATTACCCAGCCCCTGCCCCCCTACTCCTCCTTAGCCCCTGCCCCCCTACTCCACCTCAGCCCCTGCCCCCTACTCCACCTCAGCCCCTGCCCCCTACTTCACATCAGCCCCTGCCCCTCTACTTCACCTCAGCCCCTGCCCCCCTCCCTCTGCCCCTGTCACACGTAAAAAGAATAGGGGGGGAAGACACAAAGGGAATGGGGAAAGAAAGATACACAAGGGGGGTTATAAGAGACAAACAAGAGAGTGCTAGACATATTAAAGAGGGTAAGAAAATCAAAAGGGGGGGGGGTGTTAAAGACACATAGGTGAAGACTGTAGTTGTTCTGGTGACTATAGTGTTCCTTTAAGAAAAGCAATTCTGTAATATAACAACCATAAAAATGCTTTGAAATCCAGAATTCCCAACATGGCTGCTTATTGCAACATGATAAAGCAAATAGTAGAATATTTCATACTTTAAAAACATACAAGGAGTTATTCATTATTCATGAAACAGACTGAAAACAAACTGAATTGTTAAATAGCTACCCTATGACTATAGTTAAATTGGAGAATTGTTTCAAATCCGCTATTATGGTCTAAATTGGGTACTCTGATTTTCAGTTCACAACATTTCAATGTTTATTGTATCTATACTGTGTGTATTTTGGCAGACACATTAAGTTGATGTACCAAGTTTTCAGTTAAAAGGGAAATAATTTACTAATTAAGTATGTGCAGTCTTCACTAGAACTATTTTGTTTGAATGTAAGATTTTCAGTTGCTTGTTCTAGGTTATTTCACGTACAAAAATAAGACAGTGCAGCAGCCATCTTGAATTCCTTCGGTATAGTTTTACATTCTGATAATTTTTGGAATTTAAACATTTTATAAAACATCTATGTATAAAGAAAAAAACAAAAGTAGTTTTTTTTTTTTTTAAGTGGAACAATTAACATTCATTAAAAGCTTCATTGTGTTTTATACAGGGTAGGGTATAAAACACAATAGGACAGGAGATAGCAATCAAGGTGGGAGTGAAGCAGAGTAGACAGATTAGGAGAGAGCAAGAGACAGGTATGTGAGGTAGAGGTTACTCTGGGAGTTACTTCCTAAAGAGTAATAAATGCATCAATGTAAATTTTGCTACAAAATTATACTTTTTTGTTAAATGTGATGAATATGTTTAGGCTTATAGTTGAAATGTTTTCATTGTGTGTTGTAAGAGTCTTCATCTCTGTTAACTTCCCTGAATATATCATGTGTATGCCACACACTTATGGATGCAGTGAACTGTCCAAGGTACTGAGAAAAGTCTTGATCATCTAGAGCCGCTCATTTATAATCATGCATGCAATATTTATACCAGACTACAACAACATGGCCAATTTAACACTAAACCATGGAAAACATTTAAATAATCCCCCTATCGACACTCCCCCGCCCCCCCCCCACATAAAAAAAAATCCAAAAAAAATCACAGCACTGTAAGAGTATTACAAAACTTCCAAATGAGGGGAAACTTGGCCAAATTGAAATGCTGAGTGCAGGGACGTTTTTTTAAAGACCTAAACCAAAGGGTGAACTGTCTATTTTGACCTAAAATTTACAATTAATTTGTCAATGCTCCACAATTGCAGATTTATAGAATAGCTATCACTGTATTTCACTACTAGAACAGAATGCAAAGAGTTACAGGATCCACGGCAGCAGGAGGATTACATCAACTCTCATACAATATGCATAGAGTTCACTGTGAAGGCTTGAAGCTTTTCTAAACCCTAACACTGTTAAATATACAACTTGTCCTTATCGTGCCTTCCCAGAGATATCATTAAACATCACTAATGTACCAGATTTTAAAGAGACAGCACTCATTTTAATGATTAAAGGAGGTAACGCATTAAATAATCATGCACTTGAAACAATGATAGAAAAACTACTTTGCTACATAATGGCCTCTCCTAAAGGTTTTTCCTGAGACGCCATTCACCTCAAGTGAGGTGCTGCAACAGTATTTGTAATTCTAGGCACCCCTTTATACCACTGATACCAAGGTGGAAGGAAACATGGTGTGTGCAGTGTCACAAGTGCCCAGGTTAAGTACTTACCCATGGAAATACCAGAATAAAGTGCTGTGGAGTTATAATCATTCGCAAATTACATAACTGCCTTGGATTTCTCAATATGACACCTAGAACCAGGTGTGTAAATTAAAACATTAAAAGGAACACTGTAGGCACCACCTCAATTGAATGGTTTACTCACCATTTAGCAGAGCTTTTTGGGTTCCTTGCAGCCATCAGACTGTCGGGGACAGAGCATCTCTATTAAATGGTGAATAACCTGTATTATGGTGCAGAACCTGACTTCAATGGTCTCCAGGCACTATAACCACTTCAATCCTTTGAAGCCGTTATGGTGCATACATTGTGCCTTTAAAAGGATTCTATAGTTGTATATCCTATATACAACGTTGCATTCCTTAAACTATATTGCTCTCTGGTTTCCCCCCTTCCCCCTACCTCGTGGGCTCCCCGATCTGTAAAGGGTTAAAAATCTTTTGTTTACTAACTTGATTCCAGGGCCAATCTCATTTGGTTGATGTCATCCGATGGGGTGAGGTGGGGGGGCTAATGCACCTGCCCGGCGAGTACATTAGACCCTCCCTATAGAAAAGCATTTCCTCAATGCTTTCCTATGAGGATTTTACTGCCATTGGATGTTCTCATGCAAAGCGTGAGGACGTCCAGTGTCAGGAGACCAAAAGTCTGTTGGGATCCAGGAACACCTTGGCAATTCACCTGCCTTCCATTCGAAAAAGGCTGAGCACCGTGGTGCTTTACGAAGATTGTGAAACCAGTGCTGGCCCACCTTCGGAGATTGAGTATACGATGCATAGTGTATCTAGGCGACATACTTCTGTACGGTCAGATATGACAACTGGTGTCACAGACAGAATACACTGAAGGTATTCAAATCCCTGGGTTTCATCGTAAACCGCACAAAGTCCGCAATGACTCCAGCTCAATGTGTACAATTCCTGGGCTTCGACATGGACTCAAGGTCCTGTACACTTCGACTTCCAGCAACAAAGGTCTCAGCAATCCGAAAAGAGATTTGCAGGATCCTGCACTGGGAATCAATCCCGCATGTTAGCACGGGTTGTTGGCCTTCTATCCTCCTCTATTCAGGCAATCTTCCTGGGCTCGCTGCATTACTGTGCCGTGCAACGCCTGAAAGCACGCTTCCTCAGACGGAACCCCACCTATGACCAACTGTCCCCATGATGGAAGAAGTCCGACAGGAACTTCGATGGTGGCTCGATTGCATGCAAGCCTGGAATAGACGGGCCATCTTTGGCACGCGTCCAGAATTTGTACTGGAATCAGACTCCAACTGATGGGGTTGGGACACCACCAATGGACAATTAGCCACAGGCGGAATATGGACGACGGACGAACTCGCTCTCCATATCAACTCCCTGGAACTGTTGGCAGGCGCCTTTGCGATTTGGAGTCTAACAAAAGGCTATCCTACTGCGAATGGAGAACTTCTCTGCAGTTCGATATATCAACCATCTAGGAGGCACCTGCTCCCAAACATTGGCAGATCTCACAAAGGAAATCTTTGAATACTATCTCCCACGCAACATAACATTGATGGCGGAACATCTACGATCAATCTGACTGCGGACTGGTTCTCATGGCATTGGCGAGACAGCAGCGACTGGCAATTAGATCCATGCATATTTTCAGAGCTGAACGAATAGAGGGGATTCGAGATAGACCTCTTTGCGTGTCGCACCAACTGCCAACCTTCTACAGCTGGTTACTGGACCCAAAGAGTTCAGCAGTGGACGCATTCCTTCAGAATTGGCCAGCCAGAGGAGCATATGCCTTCCCGCTCTTTGCTATGATTGTGAGAGTACTCCACCACATCAGGATCCAAGTAGTGATGGACCTCTTGTTAACACCTCTATGGCAGAGTTAAAACCGTGGTTCCGGGACCTTCTCGCACTGTCATACGAGGACCCTCTCCTACTGCCAGATGAACGGATGATGCTCAGAGACCCCATGGGGAACCCGCATCCAATGCTCCAAGCCGGATGCCTGTCTTTGGTAGCCTGGACTCTTTCAGGGGTTCATGGTGCACCGAGGAGTTATCAGCAGAGGCTAGAGACATCCTCTGGGAGTTGTGGGCTCCAGGAACTAGGTGATGTTATCTCTCGGCCTGGCTCTCATGGTCTAATTGGTGTATAGGACAGGATCTCGATACTTTTACAGCCTGTCTCCATGTTGAATTTTTTGTATGATACTCTCATCAACTGTTAACCTCTTATGTTAAGCCACACGGTCCGGTTTCAGTTACCACCTTGTTGCGATGGGTGAGGTGGATTTTGTCTTTATCTGTATTGACACTTCGTTTGGCGCACATTCAGTTCGGGGTGTGGCGGAGTCATCCGCCTTTGCAGTGGGGGCCTTTTTGTCTGACATTTTTAGCAACGGCGGATTGGTCACCGGAGTCAACCTTTCGGACCTTTTACTTTCGCCCTTCTCCAAATGCCGTGCTCTTCTTGTTACAGTAGCGTTAAAACTGCAAAATATGAAGCCTCATGCCGTGTGATAAAATTGATTATGCTAGCTTTAATGTACCAATAATCTTAATTTTAATAATGACAGGAGGAGAGTATTCCCCACCCCTTCTCTTTCTCTTTCCTCCTTGGGATTTTGGTTTTAGCTATGGTTCATATGGTTTCTTCTTGCTATATTGTTTAGTTGAAATTTCACTGTCAAATGTATTCACGTTTGCTATGTTATGCATTTCTGGTGTATGTTTACTATTAATTATAATGTAGAATATTATCGATATGTTAGTCAGTTAAACTTGTTTGATTTTCAGTACATTTAACAAGTAATGCTGCTAGTTAGCCAGACTATGGTTGCTCATGTTTTTTCAAGGTCATTGGCTATACCTCTAAAACATTCTCGGTCTTGTTTCAGCTTCATGCAACGCAACACCGTATTTGGATGTCTTCATGAGAAGATGTTTCTACATTCCAGCGGTCATATGGATTTTATGGGGACAATTCCTTATAAGAACTTGGACGTTTCCTGGTTCGGATTTATGTTTCGTTTGACTTGTGATGTCGCTAATTTCAAGAGGATGTGCTTATACTATGCTTATCTCTTATTGGTAATTTCTTTTCTATGTTCTTTGCGGCTATTGGAGTAGTAAAGGAAGTTTATGCAAAATACTCGCCTCCTGTCATTATTAAAGGATCACTATAGGGTCAGGAACACAAACATGTATTCCTGACCCTATAGTGTTAAAACCAACATCTAGCCCCCCCGGGCCCCTCATGCCTCCATAAATATAGCAAATCTTACTGTATTCAAGCCTGAAGCTGTATCTCTGCATGCGGTTTGCCTCAGAAAAACAAACAGTCTGCTGACATCATCAGAAGTGGTAGTCTGATCCAATCACAATGCTTCCCCATAGGATTGGCTGAGACTGAGAAAGAGGCAGATCAGGGGCAGAGCCAGCATGATTCAAACACAACCCTGGCCAAATCAGCTTCTCCTCATAGAGATGAATTGAATCAATTAATCTCTATGAGGAAAGTTCAGTGTCTGCATGCAGAGGGAGGAGATACTGAATGTTTGGATGCATTTTAAGCAGCCATGACCAAGGAAGGATCTCTAACAGCCATCTGAGGAGTGGCCAGTGAAGTTATCACTAGGCTGTAATTTAAACACTGCATTTTCTCTGAAAAGACCGTGTTTACAGCAAAAAGGCTGAATGTAATGATTCTACTCACCAGAACAAATTCGATAAGCTGTAGTTGTTTTGGTGACTATAGTGTCCCTTTAAATTAAAATTATTAGTACACTAGAACTCTCCATCCGGCCAAAGCTTGATTAGACAGAAATTGTTTCTGAAAACAAATAAAAAAAAATGGAATTACAATAAACATTGCTGCAATGGAGGTTTGCCAGATTAGAGCTATAGTTTCTGACATTAACTCATAAATGGATTATTTCTTTGCTAGCAGATCCTGCAAAGAAAGGTGTATTTATGTAAGCAAAAAAGCATTGATACAACTACAAAATACTGAATATTCAATTTTTCTGTCATAATAAAAAGCCAGAATGGCAATAATATTTATGGGGCTCATCCACAAAGCATGGAGTAGAATGATTAATAAACATGGTTACCGAATAGAAGGAATGGGAATATATCTCCCCCTCAATGTAGAGTTGAAGTCTTTGTTACTAGCTCTGGTATTTTGCATGTCAGTTATCAACTCACAGACGGTTATTTAGTGCAGGCCTTGGCAATCTAGCATTTTTATTCAATAGAACAAATCAACATGGATGCTCGTCAACTCAATGAAGGTTGCACACGCAGGGTTAACACTAAAGTGGGATTTGTTGGGAATTCAATACAAATTCAAAGTAAATGTCAAATTTAAGGCCACATGAGCCAAACTGGAAACATTCTCCAAGTCAGCTACGCATGTAGTTCAGTTATTTTGGGCTTGCTTCTGAATTCACTTCGAATCCACGTTGCATTCTCACTAGTGAATGTCTCTGTATGTTTTCTCAATTGAACCATATTCAGTTGATTGAATTTGAGACCAAAGATTGGGTGAAACATGTCGGCAACTCCTTGATTTAGGCAAAAAAGGTGATGAGCAGTAGATCTCAGGAGAAACCTGCATAACTGTGCTATCCAGATGGGAGTTTTTTACTGCTTAGGTTTTTTGTTTTTTTTAATTCATCATCAATATAATGTCTCAAAATCTGTGGTCTCATGACTTAATGTATCGGTTCTCTCAATTTTTTTCTGAGAGTGATAACTACTCATAAAACAAGCTTTCAAAGGGGAAACTTTGGACCACTATAGTGTGCTGTAGTGGTTATAGTACTAGGTAATGTTCCTATGGTAAGGATTGAAACAGTTTTTGAGTGCTTTGACAATTACAGTACTTGAATCTCTCAGAAGCCCAAGGTTCTTCCAGCCTTCTATGATATCTCTGAAGCAATAGTTCCAATTCAGTTTTAGCAACATAAATTAACTTAATTCATTGGACGGGAGTATCAGCTGAGCCGGTAAATGATGTGCAGATTTTATTACTGACAAAGCAGCATGGTAACTTCTCCTTTAGTGAAATCACAACAGACCAGAAGAACCATCAGTGCCCAAGTGACCCAGAGTCAAATCTTCTGAAAATGGATTCCATACTGTGGAACAATGCCAGGGAACTTATAGTACCATAACCACTACATAACAATGGAGTAGTTATGGTGCATGGAGTATTCCATCTATTTGTTACTGGTTTTAGAGAGGGCTATTTTCAAACTTTTTTTCTTAGTATTTCTTTGAGTCTCCTTAAGTGTGCAAACACCTTTGCTTTTCCACAATAATTTCACAATATGGGAGCAGAAGAGACAGGTATATTAAGCATGAGAAATAATCTTTCACATTCAGACATTTCTTCAAACGCCCTAGTGCAGGGGTAGGCAACCTTTTAGGAGCACTGTGCCGATATGGGATTGTGATGTCCCGTAGCGTGCTGGTCCTATTTTTTTAAATTGAGGTGTGTATGCTGCCGTATTCTGCTTGTGTTATTTATACTGCAGTTACTTAGGGCCTAGTGTGTTAATGAGTCTGGAAAATTCCCACTGGGCTCATTAATTAGCAGTGATACAGGAAAGAAAAACTACTAATTTAGGAGAAAAGATCTTATCTGTCACTCTTGCACATCATTTCATTTTAACTAGCACCATTTCATCTGAAAAGGGCAGGAGCAGAAACCACAATAAAATTAGCCTTTCCAAAATGAGTAGTAAACGGTAGGGACAGCTGGTGTGAGGGTCTCCATTAAAAAAAGCTATTCAAATAAAAGTAATGTTTGGTAAAATATAAACTCAAGGATCCCTGATGGCGGACATGTCTAAAATCAAAACTGCAAACCAACCCATTAATTAAACAGCATTCTGCAGATATATAACCAAATGATTATATTATTTAGAATGATAAATTTGTTAAGCGGAAGATTAAAATAAAATAAAATTGTACTAATTATGATAGAATATGAGGATCATATCTTATCAAATGCATTTGAACTGTACACTCGTCCATGAAATGGATTGTACTAAAAGCAAACAAAAGGCTTGAGAAGGATGAATGCATTTCCTTCCTACATATAACGATTATATCAAAGCATTATAAGGTAATTGCAGCATGAAATGCCTCTTAACCCCCAACCACTGAACTAAATTAAAGAATGCATTGTGTGTTCTTTCCTTAATCTAACTAGAAGTTACATTCATTTTCCTTTATTTCTCATTAGACTACAACTCCCATCCTTACAGAAAGGGTCCTTAGAGGGAAGCTTTGAAGCTGAAGCACAATATCATCTAGATAATTATGTCTCCAAATAACATCACACATGCACTCAGGACTAATGTAGCATTGTTTGATGATAGTATATAAACTTTCCCAACTGGAAACATTAAAGTGTACCTGCCATGCAAAACAAAACAGAAAAATAGAGAAGAAATTTCATCTATACATTGCGCTAACAGACTTTCTAGCAAACTTACTCATAAATTCCAAACAAAACAGTGACACCTGTGCAGAAAAGTGTTTAGTCTGTATGCATTCAGCTCATTTTCATATCCACTTTATCTAACATTCTCCCTATATCTCCATATCCCTGTCCCTCAGACATACAGTATGTGCTCACTGATCTGCCCACTTACTGTAATTCCACTCAACTACTGCATGAAGATATGACCCTATCTTAAAAAAATAAAAATAAACCCAATGTATCTCTAAAAAGAAAATATCTTTATTATATACCACTCTACTAAACTCACAGCCCCTAACCTATGAGTTGCCTAAATTTCAGAAAACGTGAGAACGTCTTCACCCAAACTAATGGTACAAACTGTATAACTTAATGTACCACTGTTCTATCTCCACTAAGACCAAAAAACAGGCATACCAACCTCTACCACTTTGGTACCAGGTACCATCGGGCTTATATAAAGTCAGACTGTGAATCTACCCTCTTTGCCCGAGATGATGAAATGAGGAAGCCACTCTCAGCCATCTGAGGTGGAACTCATCCAAGATCAGACTGCTGTGGACCCAGGTACAATAAGTTATCTCATTGTTCTCAGATATTCGTATACTCTTTACATCATAATATTTGCATTCATTTAACACAAATCTAACCAATAAAAAAAACAAGTTTTCGCTCACATTTTCACCTCAAAAATTCAGCAAAATCTCTTAGATTCCCTACACTGGAAACAAAACATCCCCCATCACAAGAAGAGTGTGGCTTCAGAACGTAGAAGACATTCAGTCCATGAAAGAACTGGTGCACATAGACGATGACACCTTGGAAGAATTCAGGCTCATTTGGTCCAAATGGAAGATTAATCCGTCATCGTCTGGAGGTCAGCCACTGTGTTCCCCTTAAAAAGATTCTATAGTGCCAGGAAAACAAAGCAGTTTTCCTCGCACTATAGATTTCTACAGTGCGCCCCTCCCTCACACCCTCTCCCGCAGAGCACTGTGCAGGCATGCCCATCACTAACCTGAATCCAGTCCCGATGTCCCTCAGCGCTGGGTCAGGCTCTGCCCATGTTTCTCCCCCACCGATGTCAGCCGGTGGGGGGGATAGCATTAAGATTTCCCCATTAGAAAGCATTATTCAATGCAATACAAATTTTAATAACTCAAAGCAATACAAATGATATATAGAATTTATAATATAAAATACACTTACAAGTTTCCTTCAAAAGTGAACCTGTCATGACGCTGCTGTCATAGAAATGAAGTTACACATTTTACAATGCTATTTAAATAATGCTGAAATGTTGCGCTGTGCATAAGACATTATTGGCAATCTTCACTACCCCCCTTCGGGAGCAGAGGTGGACAGGAAAGAGAGCAGGTTGCACAGAGCACTGTGCAGGCATGCCCATCACAGGGGATAGCTTGCCCCTTCTAGCAGACAATGTACACAGTGTTGTTAAAGCGCTTTGTGCATGGCCCTAGTGCCCAGTCCAAACCTGCATTTTGAAATCTGCTGGGACAGTACCCCAAAATGGATGACTGTCCCGGTAAATATGTGACTACTCGCACCTAGGGTAAGAGTACAGTATTGTTAAAATGTAATTAAACACCATGCCACTAAATCTAAAGTTAGATCTATGTAGGTACAATTGTGTACCTATATTTAAGAAGCTGTGAACTGTAGCTCCCATGATAAGAGTAACAGGAGTTAGAGCGCATAGCATCTTCAAGAAAGGGACCCCCTGAACCTAATTTGGTGGAACTTAATACTCTCCAAGAAAGATAGCACAGATTATGATTGGCTTCTTTGTCTGTAACACTTAATGAGGGTTTGTAAATTGTGATACATTTATAAGTCGATACGTGGCACATTGATAAGATGGCATATCTGGAAATGGTAGTTTCAGCTAACTTTTCTATAGTCTGACAAAACTAGCAATAATCTGTTGGGAATATTATTTAAAAATTGATAGTGACGTAAAGAAAATCTAGACTTTTATTTGAAACAATAAAGGTTGAAGTGTGCCTGTCGTGCAAATTACATGATGGCAAATTAGACAATTAGTGCAACACTATTTATAACATTATTTAGATCTGGGGCAGGCAACGTATGGCCTGTGGACCACACCCAGCCTGACACCTGGGCTACACTGGCCCATCAACATGCTGCCGACTGTCTCCATGCCTGCCCCTGCTGCACCAGACAGCAGAGTCCCCTAGAGTTATACACACTGCTCCTGGTAGCTCAGAATGTAGTGATGCGTGACATCACTGCAGAGTAGGTAGCAAGAGAGCGGTGTGTAGAACTAAAGCAAGGTGCTTCTCATGGCTCTCTCGCGCCACTAGGGATGAGGCCCTACAGGATATGAGAGGTTGTTTCTACCACATGATATTCATTGAGAGCTACCCTACTTAAATGCAGTGTCTGTATGACTGTATGAGTGTGTATGTGTGTCTGTATGACAAAGATCTGGCATTCAGTGTTTAATCCAATGCAGTCTTTAGTAGATATGCCAGGCAAGGTTTTGACTCCAATGAGTCTTTCTCAAACCAAGACACTGTCTGCATTACTATGTTTCTGTAAGAGTGTGTGTCCCTGTGTATCACTGTTTGTAGGATTGTGCCTGTATTACTATGAGAGACAGAGAGAGAGAAAGAGAGAGAGAGAGAGAGAGAGAGATAGAGAGAGAATATAGAACTATATATCTGGGGAATATTTAAGTGTTCTGAAGAGTACCAGTTTAAAAATGCTGTTTTGTCACTGGAAATGGCATATGGCAAAATGTCTAGTTACATGCAAAAGAAGCAACATGAGAAAAGCTGATAACTCAACAAACAGAATCAAACAAACCCCACTCATCACATTCAGTAACCACCACACAATAACATTTAGTCGATCCTCATTTGTAGAATGTCTCATCCACTTGACACAATCACACGGATCCTTCCCACATGCAATCACACTCCACCAACCAAACTCACAGCATATTCAACCAACCACACATCAATCCTCACACACTCAGCCTAACACATATTTCCATACATATCATATATAGTATCTGTTAGTCCATCTATTGTACAGCGTTGCAGAATTTGTTGGCACTTTGTAAATAATAATAATATCACAGTCCAACACCGAAAAGCTTTGTGAGATATTCGTGTACTCTGCACATCGCTGAGTTTTATTGGTATGGAACTTTGTAAAACATTTAAACACTGTATTACCGCATTGCTGAGGATCTCTGTGATACTCCTACACACTGTGCATTGCTGTGGAGCTAGTTATCAGCTTAGGGACAACTCTGATTTCCTTGACTTGCCAGCCACAGCTCAGACTTGAAACCATTGAAATATCTCTGTAGAGACTCAACAATGGCTGTCAATCGATAGTCCCAATCAGACCTTGATGGGATCTGCAGAGATAATTGGCAGAAACTACCCAAATCCAGGTGAGCAATGCTGGTCTTATCATACCCAAAAAGATATTTAGCTGTAACTGCTCAGTTAAAGGACCACTCTAGGCACCCAGACCACTTCAGCTCAATGAAGTGGTCTGGGTGCCAGGTCCCTCTAGGATTAACCCTTTTTTTTATAAACATAGCAGTTTCAGAGAAACTGCTATGTTTATACTGAGGGTTAATTCAGCCTCCAGAGCCTCTAGTGGCTGTCTCATTGACAGCCGCTAGAGACGCTTGCGTGCTTCTCACTGTGAAAATCACAGTGAGAGCACGCAAGCGTCCATAGGAAAGCATTGTAAATGCAGAAGCCGCGCGCGCGCATTCAGCCGATGACGTCGCGAGCAAGGAGGAGAGGAGGAGTACAGCTCCCCGCCCGGCGCTGGATAAAGGTAAGTGTTTAACCCCTTCCTCTCCCCAGAGCCCGGCTGGAGGGGGTCCCTGAGGGTGGGGGCACCCTCAGGGCACTATAGTGCCAGGAAAACGAGTATGTTTTCCTGGCACTATAGTGGTCCTTTAAGGATCTGAATACTTACATCAATGTAATTTTTAATTTTTTGTTTAATATATATGCAATGATGCAAAAATCTTTTTTTGCTTTGTCATTAATTTTCACATCAATAGTAGCATAAGGCCGCAACATTAAAAAAACAACAAAAAAAACTAAGGGGTCTGAATTCACTGTATATATATTTTTTGTTGTTGTTTTGCCAATCCACATATCTGCAGTTTCTAAAACAAATGCCCAGCTCACCCATCCATTTATGACGGGTAACTTACCAGGACTGTCATGATGAAAGGATTTACATTATTTGACATGAAACGATTAAATATGAAAATATTAATTACATCCACAATTGATTTTTAGCAAAATAATGCATTTCCTGGTCTGTTGTAAGTCAGTATTCTTAAAAGCAGTCTGGATCCTTGATGAGAATGGTTTGTGACTCAACAGTTTGTTCTGCCAAATGCCTGGTGTTTATATCATGTGCGTTAACATTTGGAACATGCCCTCCCCCTCATCCATAATCATTGGCGGACTTTTAAGGCCGGTTTAAAAATCCCCCCCCCAACTGAGCAGAGGTGCACATTTCTGTAATTTGGGTCAAAGGAAAAGTTCATTAACCAGATAATTCACTAAAAACCTATGTTTTTGATAGTGTAGTGGTAAAAAATAAATAAAAATGCTTTGAATAAGGCTGTATTCGCCCAGGAGGTACTAAGCTTAGAAAAGACAACAGAAAACAGCAGACAATTTTGTGGAATGGTTATTAAGGTTTACCATCACTGCATGTTAATTCCCCTTTAAGAATTAAAAGAGGTTTCACTAAGATTATAGAGGGCTTGCAGGTTGGTATTCATGCTGCTGCCTGGGAAGATCACAGAGGCATGAACTTGAGTTAACCAAAGGAGTCAAAGAAGATATTATAGGCATAGCTGCCTTCTGTATATTTCCTCTGTGTTATTGAAAACCAATATACAGAATGGGGTTCTAGAAGTCCACAAGGCTACCAACACGCAGAATGACATATAGGATGGCTCCATTACTCGAGCTGGAGGTAATGATTATTGAGCAAAAGAGGAGTAAAATCGGTAACAGAACAGCTTCTTATGACAACCATTAAATATTATTTTAAAACAAACACAGAGCTTCATTTACTGTTTTAATGTACACAGCTGAGGGAACAAAACCACACCAATATTTACAAAGAATTGCTGTAAAGCATATTTTATTGAACTTCAACTGTGTACAAAGCTGTAAACGTTTTTTTCTTTTCTTTATCATAACATATATAGGCTAAATTTAAAGGATTACTCCAACCACCATGACCACTTCTACTTTTTGAAGTGAACAATTTAGATAAAGCTATTTATGCTGAAATGCGTCAAGGGTATTGTACTATTGTTTTATATAGTAATTTTACGCTATTTTTATATTCTATCTTTTTATCAATAAAAGTACTTTTTCTATTTGACCCATTTTTTAGCTGGACTTCCTGACCATCAATATCTTTGGTGGGGATGGTACAACCTATGCCAGTTGGATAGAGCGATCCTTGTCTGCTCTATTAAACGTGAGTAGTTTTTATAAGTTTCATTTTATCTTGCACTCCATACGGTGTACACTATTTTGGCTTGTTTTTCCCTTTTTATTTATATCACCCGAGAGAGACCACCATTACCAAGAGCCACGAGCTGGGATTATACCACTTTAAGCTGAATCTGCAGAGCCACTTTCCTAGGCTCCTAACCACGTGAGTGCATATTGGTTTAATACTTATTTTATATATTTGGATTTAATATACTGCACCATATATCTAATTTTTTTCCAAATACCCATATTAGTCACTACCACTGCAAGAATCCACTAAGAGAACGATTACTCCACCATATCCATAGGCAGGGGTTGTTCTGCCCAGCCACCTAAGTTGGAGCTACATTTTAGCCCTGAAAAGGTGTGTGAGTGTGCTTATTTTTATTCCACTATTTATTGGAACTGTGTCAGAGATATGGTGTAGGAAAGAAAATACATATATATATTGTGTGATAAAAATAATACATGAATAATGGCAAAAATGCAACAACGTACTCCAGGTCTAAGAGTTAAAATAGTGAGTAACTCTTTGCTTTTAAATAATAAATGGGAATAGCACCAATAAAATATTAACCCCTGATATTTTAATAAAGATTATTAATTTTAATATTTATGAAAATTTTGTTTTTAATAAAAATTAATTAATAATTAATCCCCATAAATATTCTCACAACTGTGACATACTTTACTACTAGCTTTCCCTTTTTTTTTCCTTCTATACTCTAAGGACATCCTGAGCGTTGCACCGCCCATTCTGTTTTAATCTACTTTTTGAAGTGGCCTTGGTGATGGGAGTCTGGATGTGCTATGTTTGCACACATGACTTATTTAGGGTGCATTTTCTCCTTTTTTTGCATTTATCGTCTCTAGTGTCCAGGGCCAATGGTGGAACTGGTACCACCATACTGACCACTATGTCCCTAACGCAATATTTTGGATTAGGTGACATAGCTCTTTTTCAACTTTTATTTAGGCAGCCCAAAACTCTGTCCCGGGCTGCCCAATGTCATTTCTGAGAATATTTTTTGTGTGTCGTCCAGGCCCGGACAGGCCATGGGGCAAATGCCCGGTGGGCCGCGACTGCCAAGGTCGACCAGGGAGATCAAAGAATCTCCTTGGTCGGCCCATGCAGGGCAGACGCTCAGTGAGCGAGCCCTATATAATTAAGATAGTCCCTTCAGGGGCCGGTGGGGAGATCCGAGATCTCCCTCACCGGCCCCTAACTGAGACATGCAGAGCAGCGCAGGGAGTGGAGAGTCTCACCTCCAGTACCGGCAGGCATCCCAGCGCTATAATCTCGCAAGCTCCAGTTACTAAAACCGTTGCTGCAGGTTACCATGGCAATGCTCTCCGTACTACTGGAGCTCGTGTGAAGCAATGTGCTAGCAGCCAGAAAGTGCCCACTGAACCACCAGGATGTTAGAACCCCTTCAGTGACTTCCCTCTATCCAGCGCCGATGTCCCTCGGCCTGGTTCAGGGTTCGCCCACGCTCCTCCCCCACCGACGTCATCTGGCGGAGACCCATTGTGCATGCGCGGCCGCGCACAAGCATTAGACTTCCCCACAGGAAAGCATTGAAAAATGCTTTCAAATGGGGATTTCAGCGACACTGGAGGTCCTCACACAGTGTGAGGAAGTCCAGCGACGCTATAGCACACTTTTCGGGTGCTATAAACAAGGAAGTGCCCTCTAGTGGCTGTCTAGTAGACAGCCACTAGAGGAGGAGTAAACCCTGCAAGGTAAATATTGCAGTTTATGAAAACTGCAATAATTACACTTGCAGGGTTAAGGGTAGTGGGAGTTGGCACCAAGACCACTCCAATGGGCAGAAGTGGTCTGGGTGCCTGGAGTGTCCCTTTAATTCATATTTTTTCCCCTCTGCAGTCTGAGCACCTATGCCCCCTCACACAACAGCTCCATAAATATAAACTAAAGCCCCCTATATACACAGTCACACACTTACAAAGCACTCCCAATCTTAGCACACTGTCGCCCCATACTCACACTACAGCCTATATTAATATATACACACACACACACATTACATATACATACACATTATAGATCTCTAAATCACACTACAGCCCCTAGATGCACACACACCCTCCAGACACACATTATACCCCATATACAAACACAACACCTTCTAGACACACAAACACTCACTATAGTCCCTAAATACAAACTACCCTGTACACAAACTACAGCCCCTTGTACATAAACAAGAACATTACAGCCCCTGTACACACACTACAGCTCCTGCATACACCCACACAACAGACCCTATAGACAAGCATGCACACTACACCCTCTAGACAAAATATACACACATGCTTTTTCTCTCTCTACAAACGCTATCCAGACAGACGCGCGCACACACACACACACACTTTACACCCAGTGGAAATACATACACACTACAGTCCCTAACCACAAATACTACACCACAGTTGCCTCTACGCACACGCAATCCTACAATTAGCCTCCAACTACATTCAGCACCACAGAGAGCTTCCCTACACATACACAAAACGCTTTACTGGCCATGCCCCACTTTCGTCCTCTGGTATCCCTCTTTTAGGGACACCAGAGACAAGTCACCAGCAAACACAGAGCTGTGCTGTGTAAAATAAACACAGAACACTGCTCCCATACGTGAGCTTTTCAGCAAACTACCATACTCACTTTGAGGTGGTGTGCGCCATTGTTGATGACATGACATGACCCCTCTGTCCCTGCCCCTCCTACTATGCTGCTCTGCCTTTAAATGCCGGGGCTGAATTTTTTCCCCCCATTCCGGTCCTGATGTCAGTGTGCACTGCACAAATGTAAAAGATGTTCTCTATGAGAAGCCTTTGATTGGACCTCTGCGTGACATCACAAGGTAGTGTCCAGAACAGTACCTGGATTAAGGTAAATAAAACCTAATTTATAAAGATTTTCAGTGCTTTTTAAGGAAAGGGGCAGTGGCCTAAAGATTAATGCATAACAGGGAATTCTTCAAACAAACAAAAAAATAAATAAATAAAAAAGGTAAGCGTAACAAAGTCAAAATAACATTACATTTGAGTAATACTCTTGTTGAGCCAGATCATCACTTTAGAAGGGTGTAATAAATTCTTTCACAGGAAGCTTTTTGTGGTGTCTCATTTTTTTTAAATAAAAGGACCTCTACCTGACAGGACTTCTTGGGTGGTAGTGCTGGCTGTTGAAAATAAGTGCAGAAATGGCTCGTGTCACTATTTTCTTAGTGATCCATCAACTTTGTAGCATTGTACACGCATGAGTGTTAGAAACAAGCTGGATGTACATTTGAAATGAGATGAGCCATTACGCAAAGAAGCTGCCCATTTGCATCAATTGTTGTGACAATTGATGGGAAATGGTATGTAAAAGAGGATTTGCAAAATATTGTTGCATGTATAGGACAAAGTAGCCCTTGGTCTATCTTACATATATCATTTGCTTATTTTGGAATGAACAAAACTATATATACACTCTTTACATATGGCAGCACTCTAGAAAAACTAGCAACCCTCGCCGTCACACATGCCTCATCGCTGGCCCGATTTAAAATTGAAATCTTCAGAGAACTCTAGGCATTGGTCCAATGCAAGTGGGTTAATCTCATAGGAGCAGTCAGTCAGTGTGGGGGTACTCCATAAAAAGGTGCCGACTTGCCATGTATGATCATATACTGTGAACCAAAAAGAATCTAGTATGAACTGGATAAAAATCCAGACCTTACTAGTCAAGTGAGTGGAGCGCTATATTGATGATCATATACTGTAACTAAATTCACATTTTTTATAAGTTAGGCTTTAAAACCATTGTACCTTTTAAAGTCGGTCTGACTTTTGTATGTCATGGCAGCACTCCTGTATACGATTTGTGCATTTCCTAAAGATTTTATGGTTATGAAATATTTAGAAGCAACAGTGCCACTTTAAATTTTACAAGACGAGTTGGCAAAAAAAGGAACCAGGTGAAGTCATAACATCTGAGGGATTGTTGAGGCATATTGGGATGTATTGCTAAACACTGAATTATGTAGAATTGGGAAAGGAATTGCACATTTCAACAAATATACCAAAATCATAACAATTCTTCCATTCAGCCATTTTTCAAGCTAGGCTAATTTAGCCTACAATTTGCAGTTTCCTTTTGCAATTTTGCAGTTATTCACTAAACTGAATTATGGTAAATAAAATTTGAATTTTAAAATTGAGGCTTGGAAAAATCTTGACTATACTAAAAACCAAAATTGAACAAGAAAATAAAATGATTGAGAAGGTGCCGTAAGGAATACTTTAGCAAAATTAAGGCAATTAATAGGCGCAAAGAGGAAAAGACCAACAAACCCAGTCCATGCAACCCCCAATGTGTGGAGGGAAACTGATTAACATGCTAGTTAGTTTGTAGTATCCTTACAACTGCGAGGGCCCATATCTTCATATAGATTTTCCCATTCACATCAATTTTTTATCTTTTTCTTGACACAGCGAAACTTATTAGGCCTCAAATAACTATTCAATGCAGGCACAACGTTAGATTTGTTGGCAAGGGGTTTCTCTTTCATTTAGTCCAAGGAATCATCTTTTTTGCACATGTAATCAGAGACCAGGAGGAGACCGCAAACAAAATTATAAAATCGATTGTTTCAAGTATTATTACAGAGAACAATTCAGAGACAAAATGAAAAACCTCTTACGGGAACAGCCTAACAAACAATACTTAGTGGGGTTTATTTACTACACAGTGAATTATTGCAAACTGAAAAGAGTAGGAACAAAAATGTCTCTAGTTTGCCCTATAAATTTGCACTTAATTTTCAATTCACCACAACTACAGTTTGCCAAATAATAAATGTATGTTTGCACTCAGTAGGCCCTGATGGCTTTTTAGAGAACACAGGGGCTAGAAATCCTCAACCAGCTACAGGCGTAGCCCACACCCAAATGCGTTTGAGTATTAACCTCTGGCCTGCCCACACACTGTAATACTGAACTTCCTAAGCACTCCTATTATTAATGTCATTGAATAGATCAGCATTTCATTGCACAATAAATATACTAAGCCATTTAGAAGCATTGATTCGAAACAATATAGATTCAAACTGGCCTTTCTCAGCTCCTAGATAGGAGTGTCACCTACCTAAAGAACTTCAGAATCAGCAGCAGAGATCTTTTATAAAGCCGAGGTTCAATGTATCTTGGGGTTTGTTAAACCCTGTGTATAATGCATAAGCTATAGAACTATAAATACATTAACACGTTTACACTGTCCAGAATTATAATGAACAGGTGTTAAACCTGTATTAACATAACTATATCGTATATTTATATAGACATACACACAATAAAGAACTACAAGAGATAAATTCAGCTTAGCTGTAAGGGTGGAGTGAAAAACCTAGAATTGAATACTATAATTTCCTTGTGCCAAACCTAATGATTTGGTTCAGCAGAAAAAGCACATACATGACTCCAGAATGTGTGTTCACATCTGCTATTAACCCTTTTTCTGACTTCCAATTCTCTTTTTAAAAGGCTATAATCTGTGGCTCTTTTTGCTGTTAGGGATTCGTGATGTACATTGGGCAGCTGATGCTGTAAGCCTATTGTTAAAGTAAACAGGTCACTCCCTTAAATATGAGATGTGATTATGCCATCCCTGAAGAATACACAGATTTAAAAGTACAGATGGTGGATTCGGAGATGTATAGATGTATACATTTAATCCCTAAAGGGCTGGAAATGGATGCAAGCACATATTAAGTTTTTCCCAGTATTTAATTACACAAAAGGTTCACAAAGGGGCTGCAATAGTATTTAGAAAGTGATGGGACATCAATGCTTGTTGTGCAAGGGTCAAATCAAATTGTCACTTCTGGCAACCTTTGATGATGGATACGGTAGATATCCACTTACCTCTTATGGAAATGGAACAAGTGGTTCTGCTACGTTTGTTTGAAGGAGAGGGGCAGAACCTCCTATTAAAGACTCTACATTAATTAAGGTTTCTGCAATGCAACACTCCCAGCACCAACATAAAAAGCAGAGAATATTTTGGCACATATTTTAGCAGCAGCCCATGTTCTTTCTATATACTGGTACAACATTTTGTTTCCTGAATACGGTTATTGTAATAAAAGGATATGTTGCATTACAGGCAAATATTCTTGCAGCACAAATGCTCTCCAGTGGCCAAAGGCAGTACTACAACTGTGAGCCAATCTCAGCAAGATGCTGTATCTCTCCCCGTCTTACATCCATTATGTTGGCATTTCCATTTGTACCATTCCCATCAGAAAATATACACACCAAACATATAAACATGGGCTGCAAAATTCTTTGTTACAGTTTCCGTTGAGCAATGCAATGGCACATATATTCATTTAAATGATTTTACATAAATCATACAGCGTTGAACCAATTCGTGATCTTGCACAATCCATTGCAAATTAATGTGTGCATCATAATGCATGATTTTGCAATTTGTAACAAAGTGCTGGCATGGGTGTACATACCTTAAATGTGATGAGGTGGAAATGTTATCTGCAGCAGGTCAGGGAGCCCATGCTATCTCCTGCTCCTTGGTGATAGAACAGAAGCTCAGCCCCTCTCTCTATCCAGCTGGCAAACAAAAGGCTGTGGCAGTCATCAGCCTGGTCCGCCCACTGCTACACCCACCCACATAGCAGCATCTCTGGGATGCTCTGTGCAATCTGCTCACAAATAAGGACCCAAGTCAGATGGGAATTACAGAGCATCCTTGAGATACAGTGAGGAAGCTGCAGTATTTAAAAAATAAATAAATGACTGCCTATAAAGAGGCTAGCCTTGAAAGGGCAAAGTGGGCAACCCTACCACCAAAACATTAAACACAATACGCTACAAAAATTTATAAATAACATGAAGCCTATAAAAAAAATAGCTTTTATCTGTCCACTTGAAGTCTGTGCTGGTACCTAAATAACCTCATGCCACACATAATTCTCTTTTCTAAATTCATGCAAGCACTATGTTCCATCAAATATTTAATTGCATACAGAATGCAACATTGTTCCCTCTGGAACTTATCCTTAAACACAAAAATAAAATAAAATAGGGTCAGAATATCTAATGAATGAAAAGGTATTTTCTTAAGCAGTTATGTGCCTAAACAACACAAATACCTACACAGTTCAACTATAGGTATGCAGTGGCATATTGCTGTACTGTGCACCTGGGGTCTTTTTAAATTAATTTTATTGAATATTGCTTGAAAGCAAACAGTTATACTTGTCCTTTATACTAAACCCTAATTGTGAAGAATTGAAGAAAGTTCACATTTGTGGACAGAAAAGCTGATCAAACTATTTGTTCAGTCCAGTTATAATTTAAACTTTGAAAAAAAAAAAAATCAATATCAGGGAGCGCAAAATAAAAACTATACAGATTCCTCCATATACTTACTTTTTTTTAAAAAAATTTGGGGGGGGGGAGGGACTGTATATTGTTTTTTTCCCATTTATTAGCTATTGGACATGTTTCTGGTTCTGTTTATTTGCAACATTTTCTTTGAGCAGGGGATAGTCTACTAACGCTGCTTTTACGGTGTCCTTTTATCAAATGTGTACAGCATTATTTTATAAACAATATTACCTAATAGGGCTGATTTATCTGTATTTTGCACTCCCTGATAGATTTTGGTTTTCTGGAGTTTGTTATATTTTAGTTGTCCCAACACACTACGCTAGAGTTAGGTATATAACAATATAGTCGGTGCATAGTCCAGTTATAGTTGCATAAAATCTATGATTTCATTGTTAATTGTATTGCTTTGTATAAAAGAGCGAATACTCGAGAATGCATGCAGAGACCTAAATAGAGGTGACAGAGAGAGGGGCATTTTGTTCTATGTTATAGTGTACCCAGGTAAACTTGGCACACACATTGTGCCCTCCTTTAAATCCAGCTATTAGAATTTCTAGTATCGGGATAAGGTCGCTCTTACACTGATTATTTAGAGTTTAGTTGGAGAGGAAAGCCTTTACACCACAACATATTTTTGGTTCCTAGTTATTCTGTTAAATTACTGTGAAGCAGAATGAAAAAGAAATTACACACCATTCCTGCACAGAACATATTCCCAGTGCCACTGGAGCACACACACTAATACACTGTCTATTATGTTGTAGTGGATGATCGATGCTGTGCCCAGCCACAAACTCCAGAACGCTTGTCCTCTTTGCCATGCTTGTAGTTTATCCACAACATTCTATAGAGGAACAATGTTATTCAGATACTAGTTATCTATTTTAGGAAGTAGTCCTAAAGATGATCCAGGTTGCTGCACCCACACAGTTTTCCTCCCTCAGTAGCAAAGCCACAAATCTCACAACAACGAGAATCTCAGTGCCACTATTCATGGAGGTTATTGTGTGCCAATGGTGCTAGTGTAAATCTAATATTACTGATCAGTAGGATCAGCCAATCGCAAATTGGTTTAACACAACACTGCTATCTTTCTACATTTTATACTGAAGAACTAGAGATTCCAGATATCCCAGGTTTTCCTTGACATATATCACATACATAAAATGGCAGCATTGCTGTCCTAAGCCCTATAGTACGTGAAGTCACATAGCCAGGTAGTAATATATACATTGTACTATACAGGCACATGAAGAAATGGCATGTTTGGGAAAACATGGTGACTATATGCAACATCTGGGTTGCCATATAAACCACTGGTTGTAAACTTGACCTTTGCTATTCCATTCTTTATAATAACTATAAACACTAAATATTTTAGTTAAATTTATGTCAATTTCCTAATATTTCCTTTACCTTAATTCCCGGGCATCAAAAGCAGAAAAAATGTTTATTTGTGATTCCATATACCACACAAAGAGTAAACTGCTTGCCAAAACTGTTTAATTTTACATTAAACATTCTAAAAAACAAACATAAGCACCTAGCCAAGTTCATGTAATTAATACATCGTATTCAATAAATAAATAATAAATCTTCGTTTTCACACATCCTTTCAACGCACCTAAGAAACAAACAGCAGAAAATTGATTAGTAGAGGATTGTGGAGGAGGAAGTGGGGTTAGTATTCCCCCCTGACATGATCTAGAGCAGTGGTTCCCAAATCCGTCCTCATGGCCCACCAACAATTCAGGATTTATGTATTTCCCTGTTTTATTCCAATGGAGATACTTACAAAACCTGGACTGTTTATTGTTCTTGAGGACTGGTTTGGAAAAACGCTGATCTAGAGCATTAAATTGATATATTTGTTATAAGTAAAATAATCGGCTTCATAATGCATACCCGTATGCTAAAGCCCCTTATTCCTTCCACAACCATTCCTATTCACTCTCCACTTCCCTTATTCAATTCTTACATTTTACACTTTAAAGGACCACTATAGTGCCAGGAAAACAAACTTGTTTTCCTGCCACTATAGGGTCTTTAGGTCCCCCCCACCATCAGGGTCCCACTCTCGCTGGGCAGAAGGGGTTAAACACTTACCTTTCTCCAGTGCCAGGGAATTCTCCTCCCTCTGCCGACGTCAGCACCGCATGAGCGGCAAGAGCCGTGCGCGCATTCAAACATTCCACAGGAAAGAATTTCTCAGTGCTTTCCTATGGACGTCCAGTGTCTTCTTACTGTGATTTTCACAGTGAGAATCGCAGAAGCGCCTCTAGCGGCTGTCAGTGAGACAGCTACTAGAGGCTTAATTAACCCTAGTGTAAACATAGCAGTTTCTCTGAAACTGCTATGTTTTCAGCTGCAGCATTAACACTAGATGGACCAGGCACCCAGACCACTTCATTGAGCTGAAGTGGTCTGGTTGCCTATAGTGGTCCTTTAATATACACAAACTCGTTAACATCCCAAAAAAAACAGCAAATGCATTTTCATTTATTGTACTTATTGCCCTGACTTTAATAATATACGATTATTGATTGTGTCTGTGTGCAATAAAAAGAATTTAAAAAATATAATGCTAACTATGCACTAGCTAGTTTAAGTTGTAGATGAAACTGTAAATCACACAAAGTGTTATCATGTGTGGCATCAGTGTGTTCACATAAATGGCTTTTGTGAGAAGCCGCAGAATTCAAGAAGTGCAAATATTTAACAACAAACATTTTAAAGAAAGCAGTCATGAGAAATATATGCTGAGAGACTGCAGAAGAAAATGAATACATTAAACCAATGGTAAAATTAAAGGGAAGGTCATGGATCACTTTATTCCATCCCCATGTACAAATGCTATTTATAATCCCAATACCAGGCTCGTGAGGGATGCAGTTCTTGGAGGAGCATGTTTAGGGACTAGTACAGATGAGCATTTACATAACTCTAAGAGAATGAAGACCATGAATATGAGGTTACAGCATGGAAGAAGACTCCATCAAACCACATCACCAGGGAATGGAAAAGCAGACGGTGCAAAGTCTTCATGCACCTAGGGAATATGCCCCTGCTGCTCCCCTATGACCTTTATTGTTCTTATACTGCATTTGATTTCACACTTTAATGCAGAGGATGTTGGTTTGATACCAAAATATAGCTAGAATTAATGGGCAATCTCGAAATGTAAGAAGGGGAAACCGTTCTGTGAATTTACCTACATATTCGAGCAACTAAAATTATTAACTCAAAAGGAGTGGTTTGCAAAAATAAAATTGACACCCCCTATCAAAAAAACAAACTGTTCAGGAGAGGTTTCCAATTTGACTATTTTGTCTTAAAGGATACTCTAGGTATCAAAGCAACGTTAGCTGAATGAAGTAGCTTGGGTATATAATGTCCTTGCAGTCTAACCACTCTATTCTTTGCCATTTAGTAGTTACACCACTTTTGCTTCTGCTTATACAGTCGTAGCCATGCCTTCCCTGGATGTGGCTGACACAGACTGCATTAAAATTAAAAAAATATATATTTTCATATCAGATGTTGCATCTCCTGCCCTGTAAATTAAACTTTAAATCACATGCAGAAGGCTCCTCTAGGGTTTAAAAACTATTAACAGAGCAGGCGATAATAAAACTGAATCAAACAGAATGTGCAATAAAGGAAGTTTAAACATTAGAAATCTCTTTACAGGAAGTGTTTAGGAAAGTTTTTTTCACTTCTAAATGTGAGAACTGAAAAGTGAGACTGCAGTTGCATGATATATACACTAAAACAGCTTCATTAAAGGACCACTATAGTGCCAGGAAAACATACTCTTTTTCCTGGCACTGTAGTGCCCTGAGGGTGCCCCCACCCTCAGGGACCCCCCTCCCGCCCGGCTCTGGAAGGGGGAAAAGAGTAAAAACTTACCTTTTTCCAGCGCTGGGCGGCGAGCTCTCCTCCTCCGATCCTCCCCGTCGGCTGAATGCGCACGCGCGGCAAGAGCTGCGCGCGCATTCAGCCGTCGCATAGGAAAGCATTTACAATGCTTTCCTATGGACGCTGGCGTGCTCTCACTGTGAAAATCACAGTGAGAAGCACGCAAGCGCCTCTAGTGGCTGTCAATGAGACAGCCACTAGAGGGAATTGGGGAAGGCTTAACCCATTCATAAACATAGCAGTTTCTCTGAAACTGCTATGTTTATAAAAGAATGGGTTAACCCTAGAAGGACCTGGCACCCAGACCACTTCATTAAGCTGAAGTGGTCTGGGTGCCTAGAGTGGTCCTTTAAGCTCAAGTTGTTTTGGTGCCCAGTGTCCCTTTAATTGCAAACCAAGGGGGGCGGGACCTGACAGCAGAGCCGAGCAGACATGTTTGTCTGAGGCTCCAGCACTAATAAGCCCAATCTGTTGCAATCCACACTGACAGAGGCCAGAACCGGACTTAATCTGTAACCCAAATGACAGAGAACCCGGGGGAGCTATAAGGAGATACCAAATATGTGGTGCAACTCACCGGACCCACAAACTCAGAAGCCGCAGCCTACCAGAATGGAAGGTGCAAGGGAGACGGCCGCTCCCAGACCAACATACCCAGCTGGACAAAACCTTGTGGAACCCCCCCGCATCTTGGCGGCCGCATCTTGGTCAACTGGGCCAGCGCCTCCTCATCAAGGATGCAACTATGTGGAAGAAGCGCACAAACGCCTGGACATGATATTTGCCAACTTCAGGGCCAAACTGTACCAGCATCTGGCACAACCATCATCCCCTGCAACGCGGGAGGTAAAGGAGCGGGGAACAGGACAGCGACAAATCAAGAGCACACCTCACCCACGGGCCCCTGCTACTCGGGCAGATGGCCAGTCCGGACTCACAAGAGACAGAGGACTCACCCTGAAGCACCACACAAGTCGCAAACGAACACTTCGCCATCAGCGCCCTGGTTCACTGCAAGAACCCCCCACAAAGGGTGTCACCGGGAAGGAACAACAGGGGGGAACCCCAAGCGGCAAAGCAAAGATCATCAATGCGGCCGAAGCGCCGACCCCCTGCAGCTACTCCGAGGGCACACCCAAGTCTACCACTAAGAGAATCTGGAAATCAGCAGAGACCTCTGCGACCGCATGGCACAAGAAACGGGCAGCACAACAAGGGGCGAAATGCCTTCACTACCCACTGTTCAAGCAGACTTGATCCTGCGGACCCGAGGGAGCGAGGTATGCAATCACTAGACTCACTCCCCCTATGCCCCGGCGGGGTACATTGGCCCAAACAAGGGCCACAACACTTCAACCTGCAGCACATAATCTCGCTACAGGACTTTGTGAACCCTCGGGCAGGTGTCGGCTAAAATGTCCCAACATCAAGAACTCAAGGGCCACCCACCCCACCCACGGTCAACCACGGGATATGGCGTGCAACCTCCACAAAACGAACGCTATCCTGCTTCTTACCATCTGATGTCTCTCTTTATAAAATTACTAAAGTTCAGTTTACTTAGTTGACGCCAGTGTGTTTTTATCACAACACGTAATGTACCCCCAGTCGCATGTTCTTTATCCCCCAACACTAAACTATAGGACACTGCACCCGTGGCATTGTTTAACATAGATATAAGGTACAATACTACCACCATATCTATAACACATGTGCATGTTAAGCGCTCTCTAACGCAAGCTACACTCATATAGTCAGCCGGAATAGCCTGATATGTTTATTACTTGATATGTTGTCGCACCACTGACTATCATCTTCTTTTCTCTTGATAACCCTTATACAAAAATGTGCACCGATTTACTATGCCACAACTGTTATACTGTTATGTCTATTTCAATACATGTTACTGCTGTTGTGGCACGACATGAATGCTTGTTACATTAACCCATGCACGAAAAATAAACAATTTATAAAAAATAAAAAAATGCAAACCATCACTTACTTTATAGTACATTTGTGTATTTTTTAGCTGGCTTCATTAAACTATTAAAATTTATTAAATTATTTAACTCCATTTAAATAAATTGAGATTTATCAAAGTGGTGTGATCTAAAAAATGTTGCAACTTTGTTAACATGGTGCGATGTCCCTACTAGTTTCCTTGGTGATTGCCTAACTTTAACATATTCCCCATTGATAAGATTTTCTGGCAGCTAGAGATAAAAAAAAATATATATATTTTCATGCAATATCTATTTCCTAAATTTAACCTTTGTCTCTTTTTTACCAGATTGGATGGCACTAATAAGTACTCTCCCCACGAAGGCTGATTTACAGTAGGCCAACTCAGCCCTGCAAACCTCCCGTTTGCCTAGTCTGCTGTTACTGACAACCTCATTTGTCAAAGTGACAAGCTTCATGCTATGGCCCAGCACCTACCAGGCCTAGATAATCATGGACGATTAAGCAATCTGAGGTTACGTGGCTTGACTAAACAGGAGGACTGTCCAAGCTAGCTGGGTGTAATGCTCACAGAGATCTTCAATGGCCTTCTGTACAGGGACCTAGACACTGCTATTGGATTTGTGAGAGAAACCCAGACAGTCCACAATGTCATGTTAAAACAATATAAAAATCAGGTACAGCTAACAAAAACTCACAGGTCGCATGGTCTTCACTCCTGACGACCAATTCACCTTGCACACTGAAGGATTTTCAGTCTCTGGGTGACATCCTGCAACTGCCTCCCATCAGCTTATGGTGCCTGGACCCGCTTGAATTTCACCTTTTATAACTACCTTAATCTTTTATGGACATACTACTTCAACAACAGCAGAGGGTGATGGAGAGTGATGGAATCTGATTCACTTGCTCTTGATGGCTAACTTATTTTTGGACAAGATTTGTTACCCCACAACCCAGCTTACTTTTTGCTTGAATGCTGCTCAGTGAAGTGACCCTCCAGACATGCAGACTTTACATTGCTTCACGATCGTAGTCCACCAGGTGTTGCTTCTATACCAATGACTATTCTCTCCCCCTCTACTGGGACTTTCTCCCAAATACATCTCCTGTTTTCACAGAAGGGTCATGTTTATCCAGCTCATTGGAGCAAGGTCAAAAGTCAGGCACTCAGGACAACTACTGGAAGAATGAACTTTTGGCGGACTTGTTTCCCACCATATTGAGTGGACTGAAATGTTGAGCGTCCATCTTTGGCCAAAATCCAGAGCTCAGCTGAAACACCTGCTCACAGCTACCCAGTTCCTCTTCTATTGCATATCCATTACAAAAAGGGAATTACTTATGGTTATAATTAGGGATCGACCGATATTGATTTTTAGAGCAGATACCGATAATCTGTGAACTTTCAGGCCGATAGCTGATAACTTGCCGATATTCTGTACATTTACCATTTTGAAAAAATAAACTAATTCTAAAAGGTAAATGCACAAAATATACATGCCACACGTAGTGGATGAAGTGTGTTTAGACAGGGGAGCTATGTGTTTGTGTAGTGTGTGTGTGTGTATATAATGAATGCAGAGTGTGTGTGTAGTGTGTATTGTGAAGGCAGTGAGTATTTGTGTAGTGTGTATATATAGTGAATGCAGAGTGTGTGTGTTTGTGTAGTGAATGCAGAGTGGGTGTGTGTAGTGTGCATAGTGAATGCAGAGTGTGTGTGTGTAGTGTATATAATGCAGTGTGTGTGTATATATATAATGCAGTGTGTGTGTATATATAATGCAGTGTGTGTGTGTATATATAATGCAGTGTGTGTGTGGTGTGTGTGTATATAATGCAGTGTGTGTGGTGTGTGTGTATATAATGCAGTGTGTGTGTGTAGTGTATAGTTTATATAATGCAGTGTGTGTGGTGTGTGTATATAATGCAGTGTGTGTGGTGTGTGTATATAATGCAGTGTGTGTGTGTGTGTGTGTATATAATGCAGTGTGTGTGGTGTGTGTGTATATAATGCAGTGTGTGTATATGTAGAGATGTAATTTGTGTAAAAGGGACGGGAGGGGGTGGCATTTTATTTTAAATATTTAAAACAAAAATTATTTTTTTATTCCCCCCTCCCTGCTCCTTACCAGAGAGGGAGGATATAGTATTCCCTGGTGGTCAGGTGGCTTGTTAAGTACTGTGGACCCCGCAGGAAGCTGCTACTTACCTTCCCAGCAGCTCCCTTCAGCTCCCTGTGTAAATCTCGCGGTCCTTAGTGTCACGCGGAGCGCTGGCATGGTAACCAGTGGCAACGTTCTGTGGCCGCGGTACTCGCAAGATTTACACAGGGAGCTGAAGGGAGCTACTGGGAAGGTAATGGGCCCGGCGGTCCTATGAGGTATTATCGGCAATATTGGTATCTATTTTGGCCGATACCGATATTGCCGAAAATACTGTATATCGGTTGATAATATCGGTAAAACCGATAATCGGTTGATCCATAGTTATAATACACAATTATTTATGTGTAATTAGGGGTGGTGCTTAGTATCGTTTAACCTACAGTTTATTACTTCTATTTATCGACTTTTTACACCCAGTTAGAAGACTATTCTGCTTAAATTTGATGCTTCCCTGGGCATCCTACAACGTGCCCCCTGAGGTTCTAGTGCATTTGTTGCTGGGGTGGCCTGCCAGGTGACCAGCTGGATGGGTCCTTATTCTTATACTCCCTCCCCCATCTCCTGGTCACTGGACAGGTGAAGTGTATATACCTTATTTAACTGTTTGATTTACGGTCTTGTTTTATTCTTTTTTTTTCTCACCTCTTTTCTTTAACCCCTTAGTGACCAGGTCAATTTTCTTACCGTTAAGGACCAGGGCTGTTTTTACATTTCTGCTGGGTTTGTGTTTAGCTGTAATTGTTCTCTTACTCATTTACTGTATCCACACATATTATATACCGTTTTTCTCGCTATTAAATGGTCTTTCTAAAGACACCATTATTTTCATCATATCATATAATTTACTATAAAAAAAAGTATAAAATATTAAAAAAAATAAAAAAAAACACACCTTTTCTAACTTTGACCCCCAAAAGTTCCTTTTTGTGGTGAGAAAACCATTAGATTCCAGAAAATGTTCCCAAAGCTGAAGGTTCAGACAAGCACTTTGCTGATCTGAATAAGCAAAGATTATCCTTCCCTCTACACAAGTCCATTAAGGACTTAGTAACAGCTGAGTGGAAAAAGCCTGAGAAGAAAGTGCCTTCCAGGGTAATTTGGCCAGATAATACCCTCTGGAAAAGAGCACTTCTAAGCTGTGGACTACATCTCCCAAGTTAGATGTTCCAGTATCCAGGGTAGCTAGAAAAACCCTTGAACCTATGGACCGCAAACTAGATGCGGATCTATGCAGGATATACAAAGCAACAGGATACCATCTTGCTGTGGCTCTCACTGCAGTTTCAAGAACAATGAAAAACTGGATCAGTGAGCTAGATTCAGAAGTGGAAAGAGGAGTGAAAAGAGCCAACCTGCGTGACTCCATCTGGGACCTAAATGGCAACTGAGTTTGTTGAGAATTTTCTCCCGTACTTGCGGCCAGACGGGCACTATAGCTTCGGTATTGGGGAGCAGACATCTCTTCAAAGACCAACCTCTGTAACAACCCCATTGAAGGAGAACTTCTCTTTGGTAAGACCCTGGAAGATTCTTTCAAGAAGGTGGCAGAGGGGCACAAGGTTTTCCTACCTCAGGATAAACAAAATAAGAAACCTAATACCCCTTGGTTGGATAGGAGACCTCCCATGGACCAATACTTCCAGGTGTCCAGAAATTACAGACCTGGGAGAGAATCTACGAGGGGCAGCTCACGGAGGGGCGGACTGTCCTCCTACCCACGTTCACACCGTCCCAGGAAACAGCCCTTTTGGCCTTCAGGTAAAAACTTCTGACTGTCAAAAGGGAAGTAGGAGCCAGACTAAGGTTTTTCAAGAAGGTCTGGGTTTAAAGCATCCAAGATGCCTGGGTTTTAAACATAATTCAAGCAGGCTGCAGTCTAGTGTTTCGACAGAGACCAAAAAGAAGCTTCTTTATTTCCACTTGCATTCCTGCCAAGCCAAAGAAAGAGCTTTAAAAGGAATACATAGAAAGTCTGCTAAAGGGAAAAGGTAATAAGGCCAGTACCCCTCATCAAAAGAGGCAAAGGATGTTATTGTCCTCTCTTCCCGGTCGAGAAAAGCGAGAACAAATGGAGGCCTGTGTTAGATCTAAGACTGATCAACTCACATTTGAACATCAGGAGCTTAAGGATGGTATTTATCAAGACTATTGCTCGAGTGGTCCTGAAGGGAGACTGTGATGGACCCCTCAAAAAAAGTGTGCCAACTGCCGGTTTTAACAAATCAGGACAAAGGGGTATGACCGGGAGCTACCCTCAACTAGTCTGGAACCCCTATTCGGCTAGAACGTACACCGGTGAACTTTAATTAAAGCGCTTTTCGGCCCTGGCCCACGGATCAGGAGGCTATTTGGCTGGCCTATAAGGGAGGTTGAGAGGCATCCAAAGACACTGAGCTCGTGGGGGAGCGGCGCGGTTAACTAATGACCGAGGAGACCCACCCAGGACATTGGAACCCTGTGCCAGATCAGGGAGCTAGCCGCCTACTGCTGAACTTATACCCTCCATGTAATTCGGGCTAGCCAGCTCCGATCCGGGCACTTTTTGGACACAATGGGTGCTACAAAGACATTTTGGGGGACATAAGACCTGGCCTGAATTATGCAGGTTTTATGTTTATTTTTTAGGTTTTCATCTTTTTATGCTGAGTCATGATGTTGTATTTTAAGAGTATATTGTGGGTGTGTTTTGGAGTGTGTCTACTGTACACTAAAATTGTATATAAACGGGCCATTTGGCCAGAATAAAACAGGTCTTCTTCACCTTTCACTAAGTCTCGACTAGTGTTTGGGTGGTATCGCGGTTACCCTTCTGCAAGCGGCTATAATCACTCTGAGCTGATCACAATTGGAAGGGGCGACCTAGGCGGGAGTAACCCATCTTCAGGATGGTATACCACCACAGAGACTTCATAGTCTCAATAGATCTCAGAGACGCATATTTTCATATCCCCATTTCACCAGATCATCAGCAATTTCTGAGGTTCGCATGGAAGGGACAACACTTCCAATTCCAAGCACTTCCATTTGGATTGAGCACGGCTCACAGGACCTTTTCAAAGGTCTTGGTGACTTATTGCAAGGCTAAGAACTCTGGGATTCAACTTATTCCACTACCTGGACGATCTACTCCTAGTAGCCCCAAATCCAATGACGGCAATAACCCATAGAGATGTAGTACTGGGGGAGCTTTAAAGGTTCGGGTGGTTGATAAACCACGAGAAGAGCAACCTTATACCTGCCCAGAAGAGGACATTCTTGGGAGGCAAATTTAATACAATCAACAATTCAGTCTCCCTATCGAAATACAGGATCAAAATAATCTCTCTTCATTCACAGTTTCTCCGCACTGCAAGGAAGTTTATGCAATTTCTAGAAATTCTAGCCTCCACTATTGGCCTGGTAAGATGGGCACAGTGGCATCTGCGGGTACCTCAAAAGGCTTTTCTGTTCCAATTCAACAAAAGGAAGGGAAATTGTTATCAGTTGATAAAGACTTCATTTCACTTGGTGGCTGATGAAGAAGAATGTGACCGGGGTTTTCCCTTAACAGACTTACACTGGATAATCTTAACTACAGATGCAAGTGCACAAGAATGGGGAGCACATTGCCTGAATCAGGTAGCTCAAGGTCAAAGGAGGAATCTGTACTCCCAAGCAACATCCTAGAGCAGTGATGGCGAACCTTTTTGAGCCCGAGTGCCCAAACCGTAATACATGCCAATTTTTTTCCCTCAAAGTGCCAAAACGGCATTTAAACCTGAATACTGAGGTTTAAGTTTAGAAAAAACAACTCATACAGTTGTCCGAACTAATTAACATCTCTGTGTGTGTATTAAGCAGTTTGTGTGTGTGCTCGGCAGTCTGTCTGTCAGTGTGTACTTAGCAGTCTGTCTGTATTTAGCAGACTGCTGAGTACACAGTCTGCTAAATACACACACACACAGACTGCCACACACACACACACACACAGACAGACTGCTAAATACACACACAGACAGACTGCTGAGTGTACACACACAGACAGACTGCTGAGTGTACACACACAGACAGACTGCTGAGTGTACACACACAGACAGACTGCTGAGTGTACACACACAGACAGACTGCTGAGTGTACACACAGACAGACTGCTGAGTGTACACACACAGACAGACTGCTGAGTGTACACACACTGCATTGAGGGGTACAGTGTATGTGTTTGTGTGTGGAGTGATGTGTGTGTGTGTGGAGTGATGTGTGTGTGTGTGGAGTGATGTGTGTGTGTGTGTGGGGTGATGTGTGTGTGTGTGTGGGGTGATGTGTGTGTGTGTGTGGGGTGATGTGTGTGTGTGTGTGTGTGTCTTTTTGTGGGGTGATATGTGTAGGGCAGGGGTGCTGTGTGTATGTCGTCCCCCCTCTACCCCCTCTGTTTTCTTTCCCCCCATCCCTCCCTCATTTTTTTCTCCCATCCCACACTCAGTTTTCTCCCTCCCCTCCCCCATCTCTCCCTCAGTCTCCTTCCCCTCCCCCATCTCTCCCTCAGTCTCCTTCTCCCTCCCCCCATCTCTCCCTCAGTCTCCTTCTCCCTCCCCCCATCTCTCCCTCAGTCTCCTTCTCCCTCCCCCCCATCTCTCCCTCAGTCTCCTTCTCCCTCCCCATCTCTCCCTCAGTCTCCTTCTCCCCCCTCATCCTCCCTCAGTCTCCTTCTCCCCCATCTCTCCTCAGTCTTCTTCTCCCCCTCATCTCTCCCTCTAGTCTCCTTCTCCCTCCCCTCATCTCTCCCTCAGTCTCCTTCTCCCTCCCCCCTCATCTCTCCCTCAGTCTCCTTCTCCCTCCCCTCATCTCTCCCTCAGTCTCTTTCTCTCCCTCAGTCTCCTTCTCCCCCCCTCATCTCTCCTCAGTCTCCTTCTCCCCCCCTCATCTCCCTCAGTCTCCTTCTCCCCCCTCATCTCTCCCTCAGTCTTCTTCTCCCCCCTCATCTCTCCCTCCCCCCATGCTCCCTCAGTCTCCTTCTCCTCCCCTCATCTCTCCCTCAGTCTCCTTCCCCCCCCTCATGTCTCCCTCAGTCTTCTTCCCCCCCATCTCTCCCTCAGTCTCCTCCCCCCATCTCTCCCTCAGTCTCCTTCCCAGCTCCTGCACCGCTTGGCGTGGCGGCCTGGAGCTCAGTCTCCTGTACCCGGCGGAACAGGAAGTGCTCTCTCTGTGAGCACTTCATTTCCGTCCGCCCGGGTACAGGAAACCGGGGCGCGCTCGGCCACGCTACACAGAGCGCCTGGCAGGAGGGAGCGCTCTGCGCTATCCTCCTGCCGGTCACTCCGGCTTTGCGCCCGCCGGGCCTGTGCGCCCTAAGGCGGCCACTTGTGCCGCCTTATGGATGCGCCGGCGGAGCGCACGGCGACCTATGGCCGCGTGCCCACAGAGGGGGCGCGGCGTGCCACCTGTGGCACACGTGCCATAGGTTCGCCACCACTGTCCTAGAGGTTAGAGCTATTTTCAGGAGAAGTTTATATCACAAGTGGATCCGTATTCGATCAGACAAGGCGGCAGTGGCATACATAAACCATCAAGGTGGAACCCACAGTCGCATGTTGATAAAATAAATTTACCCTATCTTGATATGGGCACAGCAACATCTTCAAGGGAGTCAGAATACAGTGGCGGATTTTCTAACCCTGGACAGGTTCGAATGGCATTTATGTCCAGAAGGGGAGTACCTCAGATTGACCGGATGACAACATCCAAGAACAACCAGGCACAGGATTACTTCTCCAGACACTTCGACCCACGAGTGCGGGGTCAGGATGCCTTAACCCAGGAATGGAGGTTCAACCGGACATACATTTTTCCTCCCATATCTCTAATTTATGCAGTCCTGAAGAAGATTCGGGGAGAGAGAGCGAGAGAGTGGAGGCCATAGCAATTCTCCCCTTTTGGCCAAGAAGACCTTGGTTTCCTATGGCGATTCGGATGAGTCTGGAACAGCCAAGGAATCTCCTAGTCCGATCAGGTCTTCTGATTCAAGGTCTTCTGTTTCACATAGACCCTCAGGTTCTGGGTTTGATGGCATGGAGATTGAGTGGGAGTCACTTACAGGTAAGGGCATTACAAGTTCTGCTACCAAAACCTTACTGCAATCTCGAAAAGTTTCCACCTCTTCATCATACTATAAAATAAGGCAGGTGTTTGTTACTTGGTCCTTGGAGCATGAGTTGGATATGTCTCGAACTCCGATAGCTCTGATACTTTGCTTTCTCAAATCAGGACTGGATAAAGGCCTAAGCTAAAATACCCTAAAAGGTTCAAGTTTCTGCTTTGTCTGCATTAACAGGTATTCGTTGGTCTTTAGACCCTTTGGGTATCAGATTTATATGGGCCGTTATTAAAATGCGACCTCCTCTAAAAGCTTGTATGCCAACATGGGATCTCCCACTGGTGTTGCAAGCCTTAACCAAGCCTCTATTTAAGCCTCTGGTTCAAGCTTCTTGACACTGCTTACGCAGAAGGTGCTATTGTTGGTAGCAGTCTTCTCAGCTAGGAGGATGTGTGGGCTCCAAGCATTGTTCTGTGATCCACCTTTTACTAGCTTTAAGCAAGACAAGGTGGCTCTCTGACCAGTACAAGAATTTTTGCCTAAGGTGGTTTCCAAGTTCCACCTCAACCAAGAGATCATTCTGCCTTCATTTTATCCATTTCCTACATCATTGAGGAGGAGCAGTGGCATACGCTCAACGTGGTGAGAGCTCTATTTATATTGAGAGAACAAGTTCCTTCAGAAAATCCCCCATACTCTTCATATTACTAGTTGGTCACAGAAGGTGTGAAGCTGCTTCTACCTCCACATTGAGACAGTGGGTAAAAGCGGTTTCAAAGGCATTATACGAGGAAAACAAAAAGAATTAACCTAGGGCCAAAATTTAGATATCACAAGGTAGAGGGCACTAAAAAAGGGGGGTAACCCCTAAATGGTGAATATCATAGAGAATAAACAAAAAAAAAGAAACAAATGCCATTCTACCTGTGTATGATTTACTGAGAAGATTGTAGATTAAAAAGTAACTTTTAATAAATAAATCTAAAATAAAAATATAAAAAAGAAAAATAATATGAACAGCAGGAGTAAATGGAGACTATACAGCGAGTAAAACTGTGACTACTTATACAAGCTGTAAAAGTGTATATATAATAACACTAATGCTGAAGCAATACTGTTTAGCTACAATATAACAGTGTATTCCCAAGTAATAGAAGTGATACTATATTATATATCACTAATAGCTGTAACAAGAGGGGGGGAGATAAGACCAGTGCTGTCAATAGTTAAAAGATATGGATAAGTAAATCCCTACATGATAGTACAACTAACGCCATGGGTTAACTCCACATACAATAATTGATAAAGTTCTATGGTGCTTAACCTCAGAAAGATCAAAGATAATGGTTCAGCTAAGACAGATTTCTGACAGACGGCGATTAGCCAGTTAAATATCACAAAAGCTCCCTAGATCATAGCAGCATTTTGATAATAAATTAAAGATTGCTGTCAAGCAGTAAAGTATAAAATAAGGGGTTGCTTACCTGGCTCCGTTTTTTCTGCAAGATACCTAGCAGTATATTCTAATGTAACAACAGCTGCCTGCACTGAATGATGTTAACTTATGCTTGACCACAGTGGAGCACAAAGTAGTAGCTCACCTGTGAAGGACTGCTGACAGGCAGCAGTTAACCGGTTAAAAATCACACAAGTTGCCTAAATGCTAGCTGCATCTAAATAATAGGTCAAAGTATAAAGAGAGGGTTTACAAACAGTTTTGAATAGGTTGCCTAGGTAGTAGAAAATATACAGACAGTGACAGAGGAAGGCATATAGAATAAAGATTCCTGAGTCTTGTGCCTTCGAGGGCACCCCTTAATAAAATGCCTGGTCTTATCAATCTCCCCCAATAAACATAATAAAGGAAAAAGAAAGAGAAATAAAGTATGTACAGAGTACACAAAATTAGTGTTAAGAGTCTCCAACATGCACTCCTGAGATGCTGTACATGAATGAACTTGATGTCGGTAATTTAGCAATAGATAAGTAGAGAGTTAGGTGCCAACACCAATAATGTGTCAGTAAGTGTCCAGAGCCCCTGACGTGCACGTTTCGCCAGTGAAGCTCATCAGAGGGGAACCAGATGCTGGCAAACATAGGAGTATTTAAATCATAAGCTCTCAATTGATTGGAGGATTTTCAGGATTCTGACCAATGGTAGCTTGGGGAGGGAATCTCAACCATTAAGAAATAATTGACTAATTAACCCTATGTTGACCAGAATCTTATGGTTTTTTTTTATTTTTTACTGAATGTTAAAAAGATTGATTATAAAAAAAGAAAAGGAAAAAAAAGGTGGAAAAGTGTAAGTAACAGTAATTCTCAAAATGACAATTATGTCATTATTTTAACTTATTTGTTATTAACAATAGTGACATAGTTAGTTGAACGAACATAGCAACGTTTATCTGCTAAACTATTTACTGATTAGTGCAGAATATATTAGTGGATTCCTAAACTTGTTGGCTAAAATGTAACATTAATGAAAGTTTTTAGGATTTTAAGATTTTAGGAAAGAGAATGTTTGTAATAGACCTAAATTAATATTGATAATAAATAATTATGCATTTATTTGTGAATGAAGGGGGTAAAATTAAATTCTTAATTTAGTCCTAAGGGGAATAAGGTCTTACATTCATGTATCCATCTGGATTCTTTCCTTAATAGGGTGAGATTAAAATTACCCTTTCTAGTGTTCAGGTGGATACGTTCTAAAACCTGAAACGTAAGATGAGATGCATCCGAGTTATGGAAGTTCCTTATGTGATTGGAGACAGGAGTGGAAATGTTTAGGTTTGAGACTGAATTCACATGTTGTAGGATTCTCCTTCTCAAATCTTGGAAGGTTTTTCCTATATATTGTAGTTTACAGCTACAAGTAATTATGTAAACTACTTTTGTGGTGCTGCAATTAACAAAATCATTAATCGGATATGTTTTCTGCGTATTGGTGCATAAGACTGATTTTGAAGGTTTAATAAACCTACATGCCTTACATTTCCCACATCTAAAGATTCCCTTTGTTTCTTGTAGCCATGTCTTAGGTGATGGTTTTGGTTCAAGATGACTATGAACTAGCAGGTCACACAGATTATTAGCTCGTCTTGCTGTAATACTTGGGAATATAGAAAGATTACTGGCCACCTCTTTATTGTGGGTGAGTATCGGCCAATTGTCTGCATAGATTTTTCGAATGGGATTCCATAGTTGATCATAAGTGCCTATGCATCTAATTGTAGGTTTAGTATCCTTCACTTTGTAATTTCTGAGACTAGTCGATCTGTCCATACTGGAGACTCATTGGAATGCCTTTTTAAGGATTTTATTTGGATAGCCTTGCTGTTTGAAGCGAAGCCTTAGGTTCTTAGCTTCTTTTATAAAGGTTTCTTCTTTTGAGCAGTTTCTTTTTGCCCTCAGGTATTGCCCGTAGGGAATACCTGCCTTGAGTTTGTAAGGGTGATGGCTGTTCCAATGTAAGAAATTGTTACACGAAGTAGGTTTTCTGTAAAGTTCGGTATCTACTTCACCCCCTTGAGATAGATTAATAACCAAATCCAGAAATTCTAGTCTGTCCTCACTGATGACATGAGTTAATTGTAGGCCAATAGTGTTGATGTTCAGTATCGAGACAAGTTCCTCGAACTGTATTACTGAGCCAGTCCAAAATACCAGGACATCATCAATGTAACGATGCCAACTAATGATGAATTTATCAAATCCTGTCTGTAACGTATTTTTCAAAATTGTGGCTTCCCACCACCCTAAATACAGATTAGCGTAACTAGGGGCACAAGCACTTCCCATGGCCGTGCCCCTAGTTTGCAGGTAGTAGGTGCCGTTGAACACAAAATAATTGTGAGTTAGTATAAAGTTCAATAGTTCCATAAGGAAATCCTTTTGGGACGCTGTAATTTTGGATGATTTTTCTAAAAAATATTGGGTGGCTTCAAGGCCTACTTTGTGAGGGATGTTATTGTATAAAGAGACTACATCCATGCTTGCTAGAAGAGTGTATGGGGGGACAGTGAGATTCTCAAGAGTGAGTAATGTCTGTTTGGTGTCCTGAATATAAGATGGAAGATCACTTACAAATGGGTGGAGTATTTTCTCCATGAATTTGCTCGCTTGTTCTGAGAGTGAGTTATTACCCGAAATTATTGGTCTTCCTGGTGGTTTATTTTTGTTTTTGTGAATTTTGGGTAAGCAATAAAAAGTCGCTACCATAGGTGTGTTATTTGGACAAATAAATTTGAACTCATCTTGAGAGATTATCTCACTATCTCTTGCTTCAGTAAATATTAACTTGAGAGTTTTCAAGTATGAAGCAGTAGGATCATTTGGAAGCTTCTCATAGCATGAGATGTCAAAAAGGTGGACCATACACATTTCAATGTATTTTTCTTTTTCCATTAGTACAATATTACCTCCTTTGTCAGATTGTTTAATTACGAGGTTGGAGTTTGATCTCAGTTCTTTTAAAGCACGTGTCTCTTCATGTGATAGATTATTAATTTGTATAGGTTTGTCAAGAGGGAGTTGTTCAATTTCATTACATGTCATTTGAATAAAAAGGTCAATGTTTGTCACCTCTTTGAAGTTTGGAGTGTACCAACTTTGTGGTTTTAAATTTGTGAGAGGTAGGTCTTTGTCTTGATCATCCAGTAACGTGACTAGTGTTCTCAAATGTGGGTAGTCTTCTGGTGCTACACCCATGTCCCTGGCGAGTAGAGTTTCTTTTCTCTTATGTAGAGCACTCAATGTCAACTTTCTACCAAATAGGTTAGTATCTTTTAACCAGTTAAATTTATCAGTATTAGGTGTGGGTACAAAGGAGAGCCCTTTGTTTAGAAGGGACAGATGTGTAGTATTTAGTTGAAATTTGGATAGATTTATGACTTTGTTTTCTGTGGGAACCATTAAAGCTGCTGCTTTTAACGATTCCGGTTTCCTCTGTAACACCATTTTTTCCTGTCTCTTAATTTTGGCTTTTGAGAGTTTTGCCAAGTTTGGACCAAAAAAGGAGAGGGAGAGGAGGAAGAGGAGCCTGGTCTAGATTCCAATTCTGTATCAGTCAAGGGGGATTTATTCAGAAATGATACTGATTTATCCTGATTTCGTAAAATACCTTTAGGTATTTGATTATAATTCCTTGATCTGTAGGAGTTGGAGCTGTTACTATTACTGTTTGCAGACTCTGAGTCTGACCAATCAGTGTAATCAGAAGTAGAAGAGTTTCTACTGTTAGTTCTTTTTCTTGATTTGGGTATAACTTTAAAAATTTTACCCTCACTGAAGTCTTTGTGGTCCCTCTGGAATTTTAAAAAATTTTTCTCCCTAATAAGTTTAGTGAAGCTTTCCAGATTTTTTTGGAGTTGTGCCTCCATGGGTTTGTAGTCAGGTTTAGATTGAAATTCTTTAGTTAACGTGATTTGATCATTAAGGTTTTTGTTAATAGTCTCAAAATGATTTTGTTCTAGCTTGATTAAGTATTGCATTAATTTAAAGGAACAGTCAAGAAGAATGTTGTTCCAACCTGTCAGTTTCTCTTCTGTGTTTACTTTGTCTGGTGTGGAGATATTTAGTCTTAACCCACGGGGTACCAGCTTTTTTTCAACATACTGCTTCAGACTTGCCAACTCCCAAAAGCCTTTAATTTGATCTTTATATATCTCATTTATATCGGTTGGATTAGGGTTAGGGAGTGGGTTCAATGAGAAAACATCTATTATCTCATTTGAACCAAAATCTAAGTTTGGAATCTGTGTTAAATAGGATGCCATCCCATAGGATGTTCGTTCTAATTTACTTGTAAGGTGGCTCTTTGGTTATGGTATTGAAACCTGGGTCCTAGGACCCTAAAATTATTATACGAGGAAAACAAAAAGAATTAACCTAGGGCCAAAATTTAGATATCACAAGGTAGAGGGCACAAAAAAAGGGGGGTAACCCCTAAATGGTGAATATCATAGAGAATAAACAAAAAAAACAAACAAATGCCATTATACCTGTGTATGATTTACTGAAAAGATTGTAGATTAAAAAGTAACTTTTAATAAATAAATCTAAAATAAAAATATAAAAAAGAAAAATAATAACCAACTAGAAAGGACGCTTGTCTGGACCTGGTTCTAACAAACAACGTTGATCTTTTGACCAACATTCAAAGGCATACAAATTCCAATCCCCAACGGTATTTAAAGGTGTTAGGGCACATTCCACACATGCTGTGGCATCATCAAGGGCTACTGTAGCAAATGCTTCTTTAGACTCGATTTGCAAAGCTGGCAATTGGTCTTCTCTGAATACATTCATCAGTCATTACAATCTAGAGGTTAGATCTGCGAATGAGGGACAGTTGGGACGCAACGTCCTTCAACCGGTTCATGCCTCTCGTTAAACTTGTTTGTTTACTACTTAATAAATATATGTTGCATCTTGAAATATTCTGGTGCCTTCCTTTTTTGTTCTTTGATGCTTGGGTATTCCAATATAAGACCTTAGTACTGGAGCCTCCTTTTCAGTCTTTGGTGTTTTTTCCTGTCAGATCGGATTTAAGGGGAGGACCTAACCCATATGAGTATCGGCTGCCATGAATAATAGCAAGGAAAAGAAAATTATGGTAAGTATGAATACATTTTCAATAATATGTGTGTGTGTGTGTGTGTGTGTGTGTGTGTGTGTGTGTGTGTGTGTGTGTGTATATATGTATACAAACAAACACACACACACATATAGTGTGTGTGTTTGTTTTTTGGGGGGGAGGAATAGAAAGCTGTAATGACCGTATATAACAAACCATATAACAAAATAGAAAATATGGACAGTGGGTTGTGGTGTGCTGAAACCGACGATGCGGTAGTCCTGTAATAAAAGAGGGCCCATCCGGAGTATTATGGTTAGTACAAGAAGTGGTGGGAGGGATAAATCGCCAGACCAACAACAATAATGAGGAGGGGTTTGGCGATCCTTAAGTAGGGAAATCATGCCTACAACTACAGGCCCAGCCTTCCATTTGTGTTCAGGGCATAGAAAGCCGTAATGACAGTATATAACTTATACCATATAACAAAGTAGAAAATAAGAACAGTCGGTTGTGGTGTGCCGAAATTGACGATGCTGTAGGCCTGTAATAAAAGAAGGCAAAAAGAGTATACCATACAAGATTTATTTCAGCCTACAATTTGACACTCATCTAGCATGTATCACATGTTCATGTTACAAAAAGCTTCACGTATTTCCTGTATTGGTTGGGGTATGTATCTGGTATATGCCAATGAATTCCACCGTCCCAATGTCTTGATAATATGTACCGGTACGTTTCTGCTGGAAGTAGTGGTGGCTTCTCCAATGCGAAAGAAGTGTCCTGAGTAGTGGGATGGATTAAGACCTAATCTTGCCAGCAATACTCTAATATAGAGCATGAATTAACTAGTGGTGAGAGCATTGCCATGTAAGGTAAACAAATGTTGGCCAGGGGAACAATGGTTAGGAATTTATCTAGTACCTGTACTGTGCACCACTTGTTACCGGTAGGGTAATAGGGGATCTTTACCAGTTGATTTTTTTGGTGTGGTTTTAGTGTGGTTGAGGGATAGTATGTAGTGATCTTGAATTTTTACAATCTCTTAATGGTGTCTTGGGATGTGAAGTTTGTAGTGGTAAACTCTCCGGGTCTGACTTACCCATAGAAAGCTAAGTAGATAGTGGTTTGAATGACATGATTAGTGTGTGATTCGAAAGGGGTTGTATCTATGAGTTTCGATGATTGGAAGAGTTGACTATGAATAGGTGATCTAGAAGATGTTACTCCCCACGCTTTTGCAGCAGCTACAGTAGGATAGCGCTCGAACAAGGCAGAAGTGGTAGAAGAATCTGGTACCTTGTACACTTCAATAGGCCAAACCCCCCATAGCCAATAATCACCGAAAATAGCCACAAAGCCTGAGGTGGTAGCTGCCTCTGAAAAAAATAGTAAGGGAGTCAGAGGCAAGTAATTCATAAGCAATTCCTGCCACATGCGTAAATCCGAGGTAGCCAAAACATCCAGTGAAATGTGGGAAATCTCCGACTGAAAGCAGGGATATAAAAGTCCTGCAGGATAATTTTCATGGCAAAGTTGAGGGAGCCTAGTAGAGACTAATTCTGGACGATTACAAGATCCCGCAGAGAGATATAGATCGATGTTGGATAGAACGCGCTCAATCTTATCTCTAGGCAAACTGGCTTGCATATTAACCGAATCCAGTGTGATACCCACTAAATTAATCAAGGTGTCAGGTCCGTCTGTCTTTTTGTGATGACGGGGACCCCCAGGTATTGGAAAAGCTTGATTGTGGCTCTCAGGCTACTGGGTGGAAATAAGTTACTCTCAATAGTCAATAAGTCAATCTAATAATTGTGGGGCATCTACAGACATTGAGCAGCAGCCAGCATAAAGTCTCAGCAAATGTATCGAAAATCCTGGGGCTACTTTTTGGACCAAAAGTGAGAAGAGTGAAAAATAGTAAGAACCCTGCCACTTAACACCGTGTAGATGCCACAAAGAAGGATGGATTGGGAGGAGCCTGAAGGCGTCAATGATGTCAGTCTTACTGCGCCATGCCCCCTTCCCTGTAGTCAGAATTGCGTCAATGGAATTATCAATAGTGGCATACTGAATGGAGAATTCATCTGAATGAAAGAGAGTTCAGACTGGGTGTCGCGGAAGAGTGGGGAGCAGAGAGGTCGACAGTCAACCTTTTTTTGGCTGAACCTTTACCAGAGACCACTCCTATAGGGTTAGTTCTCCATACTGAGAAAGGTGGTGAACTGAGCGGATAAACCGAGCACACCACATCTCTATAAATACCAAAGGCCAGGACAAACTCAGGAATTGACAACTTCCTATTTAACTTGGGGTCCCTAACCTTCAGTACAACAGAGACATCGCCATTGGAATACATCTTTTTCTCCAGAATATCTTTGGAGGCAATCAGCACCGTAACTAGATTGACATCTTTTTCTTCAAAGATATCCTTCTTAATATTAGCTGGCACCATGTGAGCTGGCTTGAGAATATTAGGGTTCTGTAGTGGACCAATAAATTTACCAGTCAGGGTGCCTGAAAGACCAGTAGGCTCTGGAGTAACCAATCCACATGGTGCCACTGGCCTATCACCTGGCACCCAGATCACTTCATTAAGCTGAAGTGGTCTGGGTGCCTAGAGTGGTCCTTTAATTTGTCTGTGATCCTAGGTATGGTCCAAGACCCGAGGGAAGACAGGCTGGCGTTGTCCTTTCCGTGAGATGGAGATATGGACCTTGCAGGAGTGCTGGGAATTAACAAATCCTATAATAGCTTCTGGTAATTCATACATGCTAGGATAGGACAAACATTAATGAGTAACCAAAGTAAAAAAATATCATACTGGCTAGCTTACCTAATGCCAAGTGGCGAAGAAATTATCTAATAATGGAGAGGAGAGCCCTACTAATTGACAAGTGGCATGAGAGGCTCTAGCAATGTGTTGGCCAGAGGATATTTTCTGGCCACCGAAATGTTGGCCTCTCTGTGACCAGTAAAGCAAAAAGATAACATGGAAGTGACGGGGGAGACCCTCTCTATACCACCATGCGAGGCGACTAACTATAAAAGTTGCCGTTGGGAGTGAGTACCTCCGAGTATGAGGATGGGTGTTGGCCTCGAAGGTCCACTAAGACAAGGTAAGAAGGCCAGAAAAACTAAATCAGCCAGTAAACAAAGTCTTACCCTAGTACCAGTTGCAGGATGGGAAGGGGGGGAAAGGTGTAACGACCACTTGGTTCACATACCTGTCGTGTCAGATGGATATAGAGTAGAACAGAGTAGATGAAACCCGAGCAATACTTAATATCAATATTGAAGTACCCATATCGTGACTGTTAAATAGCAGAAAAACTAAATAATATGGGATACCTACCAGCCAATAGACTAGGCCTACATTTAACCAGAAAAGCATAAGTGGTAGTATAACCAGTAGGGCCTAGTACCTAATAACATAAAAAGGAACAAATTAGGTTATCTGGGCAGTGAGCATCAGATTGTGGATCCCCAAGACAAATCTAAAGCTACTAACCGATGTGAAATTGTAGAAATCGAAAGAGAGGAGATGATAGTTAAATGGCAGTGACTTCAGTCTGTAATATATCAACCAACCAATATCAGAACCTCCAAGAGAGTATGACTAACTACTAATTTACAAAAAATAAAAAAGGACCCAACTAAAGCAAGTTGGACAATTGAAGCTGAGCCAACCAGAACCTATGAGACTTGAAAAACCCTCAGAGGCACAGCCAAAAGGAAGGTTCAAGCCCCACAACCTATAAAATATCTTGTCATAAACATATCTAATAGGCAGAACAAAATTTAGCAACAATGCGCTGCTTAATTAAATTTAAACAGCAAAGTATTTAATCAGAAATGTTAAAAGTGCAGTACTCCCCTATGACCTCCAGAGGCCAGCAGCCTATTAAGCATATACATGCAATTATGCGAATGTCCACATGGACCCAGAGAATACCTATTACTACAGTAGGGCATTTGGCTGTAATTATACGAACGGCCCCAAAAGGAGCAGAGAGCCGCATAACAACCGAACGCTCTATGTTTAACCGAACACTATAACAGACATTATTATTATAGCGCCAACAGATTCCGTAGTGCTTTACAATAATGTGAGATGGGTATTTAACTATAAATAGGACAATTACAAGAAAACTTATAGGAACACTTATTGTATATTGTTAATATTGTAAAATACTTTATTTTATAACATATTATATAATATGTACAATATATATATTTGTTTTTTTTTACTTTTAGGTGTCAGGGGGACTGGCAGACAGTCCCCCTGCAGGCAGCTCCATAGACTCCTATTGCGGCCATGTGATCACATGGCCCTGGAGGGCCGGGGTGGCTGGAGCTGCTGCAGGGGGACTGCTGGTGCCTCGGGTAGTTCCCCCGACCGGGATCGTCGGTCCAGGTAAGTTTACCGCTCATATTTGCCACAGACATACTAGGTACGTCCGCGGTCCTCAACAACCATTTTTTTGTCGGACATACCTACGTCCCGTTCGTTAAGGGGTTAATTCATACTTGGGGAAAGAACTGGCTTCTCTGGAAGCTCAGATTGGAGATCAGGAGAAGCAAATTGCGACATTGAGTTAGATAAACAAACTTGAGGGGGGTCTGCTGCTTACCGAGCAGAGTTTAGTGGGGGAAGGTAGTGGAGTGGAAGGAGGAAATGTTAAACTAGTGGTGAGTGGGGATCTTAGAAAGGAGATGAGCTTTAGCTCAGTACAAGGGGGGCAGAGATGGGAGGAAGGGCAAACTCAAAACAAAGGAAATATGTAATATTAATAAAAATTTACAAAAAGTACAAGTAACTCATGATAATATTAAATGTATGCTTACTTATGCAAGGAGCCTAAATAACAAAAATCGGGGAACTAGAGGCAATGGTATACACTAAACAATATGACATACTAGGCATAACAAACATGGTGGAATGATACACATGACTCGGCAATTAACTTAAATTGGTACACACTATTTAGGAAACATAGAAAAAACAGGTGGTGGTGCATGTTTGTATGTTAACCATGAGTTAAAGCTAAATCTCCAGTATGAGATGAGGACAATTTGGAAGCTTTATGAGTAAATATCTGTTTGGGGCTAAAGAAGGTAAATCAGTTATTGGTTGGGATATATTATAAACCAGCTAATGTTAATATTTGAAGATTTTAATTACCAAGACATAAATTGGGACAGAGGGCATTAGGTTTTTGAACTTGTTAAATGACACCTTCATGTCACAAGCACCAACTAGAAAGGACGCTTGTCTGGACCTGGTTCTAACAAACAACGTTGATCTTTTGACCAACATTCAAGTAGGTGAGCACTTGGGAAATAGTGATCACAATATAGTGTCCTTTGAAAAAAAAAAACCTTGGACATGGGGTATAGTAATACATTATTTTTAAAAAGGCCAATTTCTATAAGTTAGGGCAGCTTTTCAATATATTGACTATCAAATGCTTTAGTGAAAAAAAAAACAGATGAAATAAATGTAATATCTTTAAAGGGGCACTCCAGGCACCCAGACCACTTCTGCCCATTGGAGTGGTCTGGGTGCCAACTCCCACTACCCTTAACCCTGCAAGTGTAATTATTGCAGTTTTTATTTTTTATAAACTGCAATAATTACCTTGCAGGGGTTAACTCTTCCTCTAGAGGGCACTTCCTGATTGATAGCACCGGTTTTCTGTGCTATAGCGTCACTGGACGTCCTCACACTGTGTGAGGACCTCCAGCGTCGCCAATATCCCCATAGGAAAGCATTTTCAACGCTTTCCTATGGAGAGGTCTAATGCGCTTGCACGGCATTGCCGCACATGCGCATTAGGTCTCCCCTGTCGGCTGAATCTGTCTCCCCCACCAGATGACATGGGGACAGGGAGGAGCATGGGCGGACCAAGAAGCAGCGGCGAGGGACATCGTCGCTGCCTCTGGTAAGTCACTGAAGGGGTTTTGACCCCTTCAGCAACCGAGGATGGGATGTGGGAGGGAGAGGGGACCTGCAGTGCCAGGAAAACGGATTGTTTTCCTGGCACTGGAGAGTCCCTTTAACCCCGTAAGGACTCAGCTTCAGAAGCTTATCTTAAACTTAGGGACACAAGCCACTTTTGTGGTTTGTGTTCAAACGCAATTTGCATCTCTGTCATTTATGGCACCAACACATATTATACAATGTTTTTTAGAGGGCAAACAGGGCTTTAATTTCATGTCACATATACATAGATACAGTCTCATTAATTATAAAAAAAATGCCAAAAAATAAAATTTCACAGTTTTGGCAAGAATAGCGTGTGTAATTATTATATAATATGTCCAGCTTAGAAAAAGTAATTCAAAATAAATTCATTTATGTGTCTTGATTTATAGAGTACATCATATGTATATGATTTCAGCTTGTTTTGAAAATTACAGGTCACAAAATACAAGGACTAAAATAAAATTTCAATTTGCAATGGCATTTTTACATATATGTTGCATTTTTGCTGAGTATTTCTTACACTTAAAGGAGCACTATAGGGTCAGGAACACAAACATGCCCCCTTTGCCTCCCTAAAGATAATAAAATCTTACTTGTATTCAAGTCTGAAGCTGCTGCCTGTGAACTTCCTCTGACCTCATCAGAAGTGGTGGCCTGATCCAATCAGAAGTGGTGGCCTGATCCCCATAGGATTGGCTGAGACTGACAAGGAGGCAGATCAGGGGCAGAGTCAGCACAATTCAAACACAGCCCTGGCCAATCAGCATCTCCTCATAGAGATGAATTGGATCAATGAATCTACGAGGAAAGTTCAGTGTCTGCATGCAGAGGGAGGGGATACTGAATGTTTGGATGCATTTTAAGCAGCTATGACCCAGAAAGGATCTCTAACAGCCATCTGAGGAGTGGCCAGTGAAGTTATCATAAGAATGTAATGTAAACACTGTATTTTCTCTGAAAAGACATTGTTTACAGCAAAAAGCCTGAAGGTAATGATACTACTCACCAGAACAAATTCAATAAGCTGTAGTTGTTCTGGTGACTACAGTGTCCCTTTAAAGGGACACTATAATCACCCAGACCACTTTATCTCAATGAAGTGGTCTGGGTGCCAGGTCCCTCAGGTTTTAACCCTTTACATGTAAACATAGCAGTTTCAGAGAAACTGCTATGTTTACATAGCAGGGTTAATCCAACCTCTAGTGTCTTCCTGACAGCCGCTAGAGGCGCTTCTGCGACGCTGGAATGCGAAATTCGCATCCAGCATGCAGAACGTTCATAGGAAAGCATTGAGAAATGCTTTCCTATGGACAATTAGAATGAGCGCGCTCTTGCCGCGCATGTGCATTCTGCTCCACTCAAGAGCTGACTTCGACAAGGGGAGGAGAGGAGAGGTCACCAGCCCCGAGGGAGCCCAGCGCTGGATTAAGGTAAACTGCTGAAGGGGTTTTAATCTCAATTAGATTGCATATGTGTTGCAACTTGGTCTGACCATGCCATGCGCCCCTACAATTGTACAATTGACTGTATTATCATTTTACTTTAGACCTAACCGCACGCATTGGAGACAATCAATCATTCTCTGCTCTCTGACACTCTTCTGACTCAAGAGACACAGACAAAATTGACAATGGGGATACCTCAGCTGTCCGCGAGGCACATAAATGTGTGACAAGAAGGTTCTTTATATGCAAAAGTTTTGCACTTAAGAAAGCACATGGAGCACGCATTCAAACATTGACAAAGCAAATATCAAGGCTCAAACTCGCCCACAGACGCTTTAAAAACACCCATCTCCAGAGTCTCACGACACTATGAAGAGAACTCTCTGGACTACTTAATTTAGCACATTAAAAAACCCTCATTAGATTTAAAGCCTTTTTCTACACAAATGCTGATAAATGTGGTGCTCTCCTGGCAAATATGAAAGCTAAATGCAGAGCATCCACATACTCAGGCAAGTTGCCAGAGGCAGAGAGGAGTCACATGCCTGACAAGATAGCAGGGATGATACACTCCTAATATTCTGGACTTCATGCACTTCTACAGACTATGGTGGGAATGACCTTGAGACAGAAGATTGACGATTACTTCCAGTGTCCAGTTATATACCAAACAAAGACTTTCCAGTACAGATGCTCAACTCTTAGAAGACACTCTTACTGAGGAAGAACTAACCATACTAGTTAAGAACACCCAAAAGGACAAGAGTCCAGGGAAGAGCTGAACTTTGCTGCATCTGGGTGGGGGCAGACATGCATTAATGTTTGGTCATATTGGAGAATAACCTCCATATTGGAGGACTTTAGAATTTTTGCTGATCTAGTATCAAGTAAACACATGTCAGTGCTCCTTACACAGATCTGACATGGGAAATGGCGGGCACGTAGTAAATACCTAGATATACATTTGATAACCTGGTACACCATTCTGAGCAGACAGATAGGTATCACTGGTTAGTCTTGAAAACAATGATTGCCGCCCCCCGCCCCTGTAACAGATAATTTCACGTTGATGTGGGTTTAAACAGATTGTGCAACTATCATGATTTTCCCTCCCACCTCCTGTTTTTCTTTTCTGTAACCAGTCCTCTTGAGACGGATTTACAAAAACAAACAAAAAAACGCAAAAAAGCCAAACCCATGTACTCAGTCTTCATTCACAATGGTATTCTTAAAGGGACACTATAGTCACCAGAACAACTACAGCTTATTGTATTGGTTCTGGTGATGAAAAAAATATCCCTTCAGACGTTTTGCAGTAAACACTGTTTTCAGAGAAAATTCATTTTTTACATTACAGCCTAGGATTACCTCCAGTGGACACTTCTCAGATGGCTACTAGCATGGCTTCCTGGAGCAGTGCTGCACAGCATGTAACATTGCCATTCAGTGTCTCCACCCTCTGAATGGAGACGCTAAACTTTCCTCATAGAGATGCATTGATTCAATGCATTTCTAAAAGGAGATGCTGATTGGCCAGGGCGGTGTTTGACTTTGTGCTGGCTCTGACCCTGATCTGCCTCACTGACAGTCTAAGCCAATTCAATACTTTTCTATGGAAAAAGCATTGTGATTGGCTTTTGATCCACACTTCTGACAATATTAGCCAAGCAGGCAGATCAGGGGCAGAGCTGCCAGCAGCAGACTGGAGTAGGGGAAGAACACTGGTGTTAGGAATACAAATCTGTATTATTGTTAGATAAGCTTTTCAATATTTTTGGGTAAACTCCCCCTCTACAAACACACACACACACACACACACACACACACAATATGTGAGGGTAAAATATATATTATGAGAACTTATTTTGTAATATTTCAACTTATTGTTTTTATATACATAAATCATTTATATATTAATATTTTGAAAAGAAATTAAAATAATAATTTTAAAAGTTTATCCAGAAATATTAAACCATTTGAAAAGCTTATCCAACAATGTCTAATAGAGGCCACGGTTTGGTAAATAAACAAGGATACAATTTATTTTGCAACAAATTATACACAAAATTGTTCAAACCCAATTTTGAAAACAACAGTGTCAGGAGGGCAAACTTTACAGTGCATTAAACACTCACCAACAGAACGGAAAGCAGACAGGTCACATTGAGTGATTGTTGTTAAGCACCTGTTAAAGAGAGGAGTATATAAACTACAAACTCCACAGTTCTGAACATTAACATGTGCACGTGACATTGGTGAATGACATTACCAATCGGCCTGCTTTGTGGATCTGTATGATGCCTAGGTAACCAGGGAGCACGCCACCTGACCTCCATAAACAGACAGGCTCTTCAGGTTTAAGCATGAATGGGATGTTGCCCTGCATGTTTCCCACAGGCCTGAGGTGAAATTCAGTAGGTACAGACCCCATAAATTCTGGCACCATGGAGATTTGGCCATTGTATATTTCAGGAGTGTCTACATCAGGGACATTTTCCACTTTCTGGAAATAAAAGCAGCAAAAAAGTGAACAGAACATATCCGAATATGATGTATTTTTTTCATATAACATACTTTATCGACCAAACACAAAATGCAATGGCAAATAAGAACAAATTAATATTCCAAAACACTTTGTAATGTAAAAAAGAAAAAAAATTAGTTCCTGATGACTATGTATTACTTGGACTATGCGCTCTCTAGTGTTCAAACAGGCAGTTTCCACATGTCACCACATATAAAACATTTCATTTCAGCCAGTCAAGCAATGTATAATGGCTGAACTATGGCTCCTCTGAAGACAGTCCCTTACAACGTACAAACCTTTTCTGAGGATATGTGGCCTGTAATTTATCTATTGTATTAAGATGGTTACATTAATAGCTAATGTGCCTTTTGCTATATGGCTTACCCTAGATACAACACAATATACAGGATATTAGTGAACAGTATCCACTTGATTTCAAAATTTTATTTTTAAAATATTAATCCATGCAGCTTCTGTAGGGATTAATATTTTTAATTTGTTTCTGAGGAAGTCCACATTTGTGGAGGAATCACAGTAAACTATTTTTTTTTTTTTTAACAGTTAGTTTTGGTGATATTGTTTAAAAGGGACACTATAGTCACCAGAACAACTACAGCTTAATGTAGTAGTTCTGGTGAGTATAATCATTGCCTTCAAGCATTTTCATGCAAAAACTGCCTTTTCAGAAAAAAGGCAATGTTTACATTGCCCCTAGGGACACCTCCAAGTGGCGGCCACTCAGATGGCCACTGGAGGTGCTTCCCGACTCAGTGCTGCACAGCAGGCAGCTCTTCCGTTCAGCATCTCCATTCTCTGCGTGGGGACGCTGAATTTTCCTCATAGAGAAGCATTGATTCAATGCATCTCTATGAGGAGGTGCTCATTGGCCAAAATGGCGTTTGGCCCTGCCCCCTTGCCGATTTTAGCCAATCCAATGCTTTCCCAATGGGTAAGCATTGGATTGGCTTAAAAGCGGCAATTCTGATTATGTCACCAAGGGGGTGGGTCCAGCTCCGGCGGACCCGCACGGCGCTGGAAATAATGTGAGTTTTATTCCTTTTTAGGGGGCAGGAAGAGCCACCTTAATGGTGGGTTTTGCACTATTGGGTCAGGAGTACATGTTTGTGTTCCTGACCCTATAGTGTTCCTTTAATTTTTTTTAATCTATTTCATTTTTGTGTTAAAATATTAAAATCAAGTGGATACTGTTCCATTGATTTAATGCCTGTTGACTATGGTTCTGATTGAAGGAGGCAAAGTAGGTGTTAGCCCCCAGCCTACGTCAGGGGAGGCACCCCAAGACGCCACATTTCTTTATATTCTGCGAGTGCAACCTTATAGCGTATATTGCATTGTATGTAAATGTGCTTCAACATGTGGTGCTTTTATCCTTTTCATAGAAGATTAGCCGAATCCCCAATACCCTGTATAAGTTGCCGTTTAAGAATGGTGGTAAACTAGGAAAAACCACCTGGGAAGCTGAATTGTTCAAAGTCAAGTACTACTACATGTGGGAATATCAATCCATTGTGAAAGTAAATTTTTATTTTTTAACCCTAGATACAAACTTGTACTCAAGGGATTTAACACATTTTATTTTGCCACTTGTATATATACACCACATGGCTGTGTGAAGCTGGTGAACTGGCGTCAGGGTCATTGGCGTCCATGGCTCATTGATGCATCTGGAAAGTGAAGGCTAGCCTGCCTGGTCCGATTACACTTGTGGCGAAACCGACCTTGCCACTGGGCATTGGAGAAGACTGATTGCCAGCCTCCTGCCATGTGACTATGGCCCCTGGGATGCATTGCCCTTTAAAGACATGATTTGGGCATAAGGGATTTGTGTTTTGCTGCTGCTGACCCTTTAAGAACCATCTGGGGACATACTGTGGAGTTACTGGGTGGCCACCATTTCCTGTATCAGAGGCACATGGCGAGAACAATGGATGAATGTCAGGGTACCTGTTGGTGCTGAATCCAGGGAAGACATCCTCTCTGTTTAGGGGCTCCCTGCTCCTAGCATTTCGGCATATTCCGGCCGTTTTCGCGCCGGCCGCGCTAGCTCCTCCCCCTTTTATGACGCGACGGCTAGCGTCGACGTCATAACGTCGGCATTTACATGAAGTGCCGGGAACCGCTATTCCGGACCTTTTGGGGGCGTGGTCTCTATTTAGGTAACAGGGTATTTAAAGGAAACCTTTTCTACTGCTCATTGCCCTGTCGTGGTTCTAGCTTGCTAGTCACTCAGCGCGTTCTTTATCTTGTGTTTCCGGTTTTGACCCTTGCTTGTCTTTTGTCCTGTTGTCCTCTCCTCTCCTTTGACTCGGCTTGTATCTCGCTTACCTGTCCTCCGGCTCCCTCGACCTCGGCTTACCTTTTGACTATTCTTGTTTTGTCCATACGTTAGTCCGGCCATTCTAAGGTCCGGTATACGTACCTCCTCCTGTCCGCACTCTGCGTATTGGATCCCTGTCACTATCCTGACATTACGACAGGGCCATATGGATCCTGCAGGTGCTAGTCCTCCTGACCCCAGATTTGAGGCCATGGACCATAGAATGGACCAAATGGCTCTAGCGTTACAAACTTTGCTAGCACGCCCCAGCACCCAGTCAGAAGAAATACGTTCCACTGCTAGCCACCCGCTAAGTACTGGTTTGGAAGTAGCCACTGTAGGCGCATCTTCCCATGTCACTTCCCCGTTACGTTATGGGGGTTCGCCTGATGCTTGTCGAGGTTTTTTAAACCAGATAAGCATACATTTCGAACTTCAACCCCGGGCTTACCCTACGGACAGGGCTAAAGTAGGCTTCATTATTACACTGCTAATAGACAAAGCACTTAGATGGGCCAATCCCCTTTGGGAGAATGACAATCCTTTAGTCTATAACTATACTGCTTTTGTCACAGCGTTTAGAAGGACTTTTGACCCTCCAGGAAGGAAGATTAATGCTGCCAGATCTCTGTTACGCCTTAAACAACAGAACAGAACCCTTGTAGAATATGCATTAGAGTTTAGATCATTGGCAGCAGAGGTGAAATGGAACGAACAAGCTTTTATGGATGTATTCTTGAATGGGTTGTCTGATGAGATTCTACATGAAATTGCCACAAGAGAACTCCCGGAAAATTTAGAAGATTTAGTGTCTTTCATTTCCAGAGTAGATGAACGCATGAGACAGAGGCAGAATACTCGGGAAAGAGTTAGTAGACCTCCTGTAAGACTCGCTCCCTCATTCCAGAACCCTGACTCCTATAATCCTACTCCACCAGAACCTATGCAAATAGGTAATACTCACTTATCTGAGGCCGAGAGACAGTACAGAAGAAGGGAGGGTCTCTGTTTATACTGCGGGCGGAGAGGTCACCTACGTCTTAGTTGCCCTAATCGCCGGGGAAACGCTCGCACCTAAGTTCCCCTAGAGGACGGGCCTTGGGTGTTTCGTTACTGTCCTCTATGCATAATAATAAAGACCATAGGCTTATGATTCCTGTCTCTCTAGCTTGGAAAAGTGGTATTATATCTACGATGGCGTTGTTAGATTCTGGAGCGGCAGAAAGCTTTATAGACCAAACTTACGCTAATAAACATTGTCTTCCTTTCCAACTGAGAGATACACCCTTGGCCGTTGAGGCCATAGATGGTAGACCTTTATCTGAACCAGTAATATTCCATGAGACTAAACCCATTAAACTTACTGTTGGTATCCTCCATGAGGAGATAATTTCCCTCCTGTTAATTTCCTCCCCGGCAGTCCCAGTGGTGCTAGGATACTCTTGGCTCAAGAGACACAACCCTCAGATTGACTGGGAGGGTGGAGAAATCGTTTCTTGGGGAATTGGTTGTAGAGAAAAATGTCTGCAGAGAGTCACTCCTGTTTGCCCCATAAACTCTTATACCAACTCTTCCCAATCCACAGACGTTCAGATACCATTACAATATCTAGATCTCAAGTCTGTATTTGACAAGAGTAAGGCGGATACTTTACCCCCCCACCGGTCTTATGACTGTTCTATTAAACTTTTCCCTGGTACTATGCCTCCTAGGGGTACGGTATACCCTCTGTCCACCAAAGAAAATTTAGTTTTAGAGGACTACATCAAGGAGAATCTAGACAAAGGATTTATTAGAAAATCTTCTTCTCCGGCGGGGGCGGGTTTCTTTTTTGTAGAAAAGAAAGACGGTACCTTACGTCCTTGCATAGACTATCGGGGATTGAACAAAATTACGATCAGGAATGCTTACCCCATTCCTTTGCTTACTGAACTCTTTGACAGACTAAAGGGCTTGAGTATTTTTACCAAACTTGACTTGAGAGGAGCATATAACTTGGTGAGAATTAAACAAGGAGATGAATGGATGACAGCATTTAATACCCGTTACGGACATTATGAGTATACCGTAATGCCGTTTGGGCTATGCAATGCCCCGGCCGTCTTCCAAGACTTGATTATTGAGGTCCTTAGAGAATTTCATCACAAATTTGTGATTGTATATTTCGATGATATACTAATACATTCTAGGGACATTGACTCACATCACAGACAGGTCAGAAAGGTATTACAGAAACTTTTACAACATGGATTGTATTGTAAATTGGAAAAATGTAGCTTTGATCAGTCTCAGGTAACTTTTTTAGGGTACGTAATTTCCAAAGACGGGTTTATGATGGACCCGATCAAACTAAAATCGATTTTAGATTGGCCTTTACCTAAGGGACTCAAAGCCATACAAAGATTTCTTGGATTTTCTAATTATTATAGGCGTTTCATTAAAGGGTACTCCTCTGTTATCGCTCCTATCACTAATATGACTAAACAAGGAGCCGATACCAAAACATGGTCTACTGAGGCATTATCTGCTTTCGAAACGCTCAAACAGACTTTTGCCTCAGCACCTGTATTAGTTCACCCTGATACTTCTCTGCCCTTTTTGCTTGAAGTTGATGCGTCTGAAACAGGGATAGGCGCAGTATTGTCCCAAAGACAAGGTTTAGATAAGCCGCTGCACCCTTGCGTTTTTTTTTCCAAGAAATTATCTCACACTGAAAGGAGATATGATATTGGTGACAGAGAACTCTTAGCTATTATTATGGCATTAAAGGAATGGAGACATCTGTTAGAGGGCACTGTTCTCCCAGTTACTATCTTGACTGATCACAAAAATTTATCCTATATGGGGGAGGCCAAAAGATTATCTGCCAGGCAAGCACGTTGGTCTATGTTCCTTACACACTTTAATTATATGCTTACTTACAGGCCTGGTTCTAAGAACACTAAGGCAGACGCTTTGTCACGTCAGCACGAACCTATCACCTCTACAGAGGACACTTTGTTCCCTATTATTCCTGAAGTCAATATTATCGCCAACACCAATGTCAAAATACACTCTCCATTGCTCGCTGATATTATGAACGAACAATCTCTTGCTCCCGAACGTACTCCTGTGGGCCGCTTGTTCGTGTCTCCCAAATTCCAAGTGGACATTATTCGCTGTTTTCACGATAGCAAGTTCGCTGGTCACCCCGGCATCCACAAAACTTACTGCCTGATCTCCAAAGACTTCTGGTGGCCCGGTTTACGTAGGGATGTGGAAGACTTTGTCAAGGCTTGCAATGTTTGTGTCAGGAATAAACTTCCGCGGGATCTCCCTTGTGGTTTATTGCAGCCCTTAGTCGTTCCCAACAAACCTTGGGCTTGTTTGGCTATGGATTTTATTGTTGATCTACCTGCTTCCAGTAGACATACGGTTATCCTCACGGTCCTTGACAGGTTTACTAAAATGGCTCATTTCATTCCCTTACCTAAACTTCCGTCCTCTCCTGAACTGGCCGTGATATTTGCTAGAGAAATTTTCCGTTTACATGATATTCCCAATGAGATTGTGTCAGACAGGGGTTCCCAATTTATTTCCCGTTTTTGGAGATCCTTCTGTTCCCAGTTGGGCATCAAACTGAATTTTTCTTCGGCCTATCATCCTCAATCTAACGGAGCAGCCGAACGCACTAACCAAAAAATTGAGCAATATCTACGTTGTTTTGTTTCTGAACACCAGGATGACTGGGTCGGACTGATTCCTTGGCCGGAGTTTGCTCACAACAACCTTGTTTGTGGTTCCACTCGTAATAGCCCCTTTTTCTTGAACTATGGCTTTAACCCTACTGTTCTTCCGTCGGTGTCTCCTTCCCAGGGTATACCGTCGGTTGATATTCATATAGCCAACCTGAGAAAGTTGTGGGATCAGACTCGACAAATTCTTGAACGTAGTTCCGCGGTGTTTAAGTCACATGCTGATAGGCGTAGGCGGCCTGCTCCTATTTTTTCTCCGGGTGATAGGGTCTGGTTGTGTACCAGACACATTCGCCTGAAAGTTCCTTCCTTGAAGTTTGCTCCTCGTTACATTGGTCCTTACAGGGTGCTGAGGAGGATCAACCCGGTTTCTTATTTGCTGGATCTACCTCCTACTCTACGCATCCCTAACTCTTTTCATGTGTCTTTATTGAAACCTCTTGTTTGTAACAGATTTTCCTCCCGCTCTGCTCCTCCATCCTCGGTCCGTGTGGATGGTCAGGAGGAATATATCATCAAGTCCATCCTTGATTCTCGTATTTCTAGGGGGAAGCTGCAATACCTCATAGACTGGAAAGGTTATGGTCCAGAAGAGAGGTCTTGGGTTCCTGGTATAGACGTGCATGCTCCTCGTCTTCTTCGGGCCTTCCACGTTCGTTTTCCTTCTAAGCCCGGTCCCATCCGCCCGGTGGGCGTTTCTAGAAGGGGGGGTACTGTCAGGGTACCTGTTGGTGCTGAATCCAGGGAAGACATCCTCTCTGTTTAGGGGCTCCCTGCCCTAGCATTTCGGCATATTCCGGCCGTTTTCGCGCCGGCCGCGCTAGCTCCTCCCCCTTTTATGACGCGACGGCTAGCGTCGACGTCATGACGTCGGCATTTACATGAAGTGCCGGGAACCGCTATTCCGGACCTTTTGGGGGCGTGGTCTCTATTTAGGTAACAGGGTATTTAAAGGAAACCTTTTCTACTGCTCATTGCCCTGTCGTGGTTCTAGCTTGCTAGTCACTCAGCGCGTTCTTTATCTTGTGTTTCCGGTTTTGACCCTTGCTTGTCTTTTGTCCTGTTGTCCTCTCCTCTCCTTTGACTCTGCTTGTATCTCGCTTACCTGTCCTCCGGCTCCCTCGACCTCGGCTTACCTTTTGACTATTCTTGCTTTGTCCCTACGTTAGTCCGGCCATTCTAAGGTCCGGTATACGTACCTCCTTCTGTCCGCACTCTGCGTATTGGATCCCTGTCAGTATCCTGACAATGAAGCACATGGTAAGAACAATGGATGGCGGCCATTTTAACTCACAGACACTGTTTGGACTTTTCAACACGGTGCCATCTCGCCGGTATTTGGTGCACAGAGACATCGTGCAGTGGTTTTGGACTATACAACAGGGGACACATTATACAGTAATTGTTTTTCATTTAGCCTGTATATGTTCTGCAGAATCTGCATTAAACTGTATCTTCCAAAGTACTGAACGGATCTGGGTGAATTTTGGATATGTGGTTCACCCAGATCCCCCGGTTTTTATGGGGTTATTGCATGTTTTGGGGTCCCTGTGATGTGTTTTATGAAACTGTATTTCTCTGTCTGTGATAATTAGATTACCCATTGTGTAAGGTAATTGTATCACAGGCAGAGGGGAGGATTTTGTGTGGGAGTGTCTTTCTGTAATGTACGTGTGTTATTGGTTGTTCTGTAAAACCCTGTGGGCAGTACTAAGTTTGTGGATTGTGAATAAAAGAGGCTGTATGTGCCAGTCCAGTCAGTTCCTGCTTAACCCTCAAAGTGAAGTGTCGTCTCATTATTGAGGGAGGATTTATTGTATGCAGTTTGACTGCTAGGAATGTAAACCTATTCGCATGTTTTTTCCTATTCGGCTGTATACAACATTCATATGCTTGAGAGCATTCACATGCTCCTACGGTTCGGTGGTTTTGGTGTCTGCTGCAGTGCTTGGAGTCCTCAGGAAGTGCTAGGAGCATCCTTTAACGGAGGTACCCAGTCTGGGTGCCAGGTGATCCGTTACAACACTGAAGAGTTACTGTAGCTTAAACTGCTGAAAAGCTTAAAGGGACACTATAGTAAACAGAATAACTACAGCTTAAAGGCAAGTTTTATTACTTTTTAAGGGAGAGGCAAGCCACCTAAATGATGGTTTTAACACAAACATGTATTCCTGACCCTGTAGTGCTCATTTAATGCGGACATAATAGGAAAGTGTCAGAACCCACAGTGCATCACAGTTTGCCAAGTATTGGGCTGCATAGCCTTAGACCGTCACAGTGCTCACGATGACCCAGGGGTTTACTGCCAAAAGTGCCTTCAATGGAGATGTGAGCATCAGAACTGCACAATGGAAGTGTAGAATATATATGTGTCAGTGTATAATGTATGTGAAAATACATTACTTTTTATTCCTGCCTATAGGTTCAGATACATCGGTGGCTTTTTTTTTTTTTTAATTTACAAGTTTGATCCTTTTATAACAAGCTATTTTATTGGCAAAAGTTTACCTTGTTCCTGGTACTATGTTGAACGTATTATGCTGTACCATTACTGTCTTTTCACGTGTCATACAAAAATAAAGATTTTAAAAAAAAATTTAAAAAAAGATTACTACTTTTTTTAGAATATGAATTTAAAGACTTTCTAAAACAAGTATTTTCATCTTTAAAATTATGGGTAAATCTCCCAAACTATCAGACCCACTGTTGTTCGAAATTAAATTAATTAATACAGCTTGCTCGGCAATACTATGTGGGTAAAAGAAAGATATCACTGATCATGAAAATCTCAGAATTGTGTGTTTATTTACCCAACACAATTACGGAGACCTTAAATGAGAATTGAGAGCAGAGCTGAAGAAATTGCCAAGTACAAAATTTTATTTTAGTTGGGCTAGTTTGGTCTAAAATTTGCAATTTCCAGCTCAGTAAATAAAGGCCAATGGCCCTTGTAGCACAGCTTGGAGATGGCAATTGCCTGGATTTAGCACGTTCTTGAGCTATAAAAACATAGCAATGGGTATTGATCTATTTTTAAATTAGCTTATTTTGCTTTGGCATCCCTCCTGCAAAATATTTTATGAATAGTGGAATTATTTAATAGTTTAGATGGTCATATAATAAAAGAAAATGTCATTTAAAATGTGGGAAATAAAGGTTACCTCAAACCCTCCTGTCTCTTCTAAGATGTCGTGTAAAAGTCGGATATATTCAGTAGCAGCTTTCAATGTGTCCACTTTGCTCGGCTTCCTGTCCTTGGGAATTAGTGGCACAATGCTTTTAAGCTTTGAAAACCCGCTGTTTATATTTCTAATCTACAAACCATTAAACATTAAAGTTATTACACAGTGGACATGCCGCCATTAACACAGAAACACATGTGCATAGAGTAACCACATAAACTAGCAATATGAAGGACAAAAAGAATAAGGACCATGTGAAGGCCACGTGGTATTTGTTTATATTTGTGCAGAAAGAGTCCCGATTTTTTTGTCAAAACATGTGACAACTGACAAAAGCATGGAGGTTGGTGTTCATAGACTATCTGAGCCCATTACAATATGATATAGTGGTTATGGTGTTCAGATTGTCCATCTTGTATACATTCATGTATTCATGGAGGTGTAAAAATTAAAATGTAGAAACCCAAAAAGTCTTCATTTGCAATGTTTCCCCCTGCTCTGCTCTGTCTGAACTGGATTAAGAGGTTGTTGGCTAACATTTTAAACTTAAAGGCATGGAAGACAGCACTAAGAGGTGGATTTAACCCTTTAAGGACTGAGCCAAATGTACACATTGTGATCAAAACAAAACGTAAACAAAAACTTGAATTTGCGCTATATGTCGGTTCAGGCGTATTTCGCCTCTTTCATATTATGTGCACCCACACTTATTGTATATCATTTTATTCAGGGGAAAAGGGGCTTTCATTTAACATCAAATATTTAGGTATGAAACAATTTAATATGAATAAAATAAAAAAAAAAAATTTTAAAAAAAATTTAAAAAAGGGAGAAAATAAGAATTAAAAATTTTTTTTTAGTTCTGCATGACATTCTAACTGTGAATGTCATAATACTGTTTGCTTTTACTGCAATAAAATACACCTATTTGTATTCAGTGATGTCTCACGTGTAAAACAGTACCCCCTATGTACAGGTTTTATGGTGTTTTGGGAATTTACAGGGTTAAATATAGCATGTTACATTTTTTAGTTTTTTCAAATTTAAATTCGCCAGATTGGTTATGTTGCCTTTGAGACCGTATGGTAACCCAGTAGACAACCCAAGGTATTGCAAATGGTGTATGTCCAGTCTTTTTCAGTAGCCACTTGGTCACAAACACTGGCCGAAGTTAGTGACTTCTAAAAAAAACTGGACATACCCCATTTGCAATACCTTGGGTTGTCTACTATTGCAAATGGTACGCCATCATGGGGGTAATTTTCATTCCTGGGCTACCATACGGTCTCAAAGGCAACATAACCAATCTGGTGAATTTCAATGTGAAAAAACTGAAACGGAAGCCTTATATTTGACTCTGTAACCTTTGAAAACACCATAAAACCTGTACGTGAGGGGTACTGTAATACTCAGGAGACTTCGCTGAACACAAATATTAGTGTTTCAAAACAGTAAAACGTATCACAACAATTATATTGTCCGTGTAAGTGACATTTGTGTGTGAAAAATGCAAAAAAAAATTAACTTTCACTGACGATATCATCGTTGTAATACATTTTACTGTTTTGAAACACTAATATTTGTGTTCAGCAAAGTCTTCAGAGTTAAACCGTACCCCCCATGTACAGGTTTTATGGTGTCTTGGAAAGTTACAGAGTTAAATATAGTGCTAGCAAATTAAATGTATATTTATTCATATATAGGTATATATATTATTTCGTTCTACATGAATTTTGATATCAATATATATTTTAATTTTAAAATAGTTAGAACGAATTTACACATATTTATTATTTTTTTTAATCATATTTACAGATATATATATATATATATATATATACACACACACACACACACACACACACACACACACACACTATATCATGCTACGTGTATTTTGATAATTACGTGTATTTTGATAATATATATGAGATCTAAGTATATATAATTTAATTTTACACTGTTTTAAACCTGTGTTGCAAATAAGGGAATTACTTTTTTAAAACAATGAGTGCTAGACATTTCAGTTTTATCCTGTGCTTTGGGTAGTCAGGTACATAGTTTATGAAGTGGAACACAATAAGAGTAAGTACTGTGGGTGGGGGAAGACAAAGTGAGAAAATAATAAACGAGTGAACAATTTGTCAACTTGTAGAACAATTAAACCTGCCAATCATCTAGTGAGCAACATGACGGCCTGGGGCTATGAGAACTAATACGACTGTAGAAAGATTAGAAGCTGAATAAGGCACTCTAATCCACACGTGGGGCTCATAACATCACACTGACATATATCAATAATATTGCTATATTGAGATCCAATATTACTGATGTGATCCTCAGCCTGTGTTATAACAGTCAGTGACTCGATTCCCATTGCCTTAAGTGCCACCATGGACATGTCTAGTTTTTGTTATAATTCATTTTAATAAAAATACTTTTTAGGGGACAACGTTAAAATAGATGAGCTGTTAGTCTACCTGGTATAGTACTTCTACTGAGACATGTGTATTTGTGGCAACCCCCGTGATCTGCCAATTCAATACTTAAACCAGAGAAGAATTTAAAGCACACACCATCATTCTGATGTTGGTTGTCAAATAGATGCAATAATTATACCTACTTGTGTTAAAAGCTGCTACAGCCACTATTTGGCATGGGTAGGTCAAAATGTAAACAATACAGTTTCTCAAAAATTGCACAGGCCTCATCTATGCGCCAGAATCACTTAATTAAGATGAAGTGGTTTGGTACTTAGTGTGTCTATTTAAAAAAAAATAGAGTCAGTGCTGAGAATGTACCAAATATTTTTAGTATTTCTTAAAAACATAAGAAACCTACATATTTAGAGAAGGTGTTGCAGTTGAACCTTATTTTGCTAGGATGGTACACAGTCTACAAAAAAAATTAAAATTACCTACACACAATTTGGCTGCTGTGCAGAGTGGTCACACATTGCTTAAAATCATGAAAACCTACAGAATTTTTGCCTTTTTAATGGCATTTTAATTGCCTTAATTAAGTAATTAATTATGATAAATCTGCTGGCATTCTATTCTGTGGGTAACACAATGAGACAGCGCCATAGCTCTGATTGTGTAGACAAAAAGGAGGGAGAGGAGCTAAATGCAAAACAAGTAGGATACCCCAAACTGTATATACAAAAAAAAAACTAAAAAAAAAAAGACTAAAAAGTTGTGGGGGGGGGGGTATCCTACTTGTTTTGCTTTTAGCTCCTCTCTCCCTCCTTTGCCTGATTGTACCTATTTTGACATTTAGGGTCTTATATTTGCACTAGTTGTGCTTTTATTTGGTAGGTGAGGACTATGTCCCTTTAAATTACAGCAGTATACATTTGCTCATTTTTACTATATATTTTTTTCTTCTAAGAGATTATACATGATTATATTTCATTTGTATAATACACATTTGTTTATTATTTATTGTGTAAATAGTTTGTCTATATGTATATTGATATCAAGACTTTTTAGGGCATATAGCCCTTAACAAATATGGCCGCCGTACCCCACGAATGGGATGTGACATCCACATCTCACCTCGTGGACCGGAAATGACATCACACACGCTAATTGGAGCCCTTATGGGTGAAGGTAATCGTCATATTGAATAGGATACTTATGCAGCACAATACACGGGAACTTTTAGAGACATTGACAAAGACTAGACTGTTGAAACACGTCTGTTCTCTCATTTTATCCAGAAGGATTTATGCCTTTGTTTGCATTTTAACCTCTTAGTGTTTTATCACTATAATAAATCTCTGCATTTTTTTTATTTTATTTATTACTGCTGCTATTCTTACTTTTGTGATCCATCTGCTACAGTGGTCCATGGGTATTCAACGCTAGCCTGTACAGGCACCATTGGGCTTACTATACAGAGCCGGATACGGTTCTGGGATTTGTGAGTGTGACCATTTATTATATGATTACTCACTTTTATCCTACAGTACACACTATGTATTATAATATCTTTTTTAGGCACTACTGATATTCACCTGCCATCTGTGTTGTGTACATATATAAGTATTAACCATTTGATTATATCCTTGTATTTCTTTTGGAGGGTGCACTTCTACTCTGTATTTGGCACAATGTTGTTTTTTATTTTATTACTAAGGTGTTGGGGATACACCTATTTACACCTTCATATACCTTGTACTTTATTATAAGCGCCACACTTGTACCTAATATATTTGGAGTTTGGCCATGTAACTTTGAGAACAAACCTATAAGGCACATCAATGTACTCGAACAGTTTAACCCCAAAGTTGCCTCCAGTGCAGATGTCCACTCACCCCCCAGCGGCATCCATCGTCCTTATTTTCGTGGCTGTAGGCAACTTTGGGGCTAAACTGTCTGAGAACAGTTTAACCTCCTCAGGGAACAGTGCCTCCTGGCAACATAACTTTATTTAGATGACAATGTTTTGGTGCCTGGAGCGTCCCTTTAAGCCCATACATAAAATTCACAGGTTCACAGCAGTGCCATTTTTGTTAAAGTAACACACACTATGGGATTTGCACAATGACCACCTGGTAAACTATACAAAATGTTTCAGCCACTTCCTGGTCTGGTGGAACCTGCCTGGAGAAGCTGCACTCCATGATCGTTCCCAAATGGTAGAAAACCATACTCTATGCAAAATAGTCCGAACATACTAATCGTTTCTTGCGTTGTGCTTAGGCAGTACCTTAGCACACTAACAGTGAGCACCAAAGTCAATAACGTTACACTGGACAATAAAGGTGTTTTTATTTATTTTATTTTATTCAAACCCACTATTTATTGTACCTGATGGAAGGATACTTCCAAATACAGCTAATCAAGCAGCTCTCCATATACTTTAAAACAGGCTTCCCCAAACCCCAGCCCTCCAGATGTTGCTGAACTACAACTCCCATGATTCTATGAATGAAATAGGCTGAGAATCATGGGAGTTGTAGTTCAGCAACATGTAGTTTGGGGAAGCCAGCTTTAAAACAACTATTATCATTCCTGGTCAGTGGTAGCTAAAGCTATAGCATGGTCACACATCATGGTATTTGTAGTTTAACAGCAGAAAGTTACAGCGATTGCTACTCCTGATCATCAGGGCATAAAAAAATAACTTTCTTACCCGCTCTCTTTCCTTGGCATTAGCAGCCTGTCTTCTCTCCAGAACATCTTCAAAATTTTCCATGCACAGGTAGTGCCCAGAAGGGAGCCTCTTCATTTTGCTAATAGAAGCCATGTAAGGAAACGGTGCATAGTTCTCTCTGAGAACCTCTCCAAGCAACTCAGGAGCGGGTGTCAAACACAGCGGGGGCAGTTCCATCCTCTGCGACATTATTACAACATATGCTGTACGGTTTCTAAAAGAGATTGAAAGTCAGTGATCAACCAGTTTAACTGTGTGGTACTTAAATGCAGCTTACACAATCACCAAACATTATTTAAATACAATCAAACATATCACTTGAGGTTTTTTCAAAAACCTTTTACATAATGTTAATGCAAATGGTCAATAAAGGTTATGGGTATGGGGCATTCAAATTTGAAATAACTTAAATGCATCTGTCTTTATGTTTTATCTGATCCATTCAATAGCATTTAACCCCTTAAGGACCAAATTTCTGGAATAAAAGGGAATCATGTCACACATGTCATGTGTCCTTAAGGGGTTACACAGTGGCGTACACATGACCCATGGGGCCCCGGTGCAAAAATTGATCCGTGGGCCCGCACCCCCCCGCGGGTCGGGGTCGCAACACATGGTGGCGGGCACCTGGTCGCAGGGGTTGCTGGGCTCCGACCCCGCGACCGCGGTAAGCACACACACTTAAAGGACCACTACAGACACCCAGATCACATCAGCTCAATGAAGTGGTCTGGGTGCCAGGTCCCTCTAGTTTTAACCCTGCAGCTGAAAACATAGCCGTTTCAGAGAAACGGCTATGTTTCACTGAGGGTTAATCCAGCCTCTGGTGGCTGTCTCATTGACAGCTGCTAGAGGAGCTTCCGCGATTCTCACTGTGAAAATCACAGTGAGAAGACACTGAACGTCCATAGGAAAGCATTGAGTAATGCTTTCCTATGGGCGGTTTAAATGCGCGCGCGCGCCTCTTGCCGCGCATGTGCATTTCGGAGCTGAGAGGCGGACACTGGGGAGTCCGACGCTGGAGAAAGGTAAATGCTGAAGACACACACACACATTCTCACGAACAGACGCATACACACTAGCTAACAGACACACACATTTACTGACAGAGGCACACTCAGCGACAGACATACATACACACTCACTCAAAACATACACTTTCACTGACAAACACACACTCACTAACAGACATCAAACACACTCAGTAACAGACACACACCCAATAACAGACACATTCACTGACACACACACTAACACACGCACTAACACAAACACTGACACACACACACACATACACTAACACACACTAACACAAACAAACACTGACACACACACACACACACACTAACACACATACACTAACACACACACATTTTTTTTTTTCAAATGTAATCCCCCCAGCCTCCTTACCTTTTGGAGTGCTGGGGGGAATCCCTGGGGTGCAGTGGTGGTGCTGCTGGGCTGCTGGTCACTGAGTGGGCGGGCTGTCTGGGCGGCAGACGCGCGAGGGAGCACTTTCCCCCATGTGCTTCCTCTTCAGCTCCCTGGCGCGCCGCGTAGGGATGCCGGCGCCGGAAGATGATGCCATCTTCCGGCTCCGGCATCAGTGCGGTGCGCGAGGGAGCTGAAGAGGAAGCACTGAGTGGCAGGGGCGGCCGGGTATGTACGCCACTGGGGTTACATAGAAACATAGAATGTGACAGCAGATAAGAACCATTCGGCCCAACTAGTCTGCCCAATTTTCTAAACACTTTCATTAGTCCCTGGCCTTATCTGATATCTAGGATAGCCTTATGCCTATCAAGACAGTTATATTTCAAAGGACAGTGAATGCCCAGTAGTGAGTTATTGTATTATCCATAATGCACATCTCTATTTTATTTATTTTTTTAAAGTGCACTTTAAGCACAATAACTACTTCCTCTCCCCTTCCCATTTTCTGCAAACTGAGCATGAGCTGTCCTGGCCAACGACCAGCCCCCCTTGTCAGTCTTCTGCATTATCCATTCAAAAGCCATGAAAGCTTGGATGGCAAAGATAGGAACTGTTGAACTGAAATTACCACAGAGAGAGACTCAAGCCCAAACGTACTTGCAATATAGCCTGGGCTTGCAGTCTGTCATTGGTTTCCAAAACGGAGTCATAAGTAAGGGACCAAGAGAGTCCAAAAAGTTGTCGCGTTGGTGACCTGGAAATTGGCAGTGGAGTCAGACTTTGGATTTACCATTGGAGAATGGTTTAATCCCCTAATTTAAGAGCGCCAAGGGCTCCTTGGAACCATTACAACTCCAGTTAGATGAGTTGGTATAGTTTATAATCTCTTTAAGAGGATCTGCCAAAAAGTGATATTTTCTGATTAGTGAGACGCTTACATGATGTATTCTAATACTTTGTAACTGCAATTCCATTCTTTCATCAGAAATGTATGCACACATGAACATTACTGTCCACTTGCATTATAGGAACAAAGTTAAAAATGCATCTTTAAGGTGTGCAATAAAATAGTGCAGAATAACAGTAGTTACTGGTTACAGATGGCTTATGTCTGGCATCCCGGTTCTTTTAGATTAGGGTGCAGTATTACGGAAAACATGGAGTGCTGATATGTACTTACAGAAGCTCAAAACCACAAGCAGCAGGATAACCATCAGCACTTTCTGGAAACACGTATGTAGAAAATTATTTAAACCATCCCTGGCCTGCTGGGTCACTAAACACAGACCACCATACCTTACCACATAGTATCTCCATCACTCCAAGTCTTACATACCTATATATATCCCTCCTTTACCTCCTCCTACGGCCATGCAGGCTCTAGCTCCCCCACGTGCTCAGTACAGCGTGTCTCGCCACACTTCCGCTCCGCGGCCCTTTAACTCAACTTCCGGTTTGTTCCTACGTCATCAGCCGTCGCGGATCCTCGTGTAGCGCCTGGCATGGTGCCTGGTGGGAAGCGTTAGCCGCTGTGTGATACCTGCAGGGCGGCTCTCCTCTGGTTGGTTTATTCTCGTCTTGTTTTCTAGAAGTGGCATCTAGAGTAATGTTCAATCTCAGAGTAATGTATGAATATACATATATATAAATGCATTATTAACAGCTTAAAGGGACACTCCAGGCACCCAGACCACTTCTGCCCATTGGAGTGGTCTGGGTGCCAACTCCCACTACTCTTAACCCTGCAAGTGTAATTATTGCAGTTTTTATATAAACTGCAATAATTACATTGCAGAGTTAACTCCACCTCTAGTGGCTGTCTATTAGACAGCCACTAGAGGGCACTTCTTGCTCTATAGCACAGAAAACCTGCCTCACGCTGTGTGAGGACCTCCAGCATCGCTCAATTCCCCATAGGAAAGCATGCTTTCCTATGGGGAGCTCTAATGCGCATGCGCGGCATTGCCGGTGGGCAGGCTCAGTCTTGCCCAACGGCCGACGTAATGCAGAGGAGGAGGAGCAGCAACCGGGGATTGGGAGGTGGGAGGGAGAGGGGATTATTTTCCTGGCAAATTGTGTCCATAAGGGGTTAAAGGTTTCACCATCCACTTATTGTGTGGAGCTGCTCCCCAGATGTGTTATGATAAGAATCTAAAACATAGCTGGATTAAATAAATATTCCAAGAACCCGGTAGTGGTTATGGTGTCAGTAGTGGCATAGTGCCCCCTCTCAGTGTAACTTGTCAATCCGTTTGCTAATGGATTAACAATGTACCTGGGATTTGCGGGAGCTCCTGTTAATTTGTCCTGAGATTTTGCCTGCTGTTGCGAAGCCAGTTGGCTGACCGCTTGCAACATGGTTGCTGTCCATGGCTATTTTGCATTGGCCTTACACACCCTTATTCACTGTTAAACTGTTAGAAAACACTGAACTGTGGCTTGGTGGAAGGAATGCTGCCCAACAGTCCTACTTTAAGCAGGACAGTCCTGATTTTTTGTGCCTTATCGCACTTTAGTTCCCCTGTGACCCCCATCTGGGAACACCAGGGAAATGTCCCCAGTCAGAACAGCAAGAAAGCATCATTAGATGTGGCACTAAGTCCATACAGGGAGTACTTCATAAACGCTGAAGGCTTTGGCTGGCCAAAGGGGGCAGTGCCACCCATTATGGGCATTGCTAATGATGCAGCTCATTTCACTAGCGCTAACGATTTTGAGAGATATGGCGCAAGGGGACTCCATGCAATGAGATGACGTGGTTATGGTCTCCATTTTAATTGACACTCAAAGCAGCATTATAACTTTGGCTTCTTGTGTAGCTTATGGTGCTAGAAAGTTCTCTGTAATTGCATATCTGCATAAAGTGCCTGTTTGCGTGTTGAAACCAAATGTTAAAATAACCTTAACCAGACAAAACTGTACTGATGTTTGGAGAAAATCTTGATAATAAAAAGTAAACAGAGCTGCTAAGAAGGGTGGGGACTTGTAGAAGTGCCTAGGCAACACACATCATTCAATTACTTGTAAGTCTGGGGGGAAGGATTGTAACCTGTGATGCCTCAGAGAGTATGGGTAAGTTTATGCCCAATATTTTTTTTTATAAATAGCACTGTTTAGTAGATTTATCTCCAATCTAAACACGCACACATTTAACCATACATTTTTTTTCATTGGGAGTATATCTAAACCCAGTTTCAAAAACTGCAGACTCTTGTTGCAAGCCCTTCTAACCCAGTCCTGACCATCTGTGGCTATCAAATCACAGATTTCCCAATGCATCGCAATGAGAAGTCTTTGCAAGGCAGATGCTCTTGTTAACTACCTGACTCTTGAGCTTAACTCCTCTTAGTTAAACTATCAGCATGTAAAAGGACAGGTTGTCTGATTCACAGTCAAAAGGTTTAGCAATACTAATTTATTAGTGCCATTTTCTTTTGAAATTTGCACTTTTTGTAGAATGAAAAAAAGAGGAAACACTCTTCACACTTAAAGCACTTCAGCATGCTGATGTGCTCTTGGGGTCTGGATTGTCTGTTTAAACCTACTGTCTCGCTCAGTGACTTCACGGGAGAAGTAAGAGTACAGTTAATGGTCAGAGAACTCTTATTGTACAAATTCTTATCATTTTTTAACAGACTATTTTACCAATTTTTGTGAAGGACTCAGAATCACAGTTGAATCTATGGCTCCAGTAAAAACGAATAAAACAAAAAGGGAAACCTGTACTCAAGGCGTCTACCAAATATAAGTGAATC